CCTCCTCCACCGCCGCCACCTCCGCTCCCTCCGCCACCGCCGCTGCCGCCTGCGCCTCCACTGCCGCCACCTACACCTCCACCCCCGCCACCACCCCCACCGCCACCCCCACCTCCTCCACCGCCTCCACCGCCGCCTCCACCGCCCCCGCTAGCTCCTCCAGCGCCCCTGCCCCCCTTGCCCCTGCCAGGGCGGCGTCTCCCGCTAGGGGTAGACGCTGCCCCAACCGACTCCAAACCAGCGAGGTCGGCCGCAGCAGCAGAGGCAACAGAGGGCAAAAGAGGGGAGGGGGAACACCCCTCAAAGATGGGGGTGCGAGGGTCACCACGAGAGGCTCCTACAGCGACTATGCTCTTTTCTGCTGCTAGGAGGGCCTTCTCGAGGAGGTCAACGGTGAGAGTGGTGGGACAAACCGAGAGGAAGTGGTCCCTGACTACGCGAAGGGAGTCAGGGAGACGGGTGACTATGTAGTAGAGGGTGATGTACATGGGGGGGGGGTTCTTGGCGCAGAACTCAGCAGGAAGCGCAGCGCGGTAGCGAGTGTCACTAGTGCGGAGGTGCGTAATGAGGTCAGCGACTGTAGGAAAGGCAGCAAGGTCAGGGAAGAGGTACGGTAGCATGAGGCGGCTCAGTGCAGCAGTGGCAGGGGAGGAGTAGCGTGCAACTACAGCGTCGTACAAGGTCTGAGCACTCTTGTACTGGCTAAAGTGCGCACGCTCAGAGGTAGGTAGGTGGCGACGCACAGCAAGACGTGCAGCAGCATCGTGTGTGGCCCACTGTGAGCGAACAGTGGCGTCAGCATCAGCAGCGGGGGCAGGAGAGGCACCAGAAGTGAGGTCAAAGAGGGAGAGGCCGTCTGCTCTGTCGCACTGTAAGAAAAGCTGCAGGTCATCTATCCAGACGTCAAAGTCAATGGCCCGACCCTCAGCGTCAAAAGCGAGGACACTAGGGGTAGCCATGACAGCAGTAGACTAGCAGTGCAAACAGTAGGGTGAGGGCAGTGCTGTGAGAGAGGCGCTGCTCTTACCGGACAGGGCGGTTCGGGCGGCTTGGCTGCAGGGCGGCTCGGCGACTCGACAACCGGGCGGCTCGGCTGCTGGGCGGCTCGGCGGCTGGGCGGCTCGGCGGCGGGGCGGCTCGGCTGCTGGGCGGCTCGGCTGCTGGGCGTATCGGCGGCAGGGCGGCTCGGCTGCTGGGCGGCTCGGCTGCTGGGCGGCTCGGCGGCTGGGCGGCTCGGCTGCTGGGCGGCTCGGCGGCTGGGCGGCTCGGTTGCTGGGCGGCTCGGCGGGTGGGCTGCTCGTATGAGTAGGCGCGGGGGCCGTAGGAGCAGGCGCCGGGGCCGTAGGAGCAGGGGCCGGAGGCCGCTAGGGCGGCGGATCGGGGCCGCGAAGGCGGCGGATCGGGGTCGCGAGGGCGGCGGAGTAGGGGTCGCGAGTGCGGCGGAGTAGGGGCCGCGAGGGCGGCGGATCGGGGCCGCGAGGGCGGCGAATCGGGGCCGCGAGGGCGGCGGAGTAGGGGCCGCGAGGGCGGCGGATCGGGGCCGCGAAGGGCGGCGGATCGGGGCCGCGAGGGCGGCGGAGCGGGGCCGCGAGGGCGGCGGATCGGGGCCGCGAGGGCGGCGGATCGGGGCCGCGAGGGCGGCGGAGTAGGGGCCGCGAAGGGCGGCGGATAGAGCCGCGAGGGCGGCTCGAAGGGGCCGCGAGTGCGGCGCTAAGGGGCCGCTAGGGCGGCGCGAGAGAGGGGAGCGCGACTCGGGCAGGGGCTGAGTGCGCTCCGGGCAGGAAAAAAAAACGGTGGGCCCTAGGAACAGTTCCCACGGGGGAACCTGCTCGATACCATGAGAAGAAACAAGGAATGAATGAACTATGAATGAATTGGGTACAAGTAATAACCCTAATTGGGTTGTACCCCTCATGGGCTACCCCACTATAGCCTACACAATATGCATGAGCTATAATGTTCTGACAGTGCTTGCACGTTCTCCTTGAACAACGTTCATTATAAACAACGTTCTCGCACGTCACTATGCTTCTCTATAATTCATGTTGTATCTGTTGTAATCTATCAATTAATCAATTACTTTCCTTTCGTTACTAGATACCAAGCCTATCGCTGCATATCAAGCATATCATTCTCCGAATTCCAGTATCTGGTTTCCAGCAAGTCCGTACACGCAAATCTTGCACTTCACTCTCCGATCGTGCAACTCTGCGCCTAGGCTCTCCCATAATCGCCTATTCTCCGCAGCATGGTGCTAGCTCTCCACTGATGCACAGTGGTGCGTCGGTTTGCCAGGAGAGGATGGTTTCGGGAACGTGGGTTTGGCTCCCAAACCGGGGGCCAAAAAGGGTGTTCGGTTGGCATCATGCACTAGTTCGCTTCGGTGCTCATGCGCCTATCCCAGATCCGAGTCAGCTGTTGTCCGCTTATCTCAGAAGCTTCGAGGGAGCACGCTTGACGTTAATCTTCCCGAGCCTGTGCCTGATGCGCTAGTCGAACAGGGCCAATGAAGGAGTTAGGGCGTGTGTGGTCTTTGAAATTTGTAAAAGTTTATATTTTTAGGGTGAATATGGTTTTTGAACTTAAGTCGATTGTAATTTGGAGCGAAGTTCGAACATCGGGACTGCAACACTACAGTCTGTAAAACTGCAATCACACATACAAGGTCGAACCCCGAAATTCCACCTTGTAAAAAACGTGCCGAGCCGCGTGACAAAATTGTAGGTTACCCGGTTCTCCTAGGTGCCTCGGATGTTGCCACGTGGCTACCGAAGAGAGCCACAATCGTGGGATGTTTTCGTTGTGCCATTTTCAACTTCGCAAAGCCCTCGCCCGTTTCGCCCGCTCCTCGTACGTGCTGTAAATCACGAACGTGCGCACGCACGTTCACAACGCCGACTCGAGTCAAGTTCACATTTCACATTCGAACTTTTGTGCGCTGTAAAATCCATCTTCTTCGCGAAAATGTTTGACGAAATTTGCGCGGGTAACCACCTAAAGTTCGACCTTTTTTCCGAACTTTAGAATAGACCACACACGCCCTTATATTTATGAAACAACTGCGCCCTTGGCATTGAATTGCAAGACCCCAATGTGTTGGCTCGGCGAACTTCGTCCACCTCAGTGAACGCCGTTCACCAGCTCGTCGTTGACTCCGGGGGAAGCGAGCGAGTCGTATTGACAGCCCCACCGGTTCGTTCCCCTCGCACCGAGTTTGCTCTGTTAGCTCCGTGAAATATACCTCAATTCCACACGTCAGCGCTGCGAAAAGGAATTCGCTTCGTTGGAATTGCTTGCTCGTTCGCGCTGTGTCATCTCATCCAACAAGGCGGAACCTTTCTTTCCCTCCCCCCCTCCCTTGACTTACTCGACTTCATTTCCATCTCCCGCCTCGAGTTGTGGAGGCAAACCACACCAAGAACCCTCGAGTTTACATCCGTTCCCAAATACGCCCGAGCATAAGAACGCAATGAATCCGCCTAACAAGGACATTCTAACACAACCATTCATAACTCCTGAGAAGGATTAGAGTTGTCTAATTCCCTCGTATATCCCTGACGTTTCTTCTTGAATTGTAGATTCACGCGCGTGTTTCCAAGAGCAGTAGAAATTACTCCAAGCCCAACCATCGCGATGAGACCGCTCGTGTACGCCATCCTCCTGTTCGTCCTCCTCGGCACTCTCGATGCCGCGCTCGCGCGACCCAAAAGGGCGCGCCCCAAGCGCGCAAGCCCCGCGGTGTTCATGGACGGACAGCCCTGGTATCCTCCCCCGCAAAGGTTCCGCCCCAAGCGCGCCAGCCTCGCGCACCCGCTGCTAGACCAGCGCGAACCGTCTCCGCGAACGTTCCGCCCCAAACGCGCCAGCCTTGCGCACCCGCTGCTAGACCAGCCCGAACCGCCACCATTTAGGTTCCGCCCCAAGCGCGCCAGCCTTGCACGACCGCTGATGGACCAGCGCGAACCGTCCCCGCGTCGGTTCCGCCCCAAGCGCGCCAGCCTCGCGCATCCGCTGATGGACCAGCGCGAGCCGTCTCCGCGGAGGTTCCGCCCCAAGCGCGCCAGCCTCGCGCATCCGCTGATGGACCAGCGCGAGCCGTCTCCGCGCATGTTCCGCCTGAAGCGCGCCAGCCTTGTTCACGCGGCTGAGAGCGCCCCTAGCGCTCCGCGGATGTTGCGCGGAGGAGGCTACGAAATTATTCGCGATGAGCCTGTGACTCGCTATAGTACGGTGGACCCGAATGATTATTATCCGGACTGGTACACTCCCCCGACATACTGGACTGACCTGGGATACGGTAGCAGCTGGGACTATGGTAGCGACATGAGCCCTTACGGCGATACCTACGTGAACATGGATGTGGATTATAATAATGGTTATGGCAATGATTGGTTGTATGGAGGGTATGGCTCAGGGTACGGCGGGTATGACTCTTGGTACGGTGGTTATGGAGACTCTGGATACTATTAAGGTTTGTCGCAGGGGTATGGATGGGTTTGGGCTTTACTAGGGATTGCTCGCTCACCACAGGGCAAGGAGGAAAGTTCTCATATTTCGTTCTTCAGATAGGGATGTCGGCCTTCAGAACACGGGTGTTGGTCGTGGGGATTAATGTCCTAAATGGGGTGCTCTTACACATCAAGTGGGTTTTTCCCTTTCGTTGTGTGAATATGTGCATGTTTAATCCAATAGACATGTTAAATTCTCTGCTTTTGTAATTAGTGTGTAGGATTTGTTTCATGTTCTGATGTTGAATAATTTTCCTTTTGTCAAGCAGAGACTTTTATGAAACATGTAGTTTGTATGTCCGAATAGGCATTTCGTACACCCGGAAGAATATGCTCACGTAAAATAGTTGGAAAAATCTCATTACCCACAGTTGGAACACAAAACTATACTCCAAGAAACCTAACAGTCTCTGTACCGTATGTTTTTTTTTTTTAACGCAGTCAGCTGCACAAGATTGTGCACGGAGATTTATGCTGCATCCGCCACTCCTCTCAGTGCGCTCCAGCCTCCAGCTCCAGATCAAAGTGGAACACGCCTGCACCCATGCAAGCATCCATATGATCAGCACATGTATACACATAATAAAGCAATTTAAAAGATTTTGGGGGCGGATGTGTATCGTCTTACCATGACCCTTGCCAACACGTCTCAGCTGGGCGACATAGTCTGACACTTGCTTGATGGCATCGACCTGGACATAACAAACCAGCCGTAAGTTTATAGACGCGACAGTATTGTCAACGAGCACAACCAGGGCCGACCATGCAGACAAAGAATAAACGTAATATAAATACCTGCTCGTTCAGGAAGTTGCCCTCCAGGAAATCGGTAAGCTGAACATCTCCAGCATCAGATGCCACCTGCATAACCGTCACCAACACATGCAATCCTCAGTTCTCGACGTAATTTTGAATTAAACATCACAAAACACAGTCATCCAACCATCCGACCAGTATGAGTTAGACTTTAGAACCCATAAACCTGCAACTCATACCTTGTGAAGGGCCAACAGCTTCTCGTTGACCAACTTCTCAAGAGCTAGGGTAAGCTCCATCGCTGCAAGACAACAGCCCAACGGTGAAAGTTCAAACTGTGTAAGCTCAAAAGCCCAAATCCCAACCTTAAAACCCAAAACTGCAATATTGTTTTCAACCCACAAGAAAGCAGAATGCAGACGCACCGTAAAGAGCATCACCCTTCTCAGGGTGATCAAATTCCATGGTCGCGGGCATCAGGATGGACTGAAGCTTAACCCGGCCACCACGCTTGTTCTGCGGAGAGGAAACCCAAATTTTAAAACGCGTGTAAGTGTGTAAGCCATGCCATCCCACAGCCCAAAAGAACATAATTTGATTGTGATTGAATGACCAAAATGTTTTCATTAATATGTTACACCCCATGAACGCACCTGGTACTCCATAAGCTTCTCTGCATGCTCGCGCTCCTCATTGCTGGCTGCCTTGAAGTACCTGCGTTCAGGAAGAAGATGCCAGCAAGTAATGTCTAGACATTCCTACACCAGCTTCCTTGTCTGTAACGCTTCGAAATCACAACCCTCCTCGAATGAATGAAATGCGGCTGCGGAATTGGGATGTGAATGCGCAAGAGTTGGTCTACATTCTCAAGGAAAAACACAGGTTGACTTACTTGGCAAAGCCTGGCAGGGCCACGTTGTCGCGGTCGAAGTAGCAGTACAGCGCATGGTACACATACGAGATGTTGTACTCGATACTGCACGAAACATCAACAGCAACGACCCTCAGAATCTGATCAGCATCCGTCCCCACCCTTTAAATAAAGAAATATTATCCCTCCAAACATTGAAGTTGAGAACTAGCCGTTGGAATAGCTTGCTTCAAAACTCACTTGATCTGCTCGTTGATCCCAGCCTCGGCGGCCGAGGAGTAGTTTTGCCGGGCGAACGACTCCTGCGGTTGGATGACGGCGGGAACCTGGGTGAGTTGGCTCTGCACCTCGGCGAACGGCTCGAACACAACGCCAGTCAATGTCGCCTCGGCTGTGGGCTTGGCCTCAGCGCGAACACCCTTGCGACCTCCGGATTTGACGAACGCGGGAGCAGGCTTGGTGTGCGATAGGGACCGCCCGCCAGCGACGGTCTGGCCGAAGCTGGCGACGGATCGCGCAGCGGAAGTTGAAAGGGACGCCGCCATTGCTGATGGTATATTTGTCTGGATCAACTGGTAATACCTCGAGATCTGCGAGATAACGTGCGTGCCCTAATAAGGAACGAGGACAAAACAAGCAGCTGAATTCAGGTAAGATCTAAGACAGTTCAAATAAGTCCCAAGGCGGGAACTCACTCAGGATGGTCGAGCTTGTGTGCTGGAGCGTGCGGACAGCACGGAAAAGCGCAGATGACGAGTTGGCGCCTAAATCCTTGCTGGCGGAGCGCAAGGAAGAGCAGGAAGAAGAGGAGCACTGGAAAAAGCTGAGCTAGCAATGAAGCTGCTTCTTGAAACAGGGAATCTTAGAAGTAGATGAAACAGGCACGCCTTTTACACGCATCCTGAACAGAGGCACTATAGAAAAGGCACACGTGGTGTGTTACGTTCCAGAGTGGTTAACAAGGGTTACGAGGATCACTGCCTGTTCTCTTACAAACAAGGGGAAGGTTGGTTACGAAAGGGGGTGCGCTGGGGGATTTCAGCGTCAGGTCTACACACCGTGAGCACGCATGGGGGAGGTGAGTTGCATGGTGGGAGGCCTACGTGGCTAGAAGCCCACGTGTTGGCTCCGTGTTTTGCACACAGCCTTGAAACCCGTCTATGGGGGTTCGCCAATCACGTGTTGGGGCCGGAAATGCCTGTTGCTACTGATATCAAGATGTGAGCTGCTACGTGGACGAATAGTTCATTGACGAATCAGGCTTTCTGAGTTGTGACAATCGAAGCATCTATAAACCGTGGACACATTTCACTTACCGAATTTTGGAATCTGGAGAAACATGATTTGGAATTAGTACAGATTTACAATTTCACAAAACACAAAATACACAAGCGCACACAAATTACAACGCAAATGCTACACCACAGCATGGATCGTGGCTTCGGCTAGCGTATGCATTCTGCGAGCCTCCTCATTTTGCGCTTGCGAGGCCAAGGAAATCACCACATTCTGGGAAATGGAAGTACACAGCGGGGAAACGTGACGATTAATGAGACCGGTGCAAAACAGAGGGGATGCAAAATGTGAGTACAAGAAATGGTCCAGTTCACTCACCTGCACAGCGTGGTTGACAGTAGCAGCGGTTGCTGGGTCGGCAGCACAAATTGCAGCAAGGCGTGGAATCGCAAGCAGCTGGTGCAAAACTGCTGGTGCCTCCTTCTCCCTCCCACGACCCTGGTGGACGGAAAAGCCAGACAAAAAAAAAAAACAAAGAAGAAAAGGTAAGTTGACAAGCAGCTGCCTTACCACACCGACAGACTCTGTCTTTCTGTCAAAGTGTGTTGTGATAGACAAAGGTAAAGGTAGGTGTACTGCCTTAAAGGTAACGGTTCGTGCAAAACCTTACCATGGCAATAAGGGCGTTGATGAGAGAAGCGTACGGCAGAGGCCATGCTGGAGCTAGCTGAAAGGGCCGACAGACAAGAAAAGACATTCCGAGGGAATTAAGACAGGAGAAAAGAGGGAATGAACGACTGCGAGGAAGGATGGGAGCAGCCTTTGCAAAAGCAGTGGGGGGGATGAGATTAGAGCGTAGCATATGAGCCAGCATGGCCATGTAGATGCAGGGACCAGAGGGCGGGTGAGGCTTAATATTCCAATTTGAGGAGAGTTGGGGGTGCGGGTTTGAAGGTGGGGACATGGAGAGGGAGGGAGGGAGGGTTAGGATGAGAGCTAGCACCACAGATGAGTTCACCCATTAGCACGCTGAATGCCTGTAGTGCCAAGAACCCGCACCTCAATGGCGCGCACCAGAAACCGCTCAGAAACTTCCCCGCCCACCCTGCGAGCTGCCCCTTGGGAGACGCCTGCTCGCCGCTCCTGCCCGCCTGGTACCACAGCCACGCAACCCCTGGGCGTGGCCCCACCGACCTCCTCCCCTGCGGCATCACATCACATCCAGATCCATTCACCCCATGCATGAGTTACCCATCTGAACCTATCTAGCACCGACCCCAACCCATCTAGCACCACCAACCTCAATAGCATACCTCAATGGCGCGCAGCAGAAACCGCTCGGAATCTTCCAGCATGCATTTCCTCCCCGCCCGCCCCGCCAGCTGTCCCTTGGGAGCCGCCCACTCGCCGCTCCTGCCCGCCTGGTACCACAGCCACGCATCCCCCGGGCGCAGCCCCACCGCCCTCCTGAGAAGGGGCAGCGCCTCCTCGAAGCATTGGGCTGCGAGGAGGTGACGGGCTTGCGAGGTGAGACGCCAGAGCATGAGGCTGCGCGCGTCTGCATGGGGGAATGACACTGCCGCCGCTGCTTCTGCTGCTTCTGCGGATGGGGAGGAACGGCCGACCATGGCTACCGCCCAATTCCCGAGGTTGGCCTTTTCCTCTTCCTCCTCCAGCGCTTCCAGCTCTTGCTCGCTCAGCTCTGGCGGCAGGGAGAAGGTTCGCGGTGCTGCCACGTCAGCGCCTGCCTCCTGATTGGTCGGAGCGGGAGCGCTGGCCCACATGCGATATGGAGCTGCGGCGACTGCGGCTGATGTGGATGATTGGACGGTGGAAGAGGAGGAAGGGGAGGGGGGAGGGGTGAGGGGTTCGGGTGGGGAGGGGAGGAGGAGCGAGTCGAAGCAGATAGAGGTGGAGGAGGAGGAGGGGTTGGGGAGGAGGGAGAAGACAGCCCAGGGATGCAGAAGGAGGAGATCAGAAGAGGCGAGTGAGACCTGTCGCGGTGTGGGCAAGTAGAGACACAGCGGAGGGGGAGGGGAATAAAGCAACAAGTCAAATTTCCAATTCGGATTCTGTAAATCTTTCCTCTCAACTCTGAGCGCTATCAAACGTTAAAACTGGTTCTAATATCTGTAACTTTAGATGCTCCAGAGATTCCGAACCAACTGCTTCCAGAAATCACCTTGGGAATTACGAACGCTGGGCGTACCTTGATGGGTGCTGGCAGAGGCAGTTGGTTTGGCCGGGGGAGAAGGTTCAAGGAGGGTTCCTTGTCAGCAGCATCCAGCCAATCGGCTACGAGCCAATGGCTGTGCGGGAAGATCGCCAGCTGGGCAGGCGCTGACGTGTCTGAAAAATGTCAAGTGCAACGCATGACAACAGACGGAACGCAGTTGGAAAAAGGAAGAGGTTGAAAGCCAATACATGTCAGACAAGCAGAAGCACCCATCAGACACACTGGTGGCACACACATGAGACACATGAGACACAGGAACTGAGAGCTTCTGTGAAATCGACAAGAAATTTCTCACCTCTTATGACCTCACCATACAAATCCACGTGGCGTTCTGGCAGAACTCACCGCTGGTGTTTTGGGTGGCAACCACAACAGTCAGAATCGCATCATCCAGGCGCTGCCTACTCAGCTCCACGTCAGCAGGCGGCGTGCAGGCGACCTGCCAGCTGTCACTGACGAATCTCGGGTCCTCGCACGTCTTGCCGTCCAAACAGCCCAGGCCAGCAGACCATTGACGAATCACAGTGTGCCACGTGGCAGGGCCCTGATCCACGTTGGTCCCCGTCACGTCCTCCACCACCCGAAGCGCGGACGCCGGCAAGGACGGCAGGAGAGCCTTGGCTACTAGCGACGCGGGGGTGGAGATTAACTCAGCGTCCGACTCCGATTCCGATTCGGACGCTGCTGTCGTTGGGAAGAGCTGAGCGGGAAGCTTAGGCGGCTCGGACCATTCCGTTGATCGCGGAAGCGCGTCTTTGAGAATGACGAAGCCCTCGCGAAGAAGCTGCTCGCGAACCTTCTCGACGTCGACAGACGCTTCATCCTCCGCGTTTGCCGGCGCAGCCGCAGGTTTGTCAAAACTCTCTGCGACTTCCACGGCAGCGGAAGATCCGCCGCTAATTGCGGTAGGAGAGAAGGCGCCGATGCCGAGGAGATTAAGCCGCTGCCGGGACCCACCATTGCCGCTCTTGAGGAGCTGGCAAGTTATGGTTGGCCGTCGTGATGCCACGTGGCAGTGAGGAGGAAGATTTATTGTAATAAAAGGGCAGTTCAGACCTGTTGATGAAATTTCGGAGCGCGCGAAAGCAGATAGGCCAGTGGGGACAAGCGAACGAGTCGGACACAAGGTAGCGGAAGCCATGGCGCCGCGGTGTTTAGTAACAGGAGCAGGAAAACTATCCGCGGGTGCTTCAAAGCGGTCGTTACGGGCAGGAGCTAGTGCGCTTCACAAGAGAACCTCGGATTCTGACGGAGAGTATGAGATTCTTGGTAAAAGAAGCCGGTGAAGAAGCAATGTATGAATGGCTGCTGTCAAGTAGGTTCAGGATGATGGTCGGAAGAAACGCGGTCGAGCATACAACTTGAAGGCACGGAAATACCGACGTGCGACGTCGCAACCGACGCACTCGCGATGTGGCCTTGAAATTCGCCGTCAGCAGGTGCGAACTTGCGATGAAACGAAAAGGAGATGTGCAAAGGTGGCGTCGCTGTGCGATCCGAGTCCAAATTAGGTACCTGCGGCTCCAGCTAAGGCTCCACGCTGGACACTTTGCCATGTCATCTACATATGTGTGCAGGATTTGTGTCGTCGTCAGCCGCGGCCCGGCGCGCTGTGGGCAGGCGTAGCCAGGACACGAGCCACGCGTGCGAAATTAGTCAATCTGATTGGATATCTGCCCCTGAAGCACGTGCCGGAAGTTGCCTGCCCGAGAGATCGGCAACTTTGTCGACGCACTTCGCGAAATATATCTAGTTGTTCGCCGTATCAGACCTCAACCCTGTGTGCTCCAGACCAGATTCCATGCTCAAGTGGTAACTTTCGCTTGGTCGGTGCGGCGGAGGACAAGGGCAGTGGCTTGGGGGGTTGAACTTGCCCGCTAAAGGGCAACCTCACATCCTTGGGTGCGTGCAGTATAAGGCCCAGGCAATGTACTCATGTGAAGTACCATAAACAAAAAAAACTCTGCTTCAGAAGTTACTATTAATGGTAACCATGCCTGAACAATGCTGAAATAAATACGTTATAAGCTCTACTGACAAGATAGAATGGATATGAACATGCCTTACACAGGAAGGGCAAGTAAAATGAAATAAAAAAAGCACCGACTGGATCTGTAGCACCAATTTGTGCAAGAGCCCTGCACATACTTCATACCTCATAAACTGGACTGGATCACTCCATCAGCTTTCCTTCTGACTGGACACCCTGCTAACCTTCTCAACTGGATCACATCAGCTTTTGGAACCAACACCTGAAGCAGCATCAGTGCTCTTCCCAACACCCATCTCATCCCCAAACCTCTCCCTCAGCATTGCATGCCAGTCATGAATGCACATGCGCCGCGACGAGTCATAAAACCAGAACCGGTTCTTCACCAACCGATCCTTCTTCGCCTCTTTCCCCGAAATCCAGTTATTATGAAGAATCGTGCACCCGCTGCACGCATTCGCCACGTTCAGCTGGTTCCAAAAGTCATGCACAGCTCCATTCGGGTACATATCCCTCGGCAGAAAAATCGTCCGAAGGCCGTTGCTCCACTGACATTCCTCCCGGTGAACCTTCCTCCCCTCAGCATCCACCACACTCTCTGGAAGCAGCAGCTCCCCCTTCTCCCCACATAGAACATCGTAGAAGCTTGGCTGTTCTGACAGTTGTGTTTTGGCTGCATGCGCGACAATCGCCTCGAATCCCTTGACAGTCATTGGATCCGCTCTTGCAAAATAAAACCCCGAGTTGATCCGCCGAATCCCCGTGCCTGACAGCGTCGCGTTTGGCTCGTTGCTCTGGATCGGGAACGTGCCAGGCCCGTACGAAAGCAGGTGCGGGAGAGGATCGGAGAACCAAACAATGTCAACATCAGACCAGAGGACCGAGTACCCTGCCTTGAGAACCCTCAGCACCGCGCGGGATTTCAGCTTGGTGAATTGCCGGAAGCACTTGGTGCCGAACTGGCACTGGCCCTGATCTATCCCCCTCATAGTTGTACTCGCGCGCTCGTAAAACACCGCCAGGCCTTGCGTGAACGCAAACCGGTACAAATCCTCATCCAGAGCCGCAACAATCAGGTTATTCCCGAGCCCCAGCTTTCGTAAATTGCACACGAAATTCATCAGCATTTCGGCGTAACCAAACGTAACCGCAACCAGGGTTACCACCTTGAGCTCCTTGGGCTTTCCAGAGCCAGCAGCGCCTGGCAAGGGGACGTCCGGGACGATCCTGGCCAGCTGTGGTAACAGCTGCTCCATGGTGTGTGGGAGGCCGACGGTGGAGTTGGTGCGGGCTACAGCGTTGATGGCGAAATCGGCGCGGCGATCGATTGAGACGACGCCGCAGATCCAGAAGTCGCCCGAGTGGTGCTTGCGCGGGTCGGACTGGGTCTTGTACTCGTAGGCTGAGTATTCGCAGGAGCAGTTGGCCGGTCGCTCGCGCTTCAGCATGCAGATGTTCAGCGCTGTTGGGGAGAGGCGTTAAGGGAGGGACGAGGGGTGGGAGGGGGGGTGAGAGGAAAAGGGGGGAGTTGGGAACGGAGAATGAGGGAACGCTTCAGCATGCAGATGCTCAGCGCTGGGGGAGAGAGGGCAATGGAGAGGGGGCGAGATGGAGAGGGGGAGGGGGAGGAGGAGAGGGTGGGGGAGGGGGGAAGGGGAGGGTGGGAGGCGTTCCTATAAAAGCACTTGCGAGTGACTCACAATCGGGTTCGTAGCATGACGAAAGCCGCCACGGCGTGTGCAGAGCCGTGCCCTTCTGATTCGTATACGTGCCGTGCGTCTCCGCCAGGTGAATATTCGCAAACAGCTCCCAGCTGCTCTTCTTCCGCGTGCTCCAAAAATGCCCGCCCGCCTTGCTCTCCTCCACGCGCACGTGCGAGTACGTGTGCGCCACGTGGATGCTCGTGATCGCGTCGCTCGCGTCCACCACCTGTCGCAGCCCGCTCGCGACCGACTCGTGCACGAACCAGTTGTCGTACTTCCCGCGCCCGAACGAAAACGGCGGCATGTGCGCCGAGAAAAGCGGAACGTTGGGGACGTTGTTCCACACCCAGAGGTCTACCCCGCCGTACGTGTGCAAGCTCCCCTCGCGCCGCACGAACCGGCGGATCTCCGCCTCGCGCTGCGCCTCCGCCATCATCCCAACCGGGCCGGGTTTCCGCCGCCACGCGTCTTTCTCAAACGAATACGGGAAATCCACCGCGACGTCCCATCGCGACGCGGTTAGGATCCACTCGCTGAAAAACGCCTGCACGCGCCCGATCGCGGGGACGATATCGGAGAGGAGAATAATATCCCCGTTGATCAGCATCGACAGCGGCGTGTCCGCCGCCTGCGCGCGCGCGACCATCGCGTGGAACAGCGGGACGCCGTAGAAATTCGTGTCGATCGTCGAGTCGACGAATACGGACCCCGGGAATTCCTGCGCGAGGAGATCGAAGCTGGGGTCCGATCCCAGCAGCACGACCTTGGGTTGCGGGCGGAGGCGCAGCCAGGAGAGCAGCGCGCGGCGCTGCGGGTCCTCTGGGGTGTTTAAGTACGGCTTCGGAGCGCAGAAGATGGTCATGGAGGGAATATCTCTTGCCCAATCAGGGAGCGGCATGTTCTGGTTGTGGACCATGTCGAGATCGTCCACGTCGACGAGATCGTCGGATGACGCGGCGCGGAGGATGCGCCGACGTGGCAGGCTCGGCGCGTCCGGCCAGTCGTCCATCCCGGGGAAGGCCTCCCCCGACGATGCGCCGTCGCCGTGACCGGCGCCGGATCGTGCGGCGGCGGAGTCGGTTCCACGGAGGGAGCGGTTATGCCTGTGGAAGGGGAGGGAGGGGCCACGGGCGGGATGACCGAGGAAGGGAGGGTAATGAGAAGGCCGATTGAACTGCCTAGGACGAAGCGTATACATAGGACGAACAACAAATACCTAAAACGAACAACGATACCTTGGGAGTGTCGACGGCAGCACGAAGGCGTGCACGGTGAGGTAGATGGTGAGCGCGATGGCGAAGTTGGGGATGAACTCCGCCACGCGCTTTCCCACCCGCCCGTTCGCCCACTGCTGAAACGAATCCGCCGCGCATTGGTAACCCGAACTCGCCCGTTTCGCATTGGCAACACTAGGAGGGGTTCCTGTGCTTCTGAGACCGGTTGCGGCGCCGGCAGACAAGCTAGTGGCGACTCGAGTTGGAGAATATGGTGGTTGGGTGAGCGGCCGTTTATTAGGAGAGATTAAAGCCTTCGACAGGGACCCGGACGAAGCTTCGACTACGTGGGTGGAAATTCGTGGCTGCGTGCGAACCCGCCTGATTTCAACCTCGGGGAGGCAGCGCGGGGAGACGTTAAGAGAGGACGACGTGGCTTGGTCAAGGAACGACGTGGCTTCGGCTTGAACCAGCGTGCCGGGAATTGGCTGCGATTCGTGGGTAGGCTCTTCAGTTCTTAGGTTGCCTGACAGGTTATCGAGAGAATTCGACCGTAGGAGGGAGGGTTGTTGCGGAGGTGGGGAGGAGCGCGCTAAGAGTTCAATGTCATCCATGGTTGCTCACGCCACTGAGCGACACGCGTGGTACCCCAGCACAGCCCCCCTACTAAAGGTTAGGGATGGTGACGGGCGCTGAGCAAGCAAAGAGAGGAGCCGAGTGACAGGCGAGGTGAGAAGGCAGAAGAAAACGAGTGCAAAGCGGAGTTTAGAACGTAACTGATCGTTGAAGAGGAAGGAGAAGTTTATTTGTACTGAAACTTATTGTTCAAACAGAGCGGTTGAGTACGATAATGTACAATCCGAAATGGTTTCATTGTTTTGCTACTCTGAAACCCACCTGAGCATTTCTGTGGATGCGACTGTGAACGAACTTATGGACCGCCCTGAGGTGGAGTGATAGCATGGTTTGTTTGGCCAACCGCGACACAAACCGAGATAAGTCTATTCATAACGCACAGAACCACTTAAGGTTCAGAACGTCAATCGAACTTGTCGTGAAATCGGATCGAGTTACAGTGCGTCACAACTCTCAAATTACAAGGTTTGGCGGTTTGTGAAATGCTTCACAACTACCCTTGTCAAGATCGGGACCTGGAGGTGTGATGGCGTGGCATCGCAAGCGCATCATCGAATCGCAGCCGTTGAAGTCGTTCGACGTCTTCTTCGTTCGTTCGGAGCTGGCTCACATACACACACCTTCGCCATTCGGCAGATTTACAGTACAGTACACCTGCCCGTACAGGACAGCCATTGACCAAACATTGCACCGTGCAGTTCAGTCTATCAATCGGATTAGGAACAGTGCACGCTTCCCCCTGCCTGCTCCGCCCCCTCCCCTCCAGGACACAAGCGCAGCGTGTTTGTCTTGTCAGCCGACAGTGTGCTGTAATTGGGCAGCGGAGGTCAAGGATGCGCAAGCTGCTCTGTGATATTCTTGATACAAGGTCACGCGTTTACTCTAATTTCGGCATACTGGCTTACGATATTTCCAGATGAGGCTACTTCACCTGATAAGTTATTGTTAACCATATTCATGTGATACCTGTGCGTCAGCGTTTCGACTGCAAGTTCCCGCTTTTATCGAGAATACGACTGACCGACACTCGCGCTGGTTATGATCGGACGTGGAGTATGTGGTAGTGGTGGTGGTGAAGTATGTTCTGCTGACTACGGTGCTGTTCCGTTTCGTGCTGACACATTCTCCCTCGCAATAACTCACAGTAGGGCAATTCGATACACTAAAATGCAGGGCCCAGCGTGCACTCTCATCTATGCTGAAGAGCAAAGACTTTTACGAGTTGGGTGAGTGCAGAATCCAAGCAGCGCAAACTCGTCTGTAGCGTTGTTGCTTGGACGCGCCCCAATAACACCGAGATTTTTGCTCAAACCCGCGGAAGCGCGGTTTGATTTATTATCGCTACGTGGCAAGCCTATGATCGCGTGAAGCGCGATTTGCTTTATTGTTATCACAAAATTCAAGAGAGATTGAGTTAAGTGCTGTACTGCGCTGCCCGCGGGCAAAAATAAAACCCTTATATGTAAGGCGTGCGTTAGGGATGCATCAACCCTCAACACCTAGAGGCAAGGTGTTTAGGGTTGATGCCTCCCTAACGCATACCAGGCCAGAATGGGTTTTATTTTTGCCCAATGGCAGCGCAGTACGGAACTTAACTAAATTTTGGTTGAAGTCTGTGATAACAATAAAACAGATCGCGGCTCACGCAATCGAAGGCATGCCACGTGGCGGTAATAAAACAAACTGCGATTCCGCGGGATTGAGCAAAACTCTCAATAACACCCCTCTTTTCGAGCGCTTCGGTACTGCGAGAGACATGCGCGCTTCGCGTCCATCCTCTGCCTCATTTGCTTTGCACTCTTCCTGTCAGCCCAAAACCCAACCAGCCCACCACCCTCTGCTCTCCTGTCCCTCTCCAAACCATTCCCCCGAGTCCCCGCCCCAACCCCCACCGCTTATTTTCCGACCCAACCTTCCGTCCGACACTTTCGTCCATAGCTAAGGCACAGCGCTCGTTGAGCTTCAAAGCGGTAGTCAAACAAGCGCAGCACTTTCCATCCCTCAACCTTGATTACGATTCATTATCTTTAGGTTACGGGGTTCACGCCAGCTTACGCCAGGTTACGTAGACCATCCAGGTTGGCGAGTAACATGTCGCCACGTGTCGACAGACTGCTCGCTGTACTGAGCATAGCCATAGCCGCCACGTGTGCAGCTGGGCAAACGATCGACTCTTCACAACGTACGGACAGGCATCAGAGAATGAGACAGAGTATCAACATGACCATCAAGCTATATTATTCCGCAGTATCGACCGGTGGCCTCACTTCAAGGCCACCTCGCTGTCGGCCCGAGTGGCCTCAGTTCAGTGACCCTTCACTCCGTTGCCACTTTTCAAGCGTTCCTTGCGCCCATGGCTTTTCAGTGGACTCAATAGTTACCACTTTTTCCGCGAATTCTGTGCGCTACCACTCCCCTTCTTCTGCCAGTTCCCGCGCTGGCGGACTTGCAAGCGGCTTTTGGGCTCAATTACTCGTCGTGGGGTGAAGGCGGAGATTGCTACAAGGCGAGCTTCCTGCGATGCGACAGCGACGGCATGATCACAGAAATGTGAGTCTGCTTGAAACGAGGTATCGAAAATCAACCGAGTTGAACCACCGTCGCTCTCCGCTCGGATCCCTCTTAATTGCAAAACCAATCGGACTCCGCCTCTCCACCGTCGCTCTCCACCGTCGCTCTCCACCGTCGCCTCTCTACCGTCGCTCTCCACCGTCGCTGTCCACTTGGATCTGTCTTGCGTGACCCCTCGTTTACAAGAGGGGTCACGCCATTGATTGCAAAATAGTTCGTACTCCGCCTCTCACCCCATCCAAACAGTCGATCTTGAAATGCATCAGTCATCCATCTTCTGGTTTCAACCATCCACTTTCTCCTCATGTTGTCTCGAATTTCCTCCTCCCGCAGCAATCTGGGCGCGAGCGGCCTTCTCGGCTCTCTGCCTGAGTCCATCAGCGGACTAGTGAATCTCACTAGCATGTGAGTGTACCGATGTGCTTATGACGATGTGCTTAAGTCATTGCCTTTGAGTCTGGTCCGTAGTAAAGCTTCTCGTTTCTGTGCATGCGTCTATCAGCGGACTAGTGAACCTCACCAGCATGCGAGTATACTAATGTGCTTATGCCATCTGAATTTAGCGTGCGATGTGTGACTCTGGGCGTATGACTCTCATCTTCAAGCTTCGCTTCACAATTCGCGTCGCTCTTGTGCTTTCCTAATTCAACTGGACCTCATACGCAAACCCATTAGGACTTCCCCCATTTCCACCCTCCCGTGATAAAAACGAGTTTTTGAGACGTCTCAAAAACTCCCTTTTATCACGTGGCTCTTGTGCTTTCCTCATTCGACTGGACCTCATTCGTGAACCCAGTCGGACTTCCCCCCTTTCCACCCTCCCCCTGCCATCCTTTTTCTTCCCCCCCACCCCGCCCCCCCCACTCTTTCCCCTCCCCCTCTTCATCTCCCCCTTACCTTCATGGGCGGGTCAGTGATCTGAGCGCCAACGGGCTGACAGGGCCAATTCCTTCCGCTATAGGCGCACTCGCTAAGCTGAAACGGATGTGAGTGATCCTCGTACAGAAAACGCATTCGGTATAAACAGCCCCCAATCTCTACGCTGCACGGGATGTGATGCGAGGGATTTTTCGGCCACAGTATCGCTCCTGTACAGGCACATTCGCTATAAGAACACTCCCGCATCTCCCTCCCGCCGCGTATCCCCCACCATGGTCGCCCACATCCCCTACGGCAGGCAGCTGGACAAGAACACGCTCGAGGGCAACCTCCCCGTTTCCACCCAGGTTTCCCGCTGCCCCCCTCATCTCGTCTCATCCCCACATCCCTGTCCGCCCACATCCCCCGTGTCAGGCGGCTGGACAAGAACACGTTTGAGGGCAACCTCCCTGTATCGCTGCGCCAACCCCCTTGCGTTCCATCCCCTGATCTCATCTCATCTCATCTCATCTCATCTCATCTCATCTCATCTCATCTCATCTCATCTCATCTCATCCCATCTCATCTCATCTCATCTCATCCCATCTCATCCCATCTCATCTCATCTCATCTCATCTCATCCCCCCATCCCTGTCTGCCCACACCACATCCCGCCGTGGCAGGCAGCTGGACAAGAACACGTTCGAGGGCAACCTCCCTGTGTCCCTGGGCAGGCTAACAAATCTTACGTCCCTGTAAGCGCAATCCGGGGTGTGTCAAAACCACAAGGAAAATTAGCGCTGACTTTTGCTCCGCTTGGAAGTTGCTCAGGTAGAAGCTGAAAATTGATTCAACTGTGCAGTTGAATCAATTCCCAGGCACGCATGGGGCGAAATTCCCCGATCGCCTGCGGCTCTCTTCCTTCCCTCTCTGTGCCTTGTTGTCTCCCCAACCCCAGCCTTCGTTGTTCCCTTAACCTCCAACCCTATCCTCCTCTGCTCCCTCCTGTTGGCTCTCCATACTGCACTGCAGGGACCTGGCAGCCAATAATTTCATTGGATCCATACCTGCTGAGCTAGGGAACCTCACAGGCGCCTCAAATTCCTATATCTCTCCCCTGCTCCTCCCCCTCCCTCCTCCCCTCCTATCCCCTCCCTCCTCCCCTCCTATCCCCTCCTTTCTGTCCCGTGTTTCTCCAGGGACCTAGCAGCCAATCACTTTACAGGATCTATACCAGCTGAACTGGGCAACCTCGTCAACCTGCAGTACCTGTAATGCACCGCATCTCTCCCCTCTCCACCGCTCTCCACCCCTCTCCACCACACCCAACGTCCACCTAGTGTCTTCTCCATCTCATCTGAATCCTCCTTCGAAGCAAGTTTGACGTTTATAAGAACCAAACTTCACGTTGTTTTAACTATACCATACCATCATCACCCATCCCACACTACCATCACCCATCCCACACTACCATCGCCCATCCCACACTACCATCGCCCATCCCACACTACCATCGCCCATCCCACACTACCATCGCCCATACGAGTTCCATATCACCCGCATCATCATCACCAGGCAGCTGAACGACAAATATCTCACAGGTTCCATTCCAGCCTCCTTCTCCCAGCTGCTTTTGTGCCTCCTGCTTTCACCTATCGTTTTCCACCTCCTCGCAGCTCCCACCTTCCTTGACTCCCTGCCCCACCCCATCCCCACCCACAGGCAGCTAAACGACAACTATCTCACGGGTTCCATTCCGGCCTCTTTCTCCCGGCTTCTTCCTGTGCCCCTCGCTTTTGAGTCGACTCAACCGTTCCAACTTCCACCTCCCTGCATCTCCCACCTTCCTTGACTCCTCGCCCCCCACCACCACCCCTCCCCACAGGCAGCTGAACGACAACTACCTCACGGGCTCCATCGCAGCTTCTTTCTGTGCCTCTCGCTTTCCACCTCCCCGCCTTTCTCACCACCTTCCTTCAATCCCTGCCCCGCATGGCCCACAGGCAGCTGAACGACAACTACCTCACGGGCTCCATCGCAGCTTCTTCCATCCCAGCTGAACTCATCAGTTCCACCTCCCCGCATTTCACACCACCTTCCTGCAATCCCCTGCCTGCCCCGCATGGCCCACAGGCAGCTGAACGACAACTATCTCACGGGCTCCATCCCGGCCTCCTTCTCTCAACTCGACCAACTGCAGTGGCTGTGAGTGCGCGACGGATGTGATTGCAGTGAGATGTGCGTGAAACGAGGTGGATCCAGTGGCATCCAGAGAGGGTTGTATTATCCTCCTGTATTATACAATCCTCCCAAGGGTTGTTTTCTCAAAAGGAACTTCCCTCCCAACCTCCTCCTCCTCCTCCTCCTCTCCCAGTCAGTGCAAAAGGGCTATGAGTGCAGGAAGGCCATGCGATAAGGTGACTTTTGAGTCGACTCAATGCGATAAGGTGACTTTTGAGTCGACTCAATGCGATAAGGTGACTTTTGAGTCGACTCAATGCGATAAGGTGACTTTTGAGTCGACTCAATGCGATAAGGTGACTTTTGAGTCGACTCAATGCGATAAGGTGACTTTTGAGTCGACTCAATGCGATAAGGTGACTTCTGAGTCGACTCAATGCGATAAGGTGACTTTTGAGTCGACTCAATGCGATAAGGTGACGTTTGAGTCGACTCAATGCGGTAAGGTGACTTTTGAGTCGACTCAAAAGTCTCCCTTTCCCTGCCCCCTCCATTTCCCCCCCTGCCAACTTGGGACCAATGCTGTTATACATCCCTCGTTCCACTCTCTCTCCCGCCTCCCCCTCCCTCCAGGCAAATGGGCAACAACCAGCTCTCAGGGCAACTGCCTGCTGGTACTCCAGTGGACTTCTGTGCTTCCTTTTTCCCTCCCTCACCCCTCATCCTTGCACCCTAAAACCTCTCCCCTCCCTCCAGGCAACTGGGCAACAACCAGCTCTCGGGCCCGCTGCCTGCTGGATGCGGGTGGTGAATCTCTACATGCATCCACACCACTTGGAGAACTTATTGCACCAAACTTGCCTCTCTTCCCTCCTCCCTTTCCTCTCTCCTCCAACCAGCTTTCGGGCCCGCTGCCTGCTGGATGCGGGTGGTGAATCCGTTCATACACCCACATGCTGAACTCAGTGCACCAAACTTGCTCCTCCTCCTCCTTCCCCTCCCTCTCTCCCCAGGCAACTTGGCAACAACCAGCTCTCGGGGCAACTGCCTGCTGGATTCGTCGCCTTCCCCGGTCTCACTGGCCTGTGAGTGACGCCACCACACTGCACCACGCCGTGCCGTGCCATGGGGTGATTGTCGAATCGACTAATCTACCCCTTCCCCCGCCTCACCGGCTTGTGAGTGATGCTGCCATGCCATACAATGCCATGCCATGCCGTGCTGTGCCATGCCATGCGATGCCGTGCTGTGCCATGCCATGCCATGCCAATCCGTGCTGTGCCATGCCATGTCTGCAGATTTATACACGTCCCCTCTAACCATCCTTAATCCGTGCCTCTCCCCTCATCATCACCCCCTCATCATTCACCCCGTGTCACCCCCCTCCCCCTTTCCCCCATACCCCCAGCTGGGTGGACATGCAACACACGTGCATGCCAGACAACACCGGCTGTGGTCAGACTCGTCCCTTCAACAGCAATACCTTCTGCCTGCAGATTTGGAACTCTCTCTATAACCACCTTTCTCCTTCCCCCACAGTTGGATTGACATGCAGCACACATGCCCGCCGGACAACACCGGCTGTGGTCAGACAGACCACAACACCTTCTGCCTGCAGACCTGGAACTCTCTCTATAACCACCTTTTTCCTTCCCACTACCCCCCATTACATTCTCTCCCTTTGTCATGCTCTCCCATGCCCCCGCAGTTGGATTGACATACAGCACACGTGCCCGCCAGACAGCACCGGCTGTGGTCAGACCCGTCCCTTCCGCAACAACACATTCTGTTCTGCCTGCAGACCACGAACTCTCCATCTCACCCTGCTACTCTCTCCCTTCCTTTCCCCTTCCCCTCTCCCTCTTCCCCCTCCTTCCCCCGCAGTTGGATAGACATGCAGCACACGTGCCCGCCAGACAACACCGGCTGTGGGCAGACCCGCCCCTTCCGCAACAACACCTTCTGCCTGCAAACCTGCCCTTCCTTCTGTGACACATGCATTCCCAGGAAGCTTCCCGCCCCTCCTCCCAACACCACCACCACCATTGGCACCAGTACTGGTGCTCGTGTGAACGCAACTGGTGCTCCTGTTGCTCTGCCTCCTCCTTCCGCTCCTGCGGCAGCTTCTACACCTAAGGGTGCATCGGGTGATGGTATCAGATGCAGTAGCAGCTTAGTGCTCGGGTTTGCTCTAGTCCTACTGGCACTCCTGTGAACGTGATTGGTGCTCCAGTTGTTGCTAGGCCTCCTCCTGCCTCTCTTGCGGTTGCTCCTCCCGAAGGGGCAATGAGTGACGGTGTTCACGGCAGCAACTGAGTGGTCAGATTTGTTCCAGTCATGGTAGCGGGGTTTCAACTAGCAAGTGAAACGTGCATGGATCAGTTGAGAGACAGACAGGCACCTTGTACCATTGCCCCATCCACCACCACCTCATCCTGCCTTTTGGGACGCCTGTGTTTTAGGTCATATGTGGCAGATGTTGCACTACAAGCAAGGAACATTTCGTGATCTCAAAACTCGATCATGTGGTCCAATTGCAGCATCAGTACAGGCTATCAAGTATACAACCGTAGCAATGCAGCAACACAGCAAGCGCTTCTCATACAGCAAGCACTAGGTAGGGTTTAAGTCCAGAAGGCTACCCACTCAGCCAGCCAGACCAAATCCACTACCATGCGTACCGGTATGTGCGTCCTATCTTTTCACAACCTCTCGCCAGCAGCTTGGGCAAAGATTGCCTCCTTTCGAAAGCAGCTGAATGACACCTTCTGTAACAATTGCCGACAACGTATCAAAAGATTGCCTGCTTGCTTTCACAGGCATCATGTCTGTCACATGCATTGTTCCTTCATCGAGCGGCTTCAGCAGCTAACCAGGCGACAAAGAGACTAGGCAAGGCAGCGTTTATCAGTCCAGCAATTTAGCCACCACACCAGCACCCACGGTGCGACCGCCCTCCCTCAGAGCGAAGCGCTGGCCTGCAGGGGAGAGGGCATAAGGTGAGGAGAGAGAGCACAGGTGTGAGCGTGCATGCGCACGTGCGTGCGTGCGTGCGTGCGTGCGTGCATGCGTGCGTTTGTGTGTGGCTGTGTGGCTGCTCTCGCATAGATCACTGATGAGTTGAAAGAGTGGCTGCAAAGCTCTGCCAGGACATCAGCGTCTACGGTGTGAGCACCCTCCCTCAAAGCAAAGCGCTGGCCTGCAGGGGGGAGGGGGTTGGAGGAGTGGCAGCACATGCATCCGTGCGAGCGTCCGTGCGAGCGTGCGTGTGCGCGCGCGCGTGTGTGCGCGCACCCACCCGCGAATGAGTGAGTGCTGGGTCAAGAAAGCTACAACACGTAGACATACCTGCTCCAGCACCAACCTGAGACACAGGGAGACAGACGAGGACAGAGAACAAGACAGAGAGAGACAGGGAGACAGACGAGGCAGAAAAGACCCGCCTGCTTCGATGGCAACCAGAGACAGCAGCTCAAACGTGGCAGTGATGTTGTCTCCCGGCATGACCATCTTGACTTCATCTGGCAGCACCACCTTGTTCGTCACATCAGCGGTGCGCAGGTAGCACTGCCGGGCCCGCTCATGCCCCGAGCGACTCGCACCCACCCACACCAAAAGACCGAGAGCGCAACAGAGACAGAGACAGAGGGGGGCAGAGGGAGGCAGAAGGGGCAGACGAGACACACCTGCTTCGATCGCAACTGGAGACAGCAGCTCAAACGTGGCAGTGACGTTATCCCCCGGCATGACCATCTTGACTTCGTCTGGCAGCACCACCTTGCCTGTCACATCAGCGGTGCGCAGGTAGCACTGCGGGCGGTAGTTGGAGAAGAAGGCCGTGTGGCGCCCGCCCTCCTCCTTGGTCAACACGTAGATCTCCGCCTGGAACTTCTGAGACGTCTTGATTGAGCCGGGCTTGCATGCTACTTGACCTCGCTGCACATCCTCTCTCTTGAGCCCTCGCATCAACAGCCCCACATTGTCTCCGGCCTGAGGCAGGGACGGGCAGAAGGGGTGGAAGGGAGGAAGGGGTGGAAGGGCGGTGCATGGGATGAAGTTGGAGAAGAAGGCCGTGTGGCGCCCGCCCTTCTCCTTGGTCAACACGTAGATCTCTGCTTGGAATTTCTGAGACGTTTTGATGGACCCGGGCTTGCAGGCGACCTGACCCCTTTGGACGTCTTCGCGCTTCAGCCCTCGCAGGAGCAGCCCCACGCTATCTCCCGCCTGTTATCAAAGGGCAGAAGAGAGGGAGGGCAGTGCATGACTTCAAAACCCCCCACTAGGCCGTGTGCCGCCCGCCCTTCTCCTGAGAAGCAGCCCTCTTCAGCCCTCCTCGCATGAGCAGCCCGACGTTGTCTCCTGCCTGCATTGCAGCGCCAGAGGGCAGGCCGAAAGGGTGGAAAGGGGTGCAGGCACAGACAGGCGGAAGGGTGGATGGGTGCGCACTTGCACCTGTCCAAGAACCTCACATACCCCCCATCCACCCACCCACCTGCTGCATCAGGCACCCCCATTAACCCCCTTCATCTCCCTTCAACCCCCCTCCCCACCACCGCGCCCCTGGTCAAGGATCTTCTTGAACATCTCCACGCCAGTAACTGCTGCCACTCCATCCCACCCACACCCCCCTTCACCCCTCTTCACCCCCCTTCACCCCCCTTCACCCCCCTTCACCCCTCTTTACCACCCTTCACCGACCTGCCCCTGGTCGAGGATCTTCTTAAACATCTCCACGCCCGTCACCGTTGTCTTGGTGGGATTGCCCGCCTGGAGGAGAAGAGGCGGTGGTGGGGAGCGAGGGGAGAGGAATGGGGAAAAGGGGAAGAGAAGAAGGGGACAGGGGGAGGAGAAGAAGGAAAAGGGGAGAATCTTCTTAAACATTAAACATCTCCACGCCAGTCACCGTTGTCTTGGTGGGATTGCCCGCCTGGAGGGGGGGGGATGGTGGCGGGGGGGGGGAGGGATTGGGGGGGAGGGGGGAACAGGGGTATAAGAGAGACGGATGCGGGAGAGGGGAGAGGGAGGGGTGGTGTTGGAGTGGGATGAGGGATGGGGGGCATGTTGGAACAGTGGTGGGGGGGGGTACACAATGGGCCTACACGCACGGTGCACAATCAAAGTGAGAGTGGTAACCTCTCCTCCTCTGGTAACCTCTCCTCCTCTTGTATCATCCACAGCACAGCACCCCCATGCGCACATTCATGCCCACGATCTCGATTTCATCGCCCACTTTGATGATTCCCTGCTGCTCCACCCACCTTCCAAGGCGATTTCATCTGCCTTCTTGCCCTAACCACTCATAGGCCTCCCTTTACCCCCCTTCCCTTCCCTCCTCCCCTCCCCATGCGCACCTTCATGCCCACGATCTCGATTTCATCCCCCACTTTGATGATTCCCTGCTCCACTCGCCCTTCAAGCGTTTCAGATGCCCTCTACTTACCCCGAACACCCCTCCTTCCCTGCCCCACCCCTCCCTCTTCCCCCCCCATGCGCACCTTCATGCCCACGATCTCGATTTCATCGCCCACTTTGATGATTCCCTGCTCCACTCGCCCTGTCACCACTGTGCCTCGACCCTGTACGGAAGGAAGCAAGAGGGTAAGAATAGAGAAGGGGAGGGGAGGGGCTATTTACTCATCACAGAAGATCCCCTGCTCCACACGCCCTGTCACCACTATGCCTCGGCCCTGGAAGCAGCATGTGGAAGGGGAGGAAGGGGATGCACATAGCGACAAGGGGGAAGAGAAAGAAATTGAGGCTTCTGAGTCGACTCAACGTATCCCCTGCTCCACCCGCCCCGTCACCACTGTGCCTCGACCCTGTGAGGGGCCAAGATGGCAACGGGGACGGAGGGGGAAGAGGAGTGGGGAGGGAGAGGAAGTGGGAGGCGTGGAGGGGGGAAAGGGAGGAAGGTGGTGACGAGAGAGACCGTTGCGGGAGATCACATCCTCAATGAACATCACAAGGGCTTGCGAAGAGAGCGCTGGGGCTCAGAGATGCCACGGCGTTGGGACTCGTCCACGGCTGTTATGGCCTTGAGCGAGCACCGCCTGCTGCTCGCAGTTACTTTTGAGTCGACTCAAAAGGAGATTTCCTGCAACATCACAAGGGCTTGCGAAGAGAGCGCTGGGGCTCAGGGATGCATTCGTCCACGGCTGTTATGGCCTTGAGCACTGCCTGCTGCTTGCAGTGCTGCACTCACCATGCATTCGTCCATGCATTCAAAATCTCTGAACTGTTATGGCCTTGAGCACAACCGAGGTGGGACACCCACCTGGATGGAGAACACGTCTTCAATGGGCATCAAGAAGGGCTTGTCCAGTGACCGCTGCGGCTCAGGGATATACTCGTCCACGGCTTCCATGAGCTTCAGCACCGCCTTCTTGCCAATCTCCTCATTGGTGCCCTGCAGTGCTGCCAGCGCTGACCCTCGCACGATGGGGATGTCGTCCCCTGGGAACTTGTAGAAGGACAGCAGCTCTGGGGGGAAAGGTTGGAGGGAGGGATGTGGGGAAAGAGGGGGGAGGGCAGTGGGACAGGGCAAGGGAGAAAGAGGGGAAAGAGAGGGCGAGGAGGGGTTTTTGTGAGCATGAGAATGGCCTTCTTGCCGATCTCCTCATTGGTGCCCTGCAGTGCTGCTAGTGCTGACCCTCGCACGATGGGGATGTCGTCCCCTGGGAACTTGTAGAAGGACAGCAGCTCTGGGGGGAAAAGGGCGTGAGAAGAGAGGGGGGGGGGGGGGGGGGTTGGGGCGGGATTGAGGGGGGAGGTTCCGCTGGAACACAGTGACCTGCGCACGATGGGGATGTCGTCCCCTGGGAACTTGTAGAAGGACAGCAGCTCCGTTTGGAAGCGAGGGCGGGTGGAGGGGGAGCGGGGTAGGAAGGATCGGGGGGCACCATACATTTAAGCACTGGCCCGTGCACGAAGGGGATATCGTCCCCTGGGAACTTGCAGAAGGAGAGCAGCTCTAGGTGAGAGAGAGGGGTGGCACGGAGGGGGGGAGATTGTCACGGAAGAGGGTGAGGAAGAAAGGGAAGGAACTAGAGCACCGCATCGACACGCACACGATGGGGATGTCGCCTCCTGGGAACTTGTAGAAGGAAAGGGGCTCTGGGGGCGGGAGGGAGACGGAGGACAAAGGGGAAAGAGCAGGGAAGGAAGGGCGGGTTGCACTAGAGCACACTGCATAGCATTGACCCTCGCATGAATGAGGGTGGAGGAGGGTGGAGACCCTCATACATTGCACTCACGTGCACTCCCTCGCTTACTCACCTGCCTACCTTACCCGCACACCACCTCACTCACTCTGTCCCACTTACCTCGCAGCTCCATCTCCACGAGCTCCAGCAGCTCCAGCAGCTCCAGCAGCTCCTCGTCGTCTACCATATCCACCTTGTTAACAACAGCCGCACATGCACGCAAACCCTACCACACTCCCTCCCTCACTGATTCACACACGAGCCCGCTCCTGCACTACCTCATTCCCTCTGTCCTTCTGTTACTCACCCCATCTCCATCTCCAGCAGCTCCAGCAGCTCCTCGTCGTCTACCAAATCCACCTTGCTAACAGCAGCCACACATGCATCCACTCCCACCGCACACAACCCCTACTCGCCAACTCACTCGCTCTGCCCCTCTCACCTCGCAGTTCCATTTCCACCAGCTCCAGCAGCTCCTCATCGTCTACCATGTCCACCTTGTTCAGGAAACACACCAGCGACGGCACTCCCACCTGGAGAGAGGGGGAAGGCGAAGGGAGGAGTCAGGGAGGCACACACATATGAGGCATGTGGACAAGGCAAAGCGTGCTCTCTTGCTCCTCATCGTCTACCATGTCCACCTTGTTCAGGAAACACACCAGCGACGGCACGCCCACCTGGAGGGAGGGGGGAGGTGAGGGGAGGGGAGGCACGTGCGCATGAGGCATGTGGACGAAGCAAGGCGTGTTCTGCTCCTCCTTCCCACCATCATCCACCTTGTTAAGGAAGCACATCAGCGACGGCACGCCCACCTGCCAGGTCAAAGGGACGTGGTGGGTGGGTAGAGACAGGGCATGTGAGCTCCGAGAAGGTGGGGCGTGCTGCGAAAGAGACAACAAGGTGAACTCGGGTACTACAGACAGACTACAGGTGCGTGCCTGTGACCATTCTCCGTCCATCCGAGCAGCACCTGTGATCATGTTCTTCACTTAGTCCGCGTGGCTCGAGTGGGGTGGTGGGTGTGGCGAGGAGGAGGAGGTAAAAGGGCAGGGCGGGTTGAGGTAGGGGGGGGAGAGTAGCAGAGCACGTGCTGCCTTCCTTCTGCGTCTAAAGAGCTCATCCTTTCTCTCACCTGTCTGGCCAGCAGAATGTGTTCGCGCGTCTGAGGCATGGGACCATCAGGAGCCGACACCACCAGAATGCCTCCGTCCATCTGAGCGGCGCCTGTGATCATGTTCTTCACGTAGTCCGCATGGCCGGAGAAGGGGGGTGAGGAGAGGAGGAGGAACGGCCCACGTGCCCACGTGCTGCCTTGCCATTCTGTCAAAACGGCCCGTCCCTACTCACCTGTCTGGCCAGCAGAATGTGTTCGCGCGTCTGGGGCATGGGGCCATCAGGGGCCGACACCACGAGAATGCCTCCGTCCATCTGAGCGGCGCCTGTGATCATGTTCTTCACGTAGTCCGCGTGGCCTGGGCAGTCCACGTGTGCGTAGTGGCGCTTCTCTGTTTCGTACTCCACATGGGCCTAAAGTCAACGAGAGTCAACGGGTCAACGAGGGAGAGGTGAAGGGGGGTCAACAAGAGTCAACGGAAGTCAATGGGCGTCAGATGTGAATCAACGAGAGTCAACGAAAATGGGAGTCCATGTGACTCAGCAGCTGTGAATGGGCCACGTCTCCGCCTAAGCACTCACAGCAGCAACAGCAATGATGCACTCACAGTAGCAATGGTGATGCCACGAGCCTTCTCCTCGGGCGCCTTGTCAATCTCATCGAACGCAATCGCCTTCGCCTTGCCCTCGTCCGCCGATGAGGCGAACGCTAGCACACAACCTCGTCCCCCCCCCCCACCCTTGTATGCTCTGCACTCACAGTAGCAATGGTGATGCCGCGGGCCTTCTCCTCAGGCGCCTTGTCAATCTCATCGAACGCAATCGCCTTCGCCTTGCCCTCGTCCGCCAGAACCTTTGTGGACACAATGGTTGGAGGGGGGAGAAGAGGAGGATAGGAAACGAGAAGGATAGGGAACAAGGGTGAGAGGAGAAGACACAAGGGCAGGAAGCAAAGCAAAGGCCTTTCATGGTGGAAAAGCAAAGCGCATCACCCTGGTATAACTGGCGGCGATGAAACGCGGCTGCGCGTCGCGTACCTTGGTGATGGCAGCGGTGAGTGTGGTCTTGCCGTGATCCACATGGCCGATGGTGCCGATGTTCAAATGCGGCTTGCTGCACACGGGGAGATACGCACGCACGAGGGGGGATACGCGGGAGAGGCGTAGGCATGCGGGGAGACACGTGGGGAGGCGGCACGCGGGGAGGGACACGGGGAGGGTTGCGGGGAGGGACGCGCACAAGCGGTGTTCAAGCGCACGCAGAATAAGGGGCACGGATGAATAGCGGTAGACGAGCAAGTGGATATGCTTGTATCACTTTTGAAATTTCTCACAGATTCGCCGCCAGTGAAAACCGCACAAGCACTAGCAGAATAAGGGGCACGGATGCACAGCCGTAGGCGAATAAATCCTTGCGGTTTTGAGCGTAAGACGACCAAAACAGCGGCAGGCGAAATCATGCTTGTGAAAATCGCGACACGAGCCACCCGATCTTGACAAAGACTCGGCTAAGTCGGTAGTCTCACGCGATCTTGAATCATAGCGGAGCTGCGTGAAAGCTGCTACTCACGATCGGGAAAAGGTCGCGTATCCACGCCTGCACTGCGCTGCGATCGCCGCCGCGTCTCCCGCCGCGACTGACGGAGCAATGCCGCGAAACGACATCGACGACGCAGCGGCGCAAGTCACGGAGCTTCTGAAGGGAGACACCGCGCCGCTTAGCACCGCATCCACGTCACGACCTCCCGCAAACCCCGCGAGATCGCACGTGCTGACGTGGCGGCTGGCCAGCGCGGCGGCGCCATTTGGTGACGTGGCCGGCGCGGAAACTCCTGCTTGCGATCCGGATTCGACGGATCGGAAGAGCGCGCCGAGCGCGCTTCCTGTCGCTCGGTTGCGCGAAAGAACACGGTGGACGGATGTAACGGCCATCGTTATTAGCACCAGATCTGCGATCCCTCGGTGTAAGAAAGTGACAAACGGTCCTGCTGCGAAAGATGGTCTCCTCCCTGAACGTTTTTTCTAGACCTTCCTGAAGCGTCGAGTTGTAACACAGCGTACTAGCGTCGCTTAGGTGATAGGATGCGAGACTCAGCAGGCCCGAGAAGGCGAAGTAGGAGGGACAGTAGCTAAGCGAAAGGCTTAGCGGCTGGACCCACACCTAAAACAAGCGACTGCGATTCGAGCGCTACGTCGCGTGTTAGGCGCTACGACAAATCGTAGCGGCTGATAGGTCGAGCGAGACTCGAGATTCCAGTCAAAATCACGCCTATGTCTCTAAAGCTATGGTGGTGGTGCTATACCCTATTCCTGTCAGTCCTGGTAGCAGCAAAGCCAACTTCGAGGTTCGCGCTGTTGGCTGAACTGTTGTTACTAGAAGCTTACAATTCTTAAGTGTACAACAATATCATTACATATCAATGAGGCCCTTTATAATTGGGTAACACTTTCTACAAGTTCTTGATTGTGGTTCCATGAAGGCGAAACGAGTGGGTGTACTCCCACAATTGTTGCATAAACTCTGCGGATGGTTGCTGGTCTTCTTGCTCCACCAACTGCAAGCAAAAGCCACATGTTAATTCAAATGGTGACGAAAGTTAGAAATAAAGTGACTGAACAAACAACACCACTTGTCTCACCTTAACCCTATCATCCTCTTGAAGCTCTCCCATGTAGAAATGCTGCAATTTTACAACAGAAAATGGACAAGAGTTATTAGGGAACAAAACCAAATGAACAATATTGAAGATCCCACAGCAATAACGATATAGAAAAGGGCGAAAGTTGCTGTAGTTGGCATACGAGTTTACTGACTCACCCTTAGGTAAAGAAACGACTCTCGTGATGAATGGTACAGCTCAAAGAAAACAGTGCAGTCCCGATTGAGCCCCCACAGTGTTCACCCCATTAAACGCAAACAAGGAAGCTTATAGAGAGGACAAGTGGCAGTGTACCCTTGTGAAGGAAAAAAGACAAAGTGACATAGACATTTCAAAACCGTAGTCACATTTACTCACCACCACTGAGCCTCACCTGAGTTGGAATGATTGTATCGCCTCCCGGGTGTTCCGGTAACCATCTGGTTACATCCAGCACCATGCCATCCAGAAGCAGCCAACAGTTGCCACCCACATTGCGTTCCGCCACCTCAGCAAAGGTGTACTCACTGGGATGGCAGGCAGGTGGATGGATGGGGGTGCATGGATGGGGGTGCATGGATGGGGGTGCATGGATGGGGGTGCATGGATGGGGGTGCATGGATGGGGGTGCATGGATGGGGGTGCATGGATGGGGGTGCATGGATGGGGGTGCATGGATGGGGGTGCATGGATGGGGGTGCATGGATGGGGGTGCATGGATGGGGGTGCATGGATGGGGGTGCATGGATGGGGGTGCATGGATGGGGGTGCATGGATGGGGGTGCATGGATGGGGGTGCATGGATGGGGGTGCATGGATGGGGGTGCATGGATGGGGGTGCATGGATGGGGGTGCATGGATGGGGGTGCATGGATGGGGGTGCATGGATGGGGGTGCATGGATGGGGGTGCATGGATGGGGGTGCATGGATGGGGGTGCATGGATGGGGGTGCATGGATGGGGGTGCATGGATGGGGGTGCATGGATGGGGGTGCATGGATGAGGGTGCATGGATGGGGGTGCATGGATGGGGGTGCATGGATGGGGGTGCATGGATGGGGGTGCATGGATGGGGGTGCATGGATGGGGGTGCATGGATGAGGGTGCATGGATGGGGATGGGGTGTGCACGCATGGGGTTGCACGGTAAAAAGGAAGCGCAGGGCAGGCCAGGGCGGAAACTACAGCATCATACTCTACGAAGGGAACCCACTCTCACCAGTGACTTTTGAGTCGACTCAAAAGGGCAGGGCGGAAGCTATAGCATGAAGCTCCACGCCAGGAACCCACTCTCACCGGATGCGCGATTCAAAGAGCCCTTGACGCTGGTCTCAGAGGTCTGCAAGGCTCTTGAGCCCCAAGGCAGCAGCTGCTTCCCTCAGGTCCCCAGTCAGGTTGACGTCAAACTGGAAGCTCCCTGCCTGCCGGCCCCTGGAAACCTGAACCCTGAAATAGGATCAGAAGCCCTATACCATGGAACCCCTCTCACCGGATGCGCGATTCAAAGAGCCCCTGTCGCAGAGATCTTGGAGACTTTTCAGCCCCAAGGCACTTGCTGCCTCCCTCAGGTCTTGAATGAGGTTGATGTCAAACTGGAAGTCTCCCCCCTGCCCCTTGAAATCCGCCTCTAAGAACAGCAGCACTCGGTCCAGCAGTAAGCAGTCGATGGGTACTTGAACGGTTGCGGGCTCTGGGCTCGTGTCCTGCACTGCCTGGAGTAGCATGAAGGAAAGTCAGAAAGGGCAGTCAGGGAGTGGGGTGTCAAACTGGAAGCCCCCTGCCTGCCTGCCTGCCTGCCTGCCCTTTTAAGGGCGCCTCTAGAAACGTGGGAGCACGCTCCAGTCGTCTTTCTTGTGAGCATTCTGGTAAGATAGTCGAGAGTGTGGACGGTGGGACGGGAAGGAGAGAACGTGGGACGGGAAGGAGGAAACAGGGGACACACTAGCATAGAAAGACACGGCATTGGAAAAAGCCACATGTTCATAGAACAACATACTTTAGTAAGTGTGAGGCACGGTCGCAGAAGTGCCTTCTTGACTGGGAATAGCTCATCGTCTGATGATAGGAGCTGGGGTCGGAAGCGGAAGCGGCGGGGCGTTGGGGAACAAGGGATGAAGAAAGGGGAAGAATGGAGCCAGTTCAGCGAGCTGAGGAAAAAGGAGAAGAATTGCTCTTCGTGAGTTGGGGAAGAACGGTCGCAGAAGAGCCTTCTTGACTGGGAAAAGCTCATCGTCTGATGATAAGAGCTGGGGACCAGGGGGTAAAGGAGGGTGGGTTTGGGGAAGACGAAAGAAGAGGAATGAAGCGAGTGGGGAAGGGGGAGGAAAGACGAGAGGAAAGGCATGGTCGCAGAAGGGCCTTCTTGACTGGAAAGAGCTCATCGTCTGATGATAAGAGCTGGGGGAGGGGAGGTGGGGAGGGGGGGTTAAGGGGTTGGACGGAAGGATAAAATGCGGGAAAGGGGGATCAGGCAAGGTGGTCAGGACCAAAATACTGTGGGCAGAAATGTAAACGAAGAGCTGGTAAGGTGAACACAGCGATTCAAAAAAATCAGGTGGGAACCCAGTTGACTGGGCAAATGCCTGCTCTGCTCCTTCCTTCCCCCTCTACCCCTCAAAGCCCCCATCCACGCTCGAAATTTGCATGGGGCACACACACTCACATTGACAACCCTACTCGGGCCTGTGTTTTTGGCAGCCTGCTTGGGAGCCCAGTTCACTAGCCGTATGCCTGCTCATCCCCCTCCACACCTCAACCCCCAACCGCACTCTTTCCTTGCAAGGGAGGAACTCACATTGACAACCCTACTCGGGCCTGCGCTCCTGGCAGCCTGCTTGGGAGCCCAGTTCACTTTCTGTACACCTGCTCATTCCCCCCTCCACCAGCCAAAACCCTTCACCCCCCCCAACCACGCTCGTTCCGTGCATGGGGCACACTCGCATTGACAACCCTACTCGGGCCTGCACTCCTGGCAGCCTGCTTGGGTGCCCAGTTCACAAGCCGTATGCCTGTGCGAGCAAGGGGAGGGAAAGGGGGCGCTCAGAAGTGCAAAGGCGAGGGAAAGGGTCAGAATACCAGGGCGGTAAGATAGGAACGGCAGAAAAAGGGGATGGATGGGGGAACCACGAAAGTGGGGGGAAACGAATTAGACACATCAGACAAGGCAGAAAACAGAAACAACGACAAAAAAAAAAAAAAAAAAAAAGAGCAAAGAGATCGTACCTGTATCGGGTACTAAGTGTATTTGAGTGTTGTTAGTGAGCATGCCTCGGTAGCTGTGGTAGAGAACTGCCTCCTCTCTCTCCTCCTCACCTGCCACAGACACGAGCAAGAAGGACGAGGGACAGAGATTCTGAGCTTGATTCACAATTACCAGGGGTATAGCACTGCCTTTTGAGGCACCTCAAAATATAGCACTGCCTCCTTTTGCTCCTCCTCACCTGCCACACCTCAGCAACGAGCGAGTGAGATTGTTGCAGTCGACTCAAGAATCGGAGAAATAAGGCACACAGACGCAAACAACGCTAGCAGGCAAATCGTTCAACCGCAGAAGCTTTAGGTTCACCCCTCCAGGGTTCGTTCTGTTGTCCAAAACACATATACCCTCAATAAGTGCAGCATGCGGTGTGATGTGGCGGTGGTGGCTAGAGTGACTCACTCAGATTGTTTGCCTCTGCCACTCGCACTGCCACCTCCTTCCCTCCAGCAGACACCACCAGCCTGCAGCATGGTGACACGTGGCCCAATGCAAAGATGCCACGTGGCGCAATGCAAGGATGCCACGTGGACATGGAGTTGGGTTCGGGGCAAAAGACAGGCTTGCAAACAGCACACGTGCGGGTGGGTGGCAACATGCACTCAATTCAACCATTGATGAGATGGTTGAACTGAAGTGGTTGAACATAGTTTTTCCTGCACAAACGTATTTCCCTTATCGCAACCACTTAGAGGCGCCTCAAAATAAGTGAGGAAGGCAACCTCGGAAGAAGAGGCATACGTGTGGGAGACTGTTAGCACTTGATGGTGAAACATTTGATGAATCTGATTGCACAAATCCCCAGCGTCTAAAGATAGGCACCCGCCCTTCCCCTTCCCCTCCTCCTCCTCCTCCTCCTCCTCCTCCTCCTCCTCCTCCTCCTCCTCCTCCTCCTCCTCCTCCTCTTCCTCCTCCTCTTCCTCCGCTCCCCCCCCCTTCTCTCCCACACTACCCTCACTCCTTCCCTTCTCCATACCAGCAGCGCCCCCTAGCAGAACCCGAACCTCCAAAGTCACATCTGTTGTGATTGTAAAAAGGGGTACAGGAGCTGTGAGTCGTCTCTAACGCCATAACGAGGTGTGTGACTGCAACGAGGAATAATGGAGCGAATAATGGGGCTTTGGAACGTCCCAAAAGCAGAGAGAGGTGTGTGATTGTAACGAAAGAGCGGCTATGTACATGACATGCCCGAATTGCAATGGAGGGACAGAAGGATGATGGTGTGGTGAGGGAGAGGGAAAGGGACATGGTGTGGTGTGACTTTTGAGTTGCCTATCACACCCTACGTACCATGCAGTGCGAATCTTGGGGATGGGAGAAAGACGTCAAAGTCATAATGAATCTGCAGAGCACACAGCAGAGCATACAGAGAAACTGATAGAGAAACTGATAGAGAGAAACTGTTAGGGAGAAACTGATGGGGAGAAACTGATGGGGAGAAACTGATGGGGAGAAACTGATGGGGAGAAACTGATGGGGAGAAACTGATGGGGAGAAACTGATGGGGAGAAACTGATGGGGAGAAACTGATGGGGAGAAAGACAGAGTAACTGTCTGACTCGGATGGATGCACGCAGTGATGCCTAATGTTGAGGATGCGGAGAGGCAGAGGGGAAGGGAGGCAGAGAGGCAGAGAGGCAGAGAGGCAGAGAGGCAGAGAGGCAGAGAGGCAGAGAGGCAGAGAGGATGCAGGCACACGTAATGCGTGCACACACCACAGCTACTCTCACAAGGGAGGCAGACTCACATCAGAGGCGAGGTGCATGTTGAATCGGTGCACGGCAGAGAGGGCTATGGCGGCTGGTGGGACGCTTGGGTGCGGGCTGGCATGGGCATGCATTGGTAGGGGAGAGAGAGAGGCAGGCACGGGCTGTCCTTGATTGGGCTGATGTTGGGAATTGTCCTTTTGAGGCGCCTCAAAAGATGCTGGGAGTGATAACAGCAGAGTGATGATTAATTAAACATCATGCATCATGCGTTACACATTGCACACCGATGGATGTGTGCCTTCATGTATGTATGCCCTCATGTATGTATGTGTGTGCACATTTGTGAGCATGCCCATGTCCGTGCGCACGCACGCATGCACACATGCATGCACATGTGCGTGTGCGCACTCACATGACTGCTAGAACCCCATCGCTGCCACCCTGCATCACATGGCATGCCAACACAACAAGGACAGGAGACGAAAAAAATTGGTGTAAGTATAGCGCCGGCAGGAGGAGAGTCAAGTCGAATGAGGGGACGCCAATTCAAGGTTCTCGAACTGGTATTGCAAAGCAGTGCCCCACGTTGCACCACATTACCCCACATTGAACCGCATTGCCTTGCCCCATACATGGCCTTTTCCTCGCACTCCCCCAAGGTTCACCTAGAGCCCACCTTTAGTCCCCATTCACCCCCCCCAAACGGTCCCCCATACCCCAGCTCCATACCCCAGCTCGATACCCCAGCACCACTCTCAACCCATTCCCAACCCATCCCCGCCTTACCTTCTGCACCAGGTATATGCGCCCACATTCCCCCCCTTCCTCCCCCTGCTCCTGTCCCTTCTCCCCCAGTTCTCCTCCCCTCTCTCCCTGCTTCCCCTCCCTCTCGCCTCCTCGAGATCCTTCTGCATCTTTTCCCCCGTCCCTTCCCCCTTGATCCTCCCCCATCCCCAGCAACCCGCGGATCCATCCCCCCACCGCCCCTCCGCCCATGATCCCTCCCCCGGCTGCGCCTCTCCCCCTCGCGCGCCTTCCCCGCGCGTTCAGATTCCCCCCCGACCCTTCCGCTTCCGCCTGCTGCCACGTGTCCTTGATAGCCGCCCAATCCGACGGGTTCACTCCGCATTGCCGCCCTGCCAGCTCGGATAACGGCCGTGCCGATCCGCTGCTGGCACTGACGGTGATTCCGTGTGCCACGTCATCAGGATGCGTGGACGCTGACGTGTCGAGATCTTCCCAATTGACCACCTGGTTTGGGGGTGGAGACGAGGCTCGAAAGGGACGAATCAGGTTGTCAATCCGGCTTGACTAACATGGAATGGAACAAGCTGAGCTCCAATACGAGCTTCGCGCCGGCGCGCTAATCTGTGCGCTCTTTAACGTCACATTCAACGGATTTGGACACTGTAGCGGTGACATTCTCCTGATTCCGCACTCTCCCTGATCCGTCTAAGATTCACGCCAAACATGAAGCACAGGAAGCCTCATGAAGTTTTTCTTATTTTCGCGAATCGCTCGCAGCATTCCGTTCCGTGACGCAAGCGCACCTTCAGGCGGAAATGGCGCTTCGCTGCCGACTCGTCATTCGCCATTGTCACGCGCGGCTAGTGTCAGAAAAATGCACTTATCAGTCGACCAATCAGAAGTTGTCAGGACCCTGCACAAGTCCAAGGCAGTTCGAATTTAGGTTGCCTCGATTTGAGATAGACACCTGACACAAGTGTACACAGTTTCACAAATTGTAGAGAATTTTTCAGATATTAGAACCCATCCCTCGTTTCGTTCACCCAATCGGTGGCAACCACCTCTACAGTAAATCAACCCCCACCACACAACTTCCTCTCGAGAATGAACAAATTTTATCAACAGCTATCCAGAAAAGGGCCCCTTGGGATTGTCGAACAGAAACTGATCCAAGTAGTATCGGAGTAGTCACAGCTACCATAAACTAGTTGATTCCACGTTCTGTATTGTACCACGCACCGCATGTGGCAGCGGCGGATACGCTTCCACAGCTCGCCGTGACCTTTCCGTCACGCGACGACCGCCATGGCTCGCGGCGGAGGAACAAAGGTCAGATTACGGCCTTATCTAACATAAGCGTGTTCCAGACATTTGAGTTCGGGTTCCTGCATTACTTAGCAAATTAATCTCTATTGGGTTATTGTAGACTGTTGGGTGTTTACAAATTTTCTTGAATCTTCCATGTCAGACGGATTCAGTCCCGTCGACCCATCCAAACATTCTGACCAGCTTACATCTGGATGATTTCTCATCTCACTACCCACGCTTCGCTCTGTCAGTATCAGCTCTGTGCTCTTCCTCACTCCATTTTGCGCATACCATCTTCACCTTCTCCTAATATCTGTCCTGCGACTGTCGCTACCTTATTCGTCATCAACTTTTCAGGGTGGACCTATCATGAAACGTGGATCGGGTGGCAAACCTGCTGCTGGAAAGACACGTGGCGGCAGCAGCGGAAAGTCCAATCCCAAGGACAAGGCATCGTCACGGAAAACTACCGGTTCCGTGCAGCCCGCTAGCCGGCTAGTCGCCAGCAATCGTGGCCGAGGACGTGGGGGAACGACAGCAGGGCGAGGAGGCAAGGCCGGCGCAAAATCCGCCAAGCCCGCGAAATCACCGGCTCCGGCGGCGGCGGCGGAGGAGGACGTTGAGCTGTCAGACGAGGACGTGGCGTTCTTCGCGCAGCACCAGCACTTCGCGCGCTTCCTCTCGGGCCTCGAGGAGCAGCAATTGGGCAGGTGAGCGGTCAATCGCTCTGCCCGTACGCGTTTCGTCGCACACTCTAGCCTAGTAATTTAATATTATATGGCGTGTAATACTGACAGATTCATTGTTTGTCCAATGTGTCCTGTTTATCCTCAGTGAAACCAAGGGAGCTAAGCCGAAACTGCCTAGACCAGATCGTGCTGAGAAAGGAAGCGATGCTGACAGTAGCGAGGATGATGAAGGGGAGAAGGAGGCTAGTTCCGATGATAACGACTCAGAAGGTTCAGATGCGAGTGATGACGTGGACGAGGATGACGTGGAAGAGGACGTGACTGACGAGGATGAGGAGCTAGCGGATGAAGAGGAAGAGGATGAAGATGGCGCCGCAGCGGATGCGCGGATGACGGGAGACGAAGATGAGGAGGAAGAGAAGGAAATAGAAATGGCGGAGGACGAGGAGGAAGAGGAGGAGGAGGATGACGAGGAGGAGGAAATGGAGCCTGTGATTTCTGACGACGAGTTTGACGATGAGGATGAGGAGGAGGACGATGAAGAGGAGGAGGAGGGTAACTTTAGCGACGACGACGACGATATTGACGAAGTGATGGTCTTCGCTGATTCATCAGCGGCTGGTCTCGGCTCTCTGCCCCAGAAAGGCGCTAAAGGGAAGGCGGGGGAAGCGCGCCGAGCGGACAAGGGGAAGGGCGGAAGGAAGGGGGATGGGGCGGAAGGGGAAGAAGAAGAGGGTGCGGAGGCGGAGGGGGAAGATGAGTCGGAGGATGAAGAGGCGGAGTACGAGAGGGGATCCCGCCGCCCTGGGTGGGCTGCGCCAGCGGGTGCCGCGGGGAAGTTTGCGCCGAAACCCCGCGCCGCTTCCGCGGGTGTGGGAGGAGACGCGGAGGAGGTTGCGGTGGAATTGGCAGCAGGGGCGGAGGGGGAGAAGAAGGGTTCAATGCGGGGTTTCGGGCTTATAGCGGCGAGGGACAAGGGTGTGTTGGTGGATGCTGTTGACGCTCTGCCGGTTAAAACCCTTGACGGCCGGCTGATGTTCCGCGCGATTGAAGTGGCGGAAGGGGCGGAGGGAGAGAAAGGGGAGAAAGGGAAAGAATTGGCCGGGGAGAAAGAGGATGGGAAGAAAGGGAGGAAAGGGAAGAAGGGGGAGGAGGGTAAGGGAGGTCCGAGAGGAGAGGAGGCGGAGGAAGGGGAGGAGGAGGAGGAGGGCGAGGGTGGGGCGGCGGAGGGGAAGGAAGCAGGGGCTAGGAGGCAGCCGAAGGATGCGTCGAAGCTTACCCTGCAAGAGCAAGCCATGGTACGCTCTTCCCTTCCTCCCCTCCCTTTTGCCCAAAGGCATGGTGATGGTACGTCCTTCTTGCTCGGTACTTAGTGATGCCCCTTTATGTTATGGATTTCTTCTTTCTATATGGTTTAGTGGGATATTAACTGCTAACTTTTTTCTCTACTGTCTTTTTCGCAGATGGAGTTGCAGGAGGAGATGTCGGTGGAGGAGCGGAGGGCGGCAGTGAAGAAGGCTATAGCGCGGATGAGCACGCAAATTCTCGCTGACCCCGAGACTCACATCGGCATGTTGAAGTCTCTGCACGTGAGTGCCGTCTCTCGCTTCTGCAAGTGAGTCGAGTTTTGAGTCGACTCAAAACGAGACGCACATCGGCATCTTGAAGTCTCTGCACGTGAGTGTCGTCTCTCGCTTCTGCAAGTGAGTGTCCTGTCCCAGCTGCAACGACTGCGGCGGGATGCGATGTGGTGAGCATAGTGAGCATCACCTCTCTTTTAAAGTGCGCCTGCCTTGAAACTCAAAACCTTCCCTCCTTCACCCCCCGCGTCCTCCTCTTTTTCCCCCCATGTCAGAAGTTGTGTTTGGACCTTGACGCCATTGTGGCCAGCCTTGCGGTGCTGTCGCTGACAGCAGTCTTCCGAGACATCATCCCCGGGTACCGCGTGCGCATGCGCTCGGAGAAGGAGAGGATATTTCTCACCGCTTTCCCCCTTTTTTCCCGCTTCCCCCCTCCATCAACCCCATTTCAGAAGCTGTGTTTGGATCTAGACGCCATCGTGGCGAGCCTCGCAGTTCTCTCGCTGACAGCAGTGTTTAGAGACATCATCCCCGGCTACCGCGTGCGCATGCGCTCGGAGAAGGAGCGCGCGATGGTGATGAGCAAGGAGGTCAAGAAGCGCTGGCTCTTCGAGGAGGGCCTGCTGCAATCCTACCAGGTCCGTCATATGAAGCGGGTTTCGGGTTTTTGTCTCCTAGTCGCCTCGATACAAGCCGTTTCTCACGTCGCTCGGAGAAGGAGCGCGCGATGGTGATGAGCAAGGAGGTCAAGAAGCGGTGGCTCTTCGAGGAGGGCCTGCTGCAATCCTACCAGGTCCGCCTTGTAACGGGTATTCGCTGTTGCGTATTTTGTTCCACATACCGCTGCTGCGTTATGAAGCTGTGTTCATTCGAGCCATTACAGCCGGTCTGATACGCCTGGACAGAGCCTAAACCTTCTGGTTTTGCTTTTTGAGAACGGGCGATTTTGGGAAGAGAAGGTCATGCAAGTGAGGGAGAATCGATTAAGTAGGAAAGCGCGGTGATGACACTGGATGGCTGAGAGGCCTTCACCTCGTTGACGCTCCCAATAGACTACAATTATCTGAGCGCTCTCCGACTCCCCCTCCTTCAGTCCGTCTCTCCCCACTCTCCCAATCCAACCCATCTATACCCCGATTCGGCATGTAGTTTACAAGTTTCCGGGCGCTATTCTGCCTTTGCTTGTGGGGAATGGGGAGAGGGGAAGGGCGGGTGAGGAAAGGGAATGGGAAGGATGGGGAACGGGAAGGGCCTTGGGAAGCGCGGTGATGACACTGGATGGCTGAGAGGCCTCGCCTCGTTGACGCTCCCAATAGACTACAATTATCTGAGCGCCCTCGTGTCCTCCAATCGGTCTCTTCCCACTCACCCCAGTATTCCTCGATTCCGGTCGGCCTGTAGCTATCCAGTTCTGAGGGTCTAGTTAATTCTGCAGTGGGGAAAGAGGAAAGGGGCAGGGAATCTCGAGGGTTAAGGATTGGGAGGGGAAACTGGGAGGCGCGGTGATGACACTGGATTGCTGAGAGGCCTTCACCTCGTTGACGCTCCCAATAAACTACAATTATCTGAGCGCTCTCCGACTCCCCCTCCTTCAGTCCGTCTCTCCCCACTCTCCCAATCCAACCCATCTATACCCCGATTCGGCATGTAGTTTACAAGTTTCCGGGCGCTATTCTGCCTTTGCTTGTGGGGAATGGGGAGAGGGGAAGGGCGGGTGAGGAAAGGGAATGGGAAGGATGGGGAACGGGAAGGGCCTTGGGAAGCGCGGTGATGACACTGGATGGCTGAGAGGCCTCGCCTCGTTGACGCTCCCAATAGACTACAATTATCTGAGCGCCCTCGTGTCCTCCAATCGGTCTCTTCCCACTCACCCCAGTATTCCTCGATTCCGGTCGGCCTGTAGCTATCCAGTTCTGAGGGTCTAGTTAATTCTGCAGTGGGGAAAGTGGAAAGGGGCAGGGAATCTCGAGGGTTAAGGATTGGGAGGGGAAACTGGGAGGCGCGGTGATGACACTGGATTGCTGAGAGGCCTTCACCTCGTTGACGCTCCCAATAGACTACAATTATCTGAGCGCTTTTCTAGTTCCCTCTGGGCTGTCCTCTCTCTCATCCTCACACCCGCTTTCATCATTGGAGTGGTCGAGTGAAATCGCCCCACTACCCACATTCTGCCCATGTCCTTTGCAGAACCTCAATCTCTTCTTCGTCCCACCCGTGTCCTAAACCCTTTCGCTCTCTGTTCTCCGCTCTCCAATCCTTCATCACGCTCCTTCTGAAGCACGGCAAGCAAGCAGCGCGCCGAACCGTGTCAGTGCGCGCCATGTGCGGGCTGCTGCGCGCCAAGCCATGTGGAAAGCCTTACCCCCCCTGTCCCCCTGTGCTCAACCCTTTCTCTCTCCCCTCTCCAGTCATTCGTCAACCTCCTCCTGAAGCACGCAAAGCAAGCTGCGCGCCGAGCCGTGTCAGTGCGCGCCATGTGCGGACTGCTGCGCGCCGCTCCGCACTTCAACTGCCGCTCGGAGCTCATCCGCGCCATCATTCCGCGCATGGACCTCGCGGACGATAGCATCAGGTAGGAAGTTACAGGTTTTGGGGTTTGGGGTTCAGAGTCTTAGTGGTTTCTTATCCGGGTTCAGGGTTTGGGGACGTGAATTGAGTGGACCGCACTTGAACTGCCGTGCGGAGCTCATCCGCGCAATCATTCCCCGCAGCTACCTTGCAGACTACAACATCAGGTGTATTTATTCAGGACTCTGGGTTTCGGGTTCAGAGTTTCAGTGATGGCTTTTGCGAGTTGAGGGTTGAGAGTCCAGTAACGTTGAGTTAACGGCAGAGGCTGCTGAGCCGTTCAGCTTGTACCTGACTTCGTCACCGTTCACCCCTTTCCCCCACCTTTCCCGTGTTCTCCTCGTCCCCAGCTCCCTCTGCTGCAACACCATAGCGGAACTCATGCGGGAGGACGGGCGGCACGACGGAGAGGCCACAGTGGAGGCGGCAGAGCTCGTTGCTGACTTCATCCGCCAACGCTGCTGCGTCACGCGCCCTCAGGTGGGTCATGCACCCTCTCAGTTCCTGCTACTTCTCCCCTCACCCTCTCATTACCTCTTGTTGAAAAAGTCACGCGCCCTCAGGTGTTGCTGCCTCTCTTCTCGTTCTCTCTTTCCCCCTTCCCCGACCCCATCCCCCCCCTTCACACACATTCCTTCCTTCACACATATTTTGCGATATCTCCTGCAAACCTACCTGCGTTAGGTTAATATCCCCTCGAGTGCAACTCTTCAGTCTGCAAGTTCCACGCTGGGTGTTTCAGCCCATCCCTGTCGTTTTCCTCCTTGTTTGTTGGTGGTTTCTTAGAACTTTCTTAAACTTCTCCGGGTGTTTCACCCCATTCCCGTCGTTCTCTTCCATCTCGAGCATTAACAGCTGCTGCTCGTCTCCCACTGCCCTCGTGTGTGGATTTCTAATCGTCTATCTCAATTCTCCCACCTCTTCCCGCCTTTGCGTGCAATCCCCTTCTCTTTCCCCTTCTCCCCTCCACTCCCCCCCATTCTTCCCTCCCTCATCCTCCGCCATCGCAGGTGCTGATGGTATTCCACCCCCTTGAGTTCGACGACGATCTCCTCCAATCCGCGGAGGGCCGCGGAGCCGGGGGACCGCGCGGAGGCGCAGCGCGGAAAGCTACCTGGGGCGCGGCGGGGGGAGCAGGCGGAGCGGCGGAAGGGGAGGAGCAGCAGCCGGGGAAACCCAAGTCGAAGAAAGAGCGGAAGCTGGAGAAGCGGAAAGAAGCCGCGCGGATGCGCAAGGAAGTAGAGGGGGATTTCAGGGAGGCGGAGGCAGTGCGGGACGAATCCACGCGGAAGCAGCAGCAGGCGCGCGTGCTAGCAGCCGTGTTCGAAGCGCTTTTCAGGGTAGTTAAAGCCGCGGCTATGCTGCACCAGCCGCGCCCCACGGACGGGTCCGGCGCGCTCTCCCTCCCCCCGCGCCCGCTGCTCCCCTCCGCGCTCTTCCTGATTGGTCACTTTTCGCATCTGCTGTCGGTTGAGTATCTGCCGGATCTGCTGTCCATGTTGCGCCAGCTGGCTGCTGACGTGGCGACGCCGCTAGACGGGGACGATGATGACCTGGCAGGAGGATGGGGGGAGGGGGGAGATGGGGGGGAGGCAGGGGGAGGGGAAGTGGTGACGTGGGAAGGGGGGAGGAGGCGGAGATTAGGGCTGAGACTGGAAGATAGGCTGACGTGCTGTGTGGTGGCGCAGAGGGTTATGAAGGCGAATCTAGATTCACTGAATGTGGACATGCGCGGGTTCGTGACCCTCGTGTATCAAATGATTCTCGAGGCGCCTCTCGTTCCCGCGCAGGTCGCGGCCCTCTCGTCAGAATCACCCTCTGTAAAAGCATCCTCGTTGAAGGCACCGTCGGAGGAAGCGGACTCGTTAGAAGAGGAGGTGATTACGCCAGGGGGTAGCGCGATATCTTCGTTAGAAGCAGCTCTGGTATCCGCGTTACAGGAGGTGTTCATGTCGTCGGGTCACAGGCAGGCGGACATGACACGCTGTGCTGCGTTTATCAAACGGCTCTCCGCCGCTGCCCTGCATCTCTCTGCTGCCGGCGCTGTTGCTGGTAAGTTTCTGGGGTATAGGGTGTGGTGTGTGGTGGGCGCTGAGTGGTGAGTGGTGGGTCAAGAGGTGTTCATGTCGTCGGGTCACAGGCAGGCGGACATGACACGCTGTGCTGCGTTTATCAAACGGCTCTCCGCCGCTGCCCTGCATCTCTCTGCTGCCGGCGCTGTTGCTGGTGAGTTTCTGGGGTATAGGGTGTGGTGTGTGGTGGGCGCTGAGTGGTGAGTGGTGGGTCAAGAGGTGTTCATGTCGTCGGGTCACAGGCAGGCGGACATGACGCGCTGTGCTGCGTTCATTAAACGGCTCTCCGCGGCTGCCCTTCATCTCTCTGCTGCCGGTGCTGTTGCTGGTGAGTCTCTGGGTTAGATGGTGGTGCTGCTGCTGGTGAGGGTTCAGGATGTAAAGTCTTGGGTTGAACCACACCCCAGCAATACGTGCCTCTTGATGGATGTCCAAGACCTTTTGACGGCCATGCTCCGTGCATGGCAGATGAAGTTTTACGCTTGCTGAAGGCACAGGGTTATCACAATTGTGGGCTTTTTAGAATTCTCAAACACCAGCTTATCTCACAGGGTTATTGCAATCCTGGGCGCTACGATCGTGCATGCTGATGGATCTAGAATACGGCCTGACTGTCGTGCTTCATGCATGGCAGATGATGTTATCCCTTGCTGAATGCACGGAATTATCGTGACGCTTGAAATCAAAGAGGAATTGTCATCGGGGTTTTTCCCTGCATCTCCACTCAACTCTGAAGGCCCTCTCTATCTCCGCTTCTCTGTGTGCGCCGCAGTGCTGCTAGCAACGTGCAACCTGCTGCTGCGCATATGACATGTCTCAACGCATGTCTAATTATCCATTTCCTTTTGTGTCCCTCTGTGTGCTTCGCAGTGCTGCTAGTGGTGCGGCACCTGCTCCTCCGCTATCCCCGCTGTAGAGTGCTCCTAGACAAGGACCCAGATGACGATCTGCACGCTTCAGGGGGCGGCCTTGGCCCCTACGGCGGCCTAGCGGTGAGTAGTGTGGTTCTGTATGGTGCTCTGCGGTTGCTGTGCTCTTGCTCGTGCTCCTGCGCTTCCACAGACCAAAAATGTCTGCATTCATTTCCTTTGATTTTTTATAGTTGCCCTCATTTCTTCTCGTCCCCCTGTTCTTCCTCTTCCCCCTCGTCGTCCTCCTCGCCCGCTTCGCCCTTGTGTCCTCTCCCTCCTCCCCTCCAGCGCTACGACCAAGCAGCTTCTGAACCTGAGCTTTCAGCCGCCCTCGCATCCTACCTTTGGGAGCTCTTATTTTCTCCTTTTTTCCCCTGCTTCGACTTTTCTCCTCTCTTCATTTCCCCCTTCCTCCCTCCTCCCCTCCAGCGCTATGACCCAGCAGCATCAGAACCTGAGCTCTCTGCAGCCCTCACATCATTCCTCTGGGAGCTCTCCCTTCTCGCCCGCCACTACCACCCGCACGTTGCCAGCCTGGCACGCCACGTCAGCACCATTGCCACGTCAGCCGCCGCCGCCGCTGCCCCCGGCAAGCCATCCAAGGGGGTCGCTGACCCATACCAGAAGGGTCAGCCGCAGAAACAGCAGCAGCAGCAGCAGCAGGAGGCAGGCGGTTCGTCAGGTGGTTTTTCAGGTGCTACTGATCTGCTGCTGCTAGCTGGCACTGTGAACAGCGGTATCGACAGCAACAAAAACAGTAACATGAACAGTAACGTAAGCAGCGTACCAGTAGGGGTGGTAACCCCATCCCAGGCGTATGCCGGCTACAGTGGCGCTGTCACCGAGTCGTGCTTCCGGCCAGCTGTCGCGACGCCATTGGCCGTGAAATCGGGCGCGGCGGGCGCTGCTGCAAGGCGGTGGCGGAAGGAGGTGGTGCTGGGGCGTATGAGGCGGAAGCGGGGGAGAGACGAGGGGGAAGGGGGGAAGGAGGCAGGGGGAAAGGGAGGAGAGGGCAAGGGAGGAGGAGCGGACGAGGAGGAAGAGGAGGAGGCAGGGTGGGGGATGGGGGATTGGTCGAGGAGGGTGAGAGTGTCGTGTTGGCAGCAGTGGGGGGCGGCTATGAAGGCAGGGGCAGGAAGCAGCAAGGGAGGGAGTGGCAGGAGAGGAGGGAAGGGCAAGGTGAAGCAACCACAGCAGTTGAAGCAGCAAGGTTCAGTGGAAATGAAGAAGCAACAGATAGCAGCTGGCAGTGCTATGGGAGTGGTGGCAAAGCGAGCCAAGAAGGAGGCGGCCGCTGCCTGACAAGGAGCCGACATGAACGGAGCGGCAGGCTTGAATCCGTTCGTCGTCAGGATGGCTGCTTGGTGTCTGCTGCGTGCACGAATGAAGAAGACTGAAGATTCTGTTCTTTCTGGTACGTTCACAGCATCAGACCTTCAGTCAAGGCCTCTGAATCACGCTGAACCATGCTGAATCGCACTGGAATCAGGTCGGCCTTTTTAATCCACATGTTTTATCTGTCTGATCTGGCAGACATTGCTGATGTGACATTGCTGGCAGACATTGCATACATCCTCCCCTGCTGTGAGCCCATAAGGTGCCTGATGATGCTTTTTTTACGCACATCAAATAAACAACCGAGTGCCACCAGTGGCACATGAGGACCACTACTGCTGAAGGCACTCGTCTAACCCTGTGCCCTCAACCCGAATTTCGTTGCACAGCTATTGCACCCTTCCCCTGTTGACGCACATCAAATAATCAACTGATTGCCACCACACCTATAACCTTTATCCTTCAACCCTGAACTATAATTCCAGTGCACGGCACTTGCACCCCTGCCTCGCGTGCTTGAAAATGGTCAAACGGGTTAGGTACCCATCCTTCTTGCCTCGCTCCCCTGAAGATTTTTTTCTGACCTGGTCAGTGATGCTACCAGTATAACTTCCTTACCTACATTACCTGAGCTGGGTGGGCCCTCGGGTTCCATCCGCTGCTGATTCACATTTCACACTGAGACCAGTTGTTGCCTTCAAGAGGCTGAGACATTTGAACCCGGTCCTTCAACACCCAAAACCTTCAATCTTCAACCTGTTTCCTGGAGACTTTTCTGCCCTCTGGTTGTTATCCCTGTGAGGTGGGTGCCTGATGATGCTTTTTTACGCACATCAAATAAACAACCGAGTGCCAACAGTGGCACATGAGGACCACTACTGCTGAAGGCATGCCTGAATTCCACCTGAATTCCACCTGAATTCCACCTGAATTCCACCTGAATTCCACCTGAATTCCACCTGAATTCCACCTGAATTCCACCTGAATTCCACCTGAATTCCACCTGAATTCCACCTGAATTCCACCTGAATTCCACCTGAATTCCACCTGAATTCCACCTGAATTCCACCTGAATTCCACCTGAATTCCACCTGAATTCCACCTGAATTCCACCTGAATTCCACCTGAATTCCACCTGAATTCCACCTGAATTCCACCTGAATTCCACCTGAATTCCACCTGAATTCCACCTGAATTCCACCTGAATTCCACCTGAATTCCACCTGAATTCACCTGAATTCCACCTGAATTCCACCTGAATTCCACCTGAATTCCACCTGAAATTCCACCTGAATTCCACCTGAATTCCACCTGAATTCACCTGAATTCCACCTGAATTCCACCTGAATTCCACCTGAATTCCACCTGAATTCCACCTGAATTCCAACCTGAATTCCACCTGAATTCCACCTGAATTCCACCTGAATTCCACCTGAATTCCACCTGAATTCCACCTGAATTCCACCTGAAATTCCACCTGAATTCCACCTGAATTCCACCTGAATTCCACCTGAATTCCACCTGAATTCCACCTGAATTCCACCTGAATTCCACCTGAATTCCACCTGAATTCCACCTGAATTCCACCTGAATTCCACCTGAATTCCACCTGAATTCCACCTGAATTCCACCTGAATTCCACCTGAATTCCACCTGAATTCCACCTGAATTCCACCTGAATTCCACCTGAATTCCACCTGAATTCCACCTGAATTCCACCTGGATTCCACCTGGATTCCACCTGGATTCCACCTGGATTCCACCTGGATTCCACCTGGATTCCACCTGGATTCCACCTGGATTCCACCTGGATTCCACCTGGATTCCACCTGAATTCCACCTGAATTCCACCTGAATTCCACCTGAATTCCACCTGAATTCCACCTGAATTCCACCTGAATTCCACCTGAATTCCACCTGAATTCCACCTGAATTCCACCTGAATTCCACCTGAATTCCACCTGAATTCCACCTGAATTCCACCTGAATTCCACCTGAATTCCACCTGAATTCCACCTGAATTCCACCTGAATTCCACCTGAATTCCACCTGGATTCCACCTGGATTCCACCTGGATTCCACCTGGATTCCACCTGGATTCCACCTGGATTCCACCTGACCTGGATTCCACCTGGATTCCACCTGGATTCCACCTGGATTCCACCTGAATTCCACCTGAATTCCACCTGAATTCCACCTGAATTCCACCTGAATTCCACCTGAATTCCACCTGAATTCCACCTGAATTCCACCTGAATTCCACCTGAATTCCACCTGAATTCCACCTGAATTCCACCTGAATTCCACCTGAATTCCACCTGAATTCCACCTGAATTCCACCTGAATTCCACCTGAATTCCACCTGAATTCCACCTGAATTCCACCTGAATTCCACCTGAATTCCACCTGAATTCCACCTGAATTCCACCTGAATTCCACCTGAATTCCAACCTGAATTCCACCTGAATTCCACCTGAATTCCACCTGAATTCCACCTGAATTCCACCTGAATTCCACCTGAATTCCACCTGAATTCCACCTGAATTCCACCTGAATTCCACCTGAATTCCACCTGAATTCCACCTGAATTCCACCTGAATTCCACCTGAATTCCACCTGAATTCCACCTGAATTCCACCTGAATTCCACCTGAATTCCACCTGAATTCCACCTGAATTCCACCTGAATTCCACCTGAATTCCACCTGAATTCCACCTGAATTCCACCTGAATTCCACCTGAATTCCACCTGAATTCCACCTGAATTCCACCTGAATTCCACCTGAATTCCACCTGAATTCCACCTGAATTCCACCTGAATTCCACCTGAATTCCACCTGAATTCCACCTGAATTCCACCTGAATTCCACCTGAATTCCACCTGAATTCCACCTGAATTCCACCTGAATTCCACCTGAATTCCACCTGAATTCCACCTGAATTCCACCTGAATTCCACCTGAATTCCACCTGAATTCCACCTGAATTCCACCTGAATTCCACCTGAATTCCACCTGAATTCCACCTGAATTCCACCTGAATTCCACCTGAATTCCACCTGAATTCCACCTGAATTCCACCTGAATTCCACCTGAATTCCACCTGAATTCCACCTGAATTCCACCTGAATTCCACCTGAATTCCACCTGAATTCCACCTGAATTCCACCTGAATTCCACCTGAATTCCACCTGAATTCCACCTGAATTCCACCTGAATTCCACCTGGATTCCACCTGGATTCCACCTGGATTCCACCTGGATTCCACCTGGATTCCACCTGGATTCCACCTGGATTCCACCTGGATTCCACCTGGATTCCACCTGGATTCCACCTGGATTCCACCTGGATTCCACCTGGATTCCACCTGGATTCCACCTGGATTCCACCTGAATTCCACCTGAATTCCACCTGAATTCCACCTGAATTCCACCTGAATTCCACCTGAATTCCACCTGAATTCCACCTGAATTCCACCTGAATTCCACCTGAATTCCACCTGAATTCCACCTGAATTCCACCTGAATTCCACCTGAATTCCACCTGAATTCCACCTGAATTCCACCTGAATTCCACCTGAATTCCACCTGAATTCCACCTGAATTCCACCTGGATTCCACCTGGATTCCACCTGGATTCCACCTGGATTCCACCTGGATTCCACCTGGATTCCACCTGGATTCCACCTGGATTCCACCTGGATTCCACCTGGATTCCACCTGGATTCCACCTGAATTCCACCTGAATTCCACCTGAATTCCACCTGAATTCCACCTGAATTCCACCTGAATTCCACCTGAATTCCACCTGAATTCCACCTGAATTCCACCTGAATTCCACCTGAATTCCACCTGAATTCCACCTGAATTCCACCTGAATTCCACCTGAATTCCACCTGAATTCCACCTGAATTCCACCTGAATTCCACCTGAATTCCACCTGAATTCCACCTGAATTCCACCTGAATTCCACCTGGATTCCACCTGGATTCCACCTGGATTCCACCTGGATTCCACCTGGATTCCACCTGGATTCCACCTGGATTCCACCTGGATTCCACCTGGATTCCACCTGGATTCCACCTGGATTCCACCTGGATTCCACCTGGATTCCACCTGGATTCCACCTGAATTCCACCTGAATTCCACCTGAATTCCACCTGAATTCCACCTGAATTCCACCTGAATTCCACCTGAATTCCACCTGAATTCCACCTGAATTCCACCTGAATTCCACCTGAATTCCACCTGAATTCCACCTGAATTCCACCTGAATTCCACCTGAATTCCACCTGAATTCCACCTGAATTCCACCTGAATTCCACCTGAATTGCAAAACCCCTGAATATGGATGGCCACTTTCCACGCCTCTCTCGGAGCACCTTCTTTCTCCGTTAAGGGCGTTTGAAACCAATTGCTTGGTTCTTTCGCCCTACTCCTACCTTGCGTTTGTTCCACCCTTAGGGGTGCCTTGTTTTTCTACATCTTTTTCAGAAATGTCTCCCGTCTAAAGCTGGCTATCTTTCCTCTGGTCAGTGATGCTACCAAACAACTTCCTTACCTACATTACCTGAGCTGGGTGGGCCCTCGGGTTCCTCCCGCTGCTGATTTACATTCCACCCTGAGACCAGCTCTTGCTATGAGAAATCGCTTGTCCATTGTGCCACCATCCTTGATTCTCTTATTTCCTATCTCTCCTTCAACTCTCGTCCCTCGTGTCCGTCCCTCGTTTTTCTCACTCTCATTTGTATGTGTGCTTAGAGAGAGTGAGTTTTGAGACGTCTCAAAAGTCGTTTTTCTCACTCTCATTTGTATGTGTGCTTAGAGAGAGTGAGTGTGCTCTGGGGCATCTTCTAGTATTGAAAGAGATGCCGGTGACAGGGAGTCTGTAATGATGAGGAAACCCTCTGGGAAAATCAAGAGACAGTGCTCTATGCACTGAATGAGTTTCTTAAATCCAATAGATCCTCCTGAACACAGTCCTACCTGCACCATACTCGCTTCCCCTTGCCTCTTTACATGCCGCCTACCTGTTGGTTGCACTCTCCTTGCTATTCCATCCCTTCGTCTCTCTCAGCACCTTTCTATCTCTCCCCTTCTCCCCCCTCAGCTCTCCCTCCTTCTCATCTCCCTCCCTTAGCTCTGTCACCTTCTCTCTTCTGTGATTTCCTGTCACCTGTCCTGGCTTCCAAGCCTTTTCTTCTTTGTGCGATGGAGAGTAGAGGCAAAAGTGTACTGATGAGGAAACCCTCTGGGAAAATCAAGAGACAGTGCTGCAAGCACTGGATGAGTTTCTTAAATCCAATAGATCCTCCTGAACACCCCACAACGGCTTTCTTGGCCCCCCTCCCTTTCCCTCCCTATTCCCCACATCTCCCAAGTCCAGTCTCCCACCATCCGCTTTCTCTTTCCCCCCCCCTTGACTCCCCACTGGCCTTTAACCGATGTGAGGCTCACTGGTCAACAACGCTGTGATGTTGTGTTATGATGAGGAAACCCTTTCAGGGAAACAAGAGACAGTGTTGCAAGCACTGAATGAGTTTCTTAAATCCAATAGATCCTCCTGAACACCCCTTTTACTGGCTTGGCTGTCCAAGAATTTTTGTCCCCCCTGCCTTTCCCTATCCCCCACATCTCCCAAGTCCAGTCTCCCACCATCCCGCTTCTTTCCCCCTTTTGGACTCCCCTCTTGGCCTTTTATTGATGTGAGGGTCACTGCCTGTCAACATTGAGATGTTGTGTAATGATGAGAAAACCCTTTTAGGGAAACAAGAGACAGTGCTGCAAGCACTGAATGAGTTTCTTAAATCCAATAGATCCTCCTGAACACAACCCTGCTGGCTTTCTCTCCACACCCCTTCAATTTCAATCCTTTAACTCTCTGTTCACTTACCATTTCCTCCGTTCTCACGCTCCCTCTTCCCCTCTTTCCCTCGTGCAGTTCAAGCAGCATTGTCGAGGAATCCCTTTTTCTTGAAACGCCGCAGTCATGCAGTGCAGGCAGCATCATCACCAGATCATTGTTATAGAGTCCAGGGCAGGAGACAGTGCGCCCTAGTTGCCCCTGTTTCCAGCACTTGCCAAGCATCTTTCTTAGCTTGCATGCTTGTGTTGGCGTACATGTGTGAGCCGAACACTGGATTGTAGCCAGACATTTCAGTAGCTTTGATGTGAAGACCTGTACTAGTGTATAAGAGGTGCTACACTTCCCTATACAATTTCATAGCTGATGTGAACACAATGATGAGACTAGAACTCAAGTACAGCTCTTTCTCATATAGCTGTCAAGTCGGGTTCACTACCAATATTCCCGAGTGTACACATAACGCGACCGCATGTAACAGGTTCGGGCGTGACCTCGACAGGCACGAAGCGAGAGCCGCAGATGCGACCCGAGCTGTCGACGTGGGGTACGGGGCGAAATTCCCTGCCAGGGTCCTCGAAACTGCCGAGACCAGTGGCTGTCGAGTAAAAGCAGCCTGCGGGATGTGTGGTGGGGCAGGGTGTGGTAGGGTGGGGAATGGCGGAAGAGGGCGGGGAAGGGCGGGGGAGGAGAATTGGGAATGGTGGATGAAACTGGGGAACCCGTAGCAGATGAGAAGCAGCAGCATTCTAGCTGTCAGGGTGGACTGGTGGTGAGACAAGAGACGGGAAAAATATATGACATGTCGAAAAAGGCATCCATGTTCAGATCATCAGATCGAGCAAGAAGGTGTATGAGAGGGCAGGGGAGGCATTCTTACATGAGAATGCAAAGAACGTGATAGAAGACAACCACGTCATAATAGTACTCCCGCACGGGTTCATACCTGGAGGGAAGGGCGCGTAGGTGGTGGGGCAGCATGCTCGCAGCAGGCCCAGGTCGTGCGACACGGCGATGCGACGGTCGCGGCACATGGCCCAGTGCAGCTCCACGTGGCTGTCGCCGTCCTGTGATTGTACCAAGTCGCACGCAAAGAGGACGGAACGAGGCGGAGTTGAAAAGGCGTGAGGAAGCGTGCAGCAGAGTCATGGCCACTGGAAAAAACGAGAGACCACGATGGTATAGCATCGAGTTGGCCCATGCATCGAGTTGGCCCACGCATCGAGTTGGCCCATGCACGTTCTTTCGTTCCCATCTCTGATCAGTTAGCTGGTCTCTGCTGTACGGTGGTCTGCCTGTGTGTTTTCCGCAATTACTGGCCATTTTTACTCACAGCGGCGATGAACGCGTTCCCCGTTTCGTTGTCGTAAATCAGCGTGGAAAACGGCCCGACCATCTCCGCCAGCGCGGATTCCGCAGAATGCGACACCTGGTCGTACAGAAGTGCACTCCGAAGCACCTTGTACATCCCCAGCACGAGCTGCGACTCGCTCGTGTCGTGACCGTGGCCGCCTGCGACGCCGTACGACCGTCGCAGCTGTGCGACGTTGTCTATGCGACCGGTGAAGACGCAGAAGACGTCGCCGGACGCGGCGAGCTGCGTGCGATGGAAGGAGTCGTCGCCGTCGTGCGAGTAGCCCAGCACGGCCTGCGCGCCGAGCTGTACGCTCGCGGCGTTCGGATGGCGTTTCAGAAACTCCTGGAGGAGCTCAGCTGACGTGGAACACTTGGAGGCATCATAACTGACGTCGCATGGGAGCTCGACAAGCGATTCGTCGAAAATGGCCAGCGCCATTCGCGGAGGATATGAGTACACCCTACTGTGCCTTTTGGAAACAACCAAATTCAATGTGGGAGGGACGACGGCAATAAGAAGACGGAAAATAAGGCGGAAACTCGACCGGAAGTTGCGAAACTAGCTTTGGGCCGCTGAACGTTGAGATTCGTCCACAATTTCGATCGAAGGAGGCAATGTAATTAGCACGTTTCAGAAGCAGCGCTCACCAGGCTGCTGACTAGTAAATGCTCTATCGGTTCAGGAGGAGGTAATAGGTCTGATCTGAGAAGCCAACAGAAGAATGAACAAATAAAAGAAGTGGCATGTGTGAAGGACGAGCAGAACACAAGGATTACTAGCTAGCGAGGGATAAATAGGACCAGCTGGAAGGGGTGAATGTGGTGAGAGCAGAATGAGCGGTGATGATGGTGGGAGGGAAGGTGGCTACTGGAAGCAATTCTGTAGGACAGCTCAAGTGAAGACGGCTGCCCTATTGGCCAGGTTTGTTTAGGGTTACCCTGCGTAACTGAAATCAAATGAGCTTGTGTTCGGCATGATAATCAATGTCAACGTCCTTGTAACCTGACACGTAGTTGAGTGTTTCATGAGTACTTGATCTTTGGACTAGGCACTTCACACTGACAGCGCGACAGATTTGCACTGCTGGCACTGCCAACGCGACAGACGGCATTTGCCACTTCGCAGCGATAGTGCCGCGAACCGTTCGATTGTGGCAACTGTGGCTTTCGCCTGACGTGGTGAGGCATGAATTCCACGTGACAGCCACTCAGGATGTTGTTGAGTCAGCTTAGGATGAAACCAATTGGTCGTGCACTTCTTTCTGTATGATTCGTTAAAACGATTACAGTATTCGAACATTACAGTAAAAATTGTCATATCACAAGCTCCGTGTCGCTACGGCTTGTGACTGGAGAAGCACCGCAAGTTCTTGGTGCACCATTTTATTATCGGATCTGCTGACGACGAAAACTGCAGCTTCATTGGACGAGAGATCTGAGAGCGGGTTACTCGACACACTCATTGGCTGTCGCCTTGCATCGCTCATTTGAAGGATCAGAGATTACCACATGTCTACGCTGCTTGAGGTGCACAACGGTTCAGCTGATACATAACGCATTATAAATCGTTGCGGTGCGGTTCATAAAAGTAAGTCACCCGTTCAATGATATTTTGTTCCAACTTTCAGCGCTCCTCCATCCCTTTGAGCCAGATTCAATGGCTCGACTCTGAGACATTCCCCCAAGTAGTCAGGGAAGGCGAGGATTGTGCTATTTTTGTGCCTAGCATACTCAGGTCCAACTTATGATTCTGACTAATAGGTCAGGAGTATACATACGCTCGTACAATTTGTGTGAAGGAGTCTCCCATATCTGCCATGGATATTCGGATTCATGATACATCGTGTTCGGCAATTGATATCCCTCCTTCAATTTCAGTCGCTGCACCTTCTTTGAATTCTGACAATGGCTTCGTTGATTTCACTGACTTACCCACAAGAAATTCGTCGCAAGCATCGTTTGTGACTATGAAATCCTTCTCAAAACGGAGATCCCGCAAACCTATGACGATAGTGACCTACAGATCCATACCCTTCGCTTCCGTCTCTCAATCCCTCACCTCACAAACTCCAATTACGAACCAATCCGAAACCGCCAGAAGCGACCAATTAGATTTCGACACGTCACCTGAAGACAGAAGACCAGAGTGGCTGGTGAAGTTCTGGCGAGAAGCAGGGTCGGTGCTGGTGGCGTTAGGGTGGGGAGGAGGGGGAGCAGCAGGTGGATCCGCGCCGTCCGCCGTGGATCCCAGGCGGTTGGGATCGTACCTGAAGGCTCTTCGAAGCCAGACACGCGTGCTGCTGAAACAGCTGCCGTTATGGGAACGAGCAGGTCAGTTTTTGAGGTGCCTGAAATCTGAATCCCAGGCGGTTTGGAGCGTATTTGAAAACTCTTTGGAGTCAGGCTCGCGTGCTGCTGAAGCAGCTGCCGTTATGGGAGCGAGCAGGTCAGTTTCTGTTGCGTAGTGCTCTCCAGATCACGTTGTCCTCTGGCGCTTCCCTCCCCCCTTCCCTTTCCATTCTATCACCAATTTCTTCTCGAGGCAAACCAAAAGAATATCTGCCAAATCAACCGTCTCATGTCATCTCTCTCCCTCACCCTGTACAAATCTCCTCCAGGAATCGGAGCCGTGGCGGGAGGGCTGGCCGGCGGGTTCACGAACGCGACGCTGCATCCGCTGGACACGGTGAAGACGAAGCTGCAGACCAAGGGCTCCTCGCTCGTCTACTCGGGCCCGATAGACGTCATTCGCAAGGTGAGTCTGGGAGTGTTGGTTTCTCATGAGTCGAAGCTGCAGACAGAGGGCTTTTCGCCGGACCTGCCTTGTCTAGACGTCATCCCAAGGCGGGTCTGCATAGGTGGCATTTGGGTTGTCTCAGAAGTCTTCACGAACGCGACGCTGCATCCGCTGGACACGGTGAAGACGAAGCTGCAAACCAAGGGCTCGTCGCTCGTCTACTCGGGCCCGATAGACGTCATCCGCAAGGTGAGTCTGAATGGGTGGGTGACTATTGAGTCGACACAAAACAAGAAGCTGCAGACGAAGGGCTTCTCGCTCGTCCACTCAGGCCCCCTTTCGTTTCCCCCTCCGCCCCCCCACCCCCCTCCCCCGCAGGTGTCAGCCGCGCAGGGCATAGGGGGGTTCTACCGCGGGCTGCCAGCGGCCTTCCTGGGGTCGGTGCTCTCCTCCTCCATCTACTTCGGCACCTACGAGCTCGCCAAGGGGGGGCTTTCAAAGGACATCGCGCTCCCCCTGCCCTTCTCCGGATTCAGACGAGCACCGTCCAGCAGCAGCGGAGGGAGAAGCGGGGCCAGTGAGCAAGATAGAAGCGGAGGGGGTAGTGGGAGTGGTGGTGGGGGTAGCTCTGCGTCATCATCATCGTCATCAGGGGTGGTGGTGCTGTCGTGCCCAGTGGCGCTGGTGCCTCCTGTGGCGGCAGCTCTGGGGAACATCACGAGCTCGGCCATTCTCGTGCCCAAGGAAGTCATCAAGCAGCGCATGCAGGTGAGGAGCGTTGTAGTGCGGTTGGGAAGGGTGGTGGCGCTGGTGCCTCCTGTGGCGGCAGCGCTGGGGAACATCACGAGCTCGGCCATTCTCGTGCCCAAGGAAGTCATCAAGCAATGCATGCAGGTGAGGAGCGGTGTAGTGCGGTTGGGAAGGGTGGTGGCGCTGGTGCCTCCTGTGGCAGAAGCGCTGGGGAACATCACGAGCTCCGCGATTTTCGTGCCCAAGGAAGTCATTAAGCAGCGCATGCAGGTGAGCGGTGCTGTGCGGTTGAGAGGTCTGGTGGAGGGCTGGAAGTGGTGGTGTATGGCTGGCTGGAAAGGGTGCTAGGTAGATGGCGATCGTGAACATGCAACGGGGAATATGCATTTGCAAGGAGGACTATGATCATGTAAGGAGGCGTATGAACAAGGAGACTTGTGAGTGGACGAGCAAGGAGTCACATGAACATACACAGAGTAGCTGCACGATCAAAGAGGAACGAGCATCGTGCAACGAGGAAAAAGAGGAACGAGCATCGTGCAACGAGGAAAAAATACTTGAAAACTTCAGTATGAAAGTGGGGTATGAAGATGTGCACAAGCAAGAGCCTGTGTCCGCCACTTGCCTATCATCCCACACATCTTCCATTCCACACTACTTCCATCCCACCCACCCTTCCATCCCACACACCCTTCCATCCGGCACGCCCTTCCATTGCACCAACCCTCCTTCCCTTGCCCGCACCAGGCGGGCAGCGAGATTTGTGTGGCAGGTGCTACAGCAGACAGTGGCGGGGGAGGGAGTGGCAGGGCTGTACAGCGGATACACCGCTGCCCTCCCGTTCCACGCTCCTGCCTACTGCTACCCCACAATCTGCTTCCCCAAACGCCCTTCCATTACCGCGCTCATGTCTACTGCCATCCCATTCACCCTGCTTCCCTTCCCTTGTTCGCACCAGGCAGGAGCAGCGGGGTCGGTGTGGCAGGTGCTACAGCAGACAGTGGCGGGGGAGGGAGTGGCAGGGCTGTACAGCGGATACACCGCTGCCCTCCTGCGCAACCTGCCCACCAACGTCCTCAACTTCTCCACCTTCGTACGCTGCTGCCCTGCTCTTCCCTGCTCTGCTCTGCTCTGCTCTGCGCTGCTCTGCCTGCTCTGCCACCATGCTGCATGCCCCATGCCACATTCTGCATGCCACTTTCCGTATGCCGCATGCCAGTCGCTGCAACAGAATGAATCCCTCCCTCACCACACTCATTTGTACGTTTCCTGCACTGGTGCCCCTGCTACCTGTGATCTTCCCACCATCAGGAGTATCTGAAGATGGGCGATACTCCATGTGAAACACTCATCCGCCCTGCGACCACATGCGAGCATGGCATCAAGGGCACTCTCAGTCATACTCACACACACGTGTATTCATTTCTTGCCCGGTGCCCCTGTCCCGCACCTCCCTTCCCTTCCCACATCCAGGAGTATCTCAAAATGGCTATACTCCATGTGAAACACTCGACCACCTTGCGACCACATGAGAGCATGGCAGCGGGAGCAGTGGCAGGCGCACTGTCAGCGGCCCTCACCACGCCTCTGGATGTGGTTAAAACGCGCCTCATGACCCAGGCGCGCGTAGCCGTGGCAGCAGCAGGCACTACAGGAGCAAAGGTAAATTTTCTTCTTGGCGCCTCTTTGTTTTGTTGGCTTCGGTGCTCTCGGCTGCCCTCACCACGCCTCTGGAAGTGGTCGAAACGCGCCTCATGACTCAAGCTCGGGTGGCAGTGGCAGCAGCAGGCACCACAGGGGCAAAGGTACCTGCTTCTTCTCCCTCTCTCTCACTTTTTGTCTGACTCCGTGTGCTTATGATTCAGTGAGTTCGTTTCTGCCCTCGTTGTTATATCAGCAGCACTCACCACGCCTCTGGACGTGGTCAAGACATGCCTCAAGACACCAGGCGTGCATGGCAGTGGTAGCAACGGGCACCATGGGGACAGAGATAACTGCCTCTGTGCGCTCTTTTAAGGTTGGGTCTGGATCAACGTTGTGACCAGCATAACAATCACCACCTATGTCCTCCACGCTATAAACAGAAAACAGCAGGTAGTACTGGGGAAGGTTTGTGTCATGACTCAGACGGGGGTGGCAGAGGCAGCAGCAGGTAGGCACAACCAGGCCCGACCGAAGGGCCGTGCTCCTTTGTTTCTTCTCCCACCCACCCACCCAGCCTGCCTGTTCATGACCTGTTCCCCTGTGTCATTCCATCATCCCAATGCCCTTCTTTTATTATTCCCACAATGCTTGACACCATTCTCGTCAACAGGCAGAGGCAGCAGCTAAGGCGCAGGCGGCAGCTGCATACACGTACAAAGGAGTGGCGTCGACACTCAGGCGTGTATGCGAGGAGGAAGGTGTGCTTGGCCTGACGCGGGGCATGACGCCACGCATCCTCTACAATGCAGCGTTTTCAGCCATTGGGTTCTTGGCCTTTGAAACTGCTCGATCGGTCCTGCTGCAAGCGCATATCGAGCGGAAAGCAAGGAAGCAGCTACAAGGGCAGGTAAAGGGTTTGTTGAGTGATGAGCAAGTTGTGAAAGCCTGAGTGATACAGACCTTGTTTGTGTTATGCTGAAGGTGACGAGCGCAGGAATTTCTGCACTTGAATGTGATGCGGTATTTGAGTGAATGCACTTTTACACTAGTGCACAAAGGGAGTGATTAATTAAGGTACCGAGTGTAGAAACATCACAGTTCTGAATTTGGTTTAGTGGGAAAATCGAAATCGGAACCTCATATTATGTCACCAATAACTGGTGTAGATGCTGTAGGCGAAGCCTCACCCAGTCCAATCGAACGAAGAATACAGGATCAGCACCAAGCCACTGCACAAAGGAACAACGACTGCAACTGCAATTCGGCTCAGCAAGCTGGGGCTGGGGGGGCCGACATCCGCCGCATTTTCTTGGCGATGCACATCCATGTGGCTGGCGGTACCCCTTCTTTTGTACAGTGTTCATCTGCCCGTCCATGGTCCCCCTTCAAACGCATCGTCGATCCTCTCGTTGAACCCTATCCGCCCCCGACGGCTTTAACGCGTCGTTAATTTATTGTCCGCTCTCCGTTACCGCGCGTGCGTTTCGCTTCACCGACCACTCCAAGCCACGCGGCAGGTGCTCCACTCTTCTTGCGACCGTCGCCGCCTCCTCCGTCACTCTCGCCCAAGCAGTCACGAGACTCACGAGTCACGAATCGCAAATCAGAGGACGCGCTCTCATCTCGACTCTCAACTCCCGTCCCGACCCAAGTCCTTTCCCCCCCTGACCCCAAGCCTCCTCCTAGCCAACTAATACAATGGCTTTCTAAACGCAATGGCATTATTAGCGCCTCATGTTTCTTTCTTGCTAGATTCTTTCAGCCAAAGCAGCTCAAGACAGTCAACAGTGGTTTCTTTCCAAGCCCTTCTGGCCTACTAGAGTAGTTTCCAGCAGTGTCACGAACTCTGGCGCGCTGATTGTTTTTTATTCTCTCTCTCTTTTAGTTCGTAGAGTTGGTTTCAGGCCGCACATCATGGCCTCGTTACGCTCCCGTTCAGAACGCCGTGACGTAAACGTGTGGTTCGTTTGCGCCGCTGTCGTCGCGCTTCTGGTGGCTACGGCAGGTGCTCGTCAGTATGTGTCGGCCGCCGCTCCGACTAAGGCGCAGCTTAAAGCAGAAGTTAAGAAGATGGCGGATCACGTCAACGCGCATTACCCTAATTACGTCAAGTTCGCGAACGCCGTGAAAGCCGCTATGTCTCTCAACTACGACATATCCGCGCTGAAGAATGCGACGATATTGATGCCCGATAACAATGCGTGGTCGAACTTCACGAAGCTGGTCCCTCCGTCCTCGAAGAATCTGCCTAAGATGTACAACGTTACGGCATACCACGTGCTTATACCGAGGATGATGCTAGCGTATATAAGGCAGCAGAAGCCGAGAGCGTTCCCGACGATGCTGAAGCAGCCTCAATATAAGCAGACTCCGATGAACGCGGTGAACGCATCGTTTGGGCTTTTAAATTCGCCCAGGCCCAAATGGTGTACAATAACGACGGCTAGGGTTTACCAAGGCCCATATTTCATCGCCCATGGCGTGGATAATCTCGTAATTCCCAAAGGTACTACTGTTCCATAGCTTTGCTATGAATAGGGATAGCCGAGTTTCGCTGAGATACTTGCATTTCCGAACACATTTTTGTGGCTGAAGTGACTTCTCTAAATATATTATGAACATCGTCTAAAACCTGAAGATTCGGTCCCCACACCAGTTTTGTCGCCAGATGCATTTGTATGAAGGGCAGGACGTCAAACCTGTCATTGCCAGCACAATACCACTCCACACTGTTTGCATTTTTCCCCTGGGAAGCTGGGCCTAGGAAAGTTCACCTTGGGTACTATTCGATTCTCCTCATCTAAGTTCCTAGGATTTGTTCCGTTGTTTTCAATTATCTTGTTTTGCTTATCTATTATCCAAATCCGATTCATTCCCTCTTCTTGTCTTATGACAAAGATCCATGATCATTTTACTATTTGTCGTTTTTGAGGCAATATAATTAACATTATGTTCACAGTTTATGTGCTCATGCCGGAGTGGTTAACGGGACAGACTAGAAATCTGTTGGGCTTTGCCCGCGCAGGTTCGAGTCCTGCTGAGCACGTTTTTTCGTATTCGGAAGCCATGTTCCCTCAACAAGCTCTCCTTCAACCCCCAAAACGATGACCGCTCCGTGCTAGTGTGTGGCATGAGCTGGTCCAGACAATGGCGTGTGGTCCTATCTGGACCATACTAACCGCCACCCGTTAGCATGGTTTTAGATAAGGGTCATTACCCTTGATATCGCAACATTTGAGGCTATGTCAGTTGGTTTCCTTGTATTGTAAGTCACTTCATATAGTGCGCCGAGCAGAAGTACGTTGTATGTACTGTGAAGTCGTTTGACATAAAGGAGGGACGGTCTCAGAGCTCCAGACAAAGAATGAGAAAATTGTCACAACCCATGTTTCACACCTTCACCACCGTCGCAAAGGTTTTAGATATGACAGGGGCGCAACTGAGGGGGTAATCCGGCTCTAGTCAACAAACCAGGGTGATTCTGGCTATGATTCTGTGGCTTGTGCTTTTCAGCCCGAGCTCACTCATCCTGAGTGTGAGGCCGATCACATGCCAGCCTTCGGGTGGAGGGGCACCTTTTTATTCATCTACAGTAGACATTTTGTCCTTCAGTCAACGAACAACCTATTTTCGTTCGGTCTTCGCTGTTGCTTCCTCAACTACATGATTTTGTGGCCCCACGAACCAGCTCCTCCTGCACCTTTATTTTCGTTTCCCTGCCCGGCGACTCCAATTCTGTACACCCTATGCATACTGAACTACCGAGTCAGAATATTTGTCAAGACATCCGACGGGAGAAATGGTTGATGTCGACGAGCAGAGGCCCCTTCGTTACAGGCCCACAGTCAAGCACTGTTCGCCTTGACTGCGAATAAGTTACCCTTCTTTCTTATACTGAACACGCAGGGCTGCCCATACTTCGGAACTTATCGCTAGAACCTTGTACTATACCTTTTTTGCCCTGAATGAAGCGTGTTCGAGTGAGGAGCAAGTTTACGATCAGAGCCGGGGACTGAAAGAGCCACAAGGTGTACAACATTGCTACCCCTTCATGTCACCCTTGCGCTTTGCATTGCTGCTTGGAGCACACTCCCCTAGAAAACTTTGCAATGTCTCGCCAGAGCAGCTGCGTGAGTGTAACAGGCAGCGAAGGTAGTTATCCATCACCAGTACAGAGGCTACTGAACAAAACCAACCGCCGGAAACTACGCCATCGCCCATGTGTAGTTTTTGCCTTACACCCTTATTACACTCAAAGTACACGTGGGTACGAGATACCAACTGCAGAAGCATCGTGGATACGTTGCGCGTCTGAGTGTGGATTATCATCCTCGCCGATTATTATCTTAACTTGGAGAAGTCGGATTGTTCATAGAGCTACACGCAGTTACGTGTGAAGATTCAGCTCATAGCGGCAAACATCGAGGTTGTTAGGTTTGGTTCCCAGTACGCACAGCCACAAATACTGACTCGTGTGTAGCGATACCTCAAATCAATATCCAGCTCTCAGCGCGGCGGTAGTCTAGGCCAGTACACGCCGCATTTATGGAGCATTACGAGTGTTTCCCACCACCGAAGGCCGTGAAACCCGCTGTTCGACACACCTTGCCATGGGTAGCATGATGGTAGAAGCCCGAATTCTCATTCATTTCCTTGCTCTTGGATCATATCCATTAAGGATGCGACCGGCATGATGCGAGTCGTGGTAGACGGAGGTTGACGGACTCGAACGATTTTCGATAGCTTAGCCCCAGTGGGCTTATCGAAGCGTGTCAGCCTCTTGATCGGGCGCCCTCGCTCCTCTGGACCAACTCGCACGGTAGCCTCGATCCTTTCGCCATGGATTTCACCGACATAGGGACGTGCATTCCTCAAGTAGACCCCGCGCATCGGGCTACGGCGGCTCGGCTGATGGGAACCACCTGCCCCACGTGCGACCGTCCCGTCGCCATGTCGCATCCATGGCACCACCCGCCTCTCTTCGACCGCAAAAACCCCTCCGCGCTTCGGGACTTCGGCCGATGCCGCTTCGTTTGCACCGCAGCCGCCGTTCCCATCTCCGCGCCCTCCGCACAACCTCCCGCGCGGAGCTCTTCCGCGGAATCCTCCTCCGCCTCCGCCGCCGGAGCAGCCGCGATATCCTCCAGCACCGCGTCTGCCAGCGATCTCATCGCGGAGGGGGAGCGGCGGACGCGGGTTCGACACCTCGTAAGCGCAGAAACGGTCCTGGAGTCTCTGACGGAACCGCTTCCCGCGGGCTGCCCCGCGCGCGGGTTTCTTCCGCAAACGGCCGTTTTAGGCGGAAGCAGTCGGAGCGAGGAACTCAACATGGACTTAGTAAGCAGCGCGCCGCTCGAGGCGCTCGAAATCGGACCGCAGGCGTATCGGCGGCGCGTGGGTGACGTTTACGATGTCATTCCGGTGCTCGCGATTCCCGTGAAGGCTCCTAGTCGAGCCGGAGAAGGGAATAGTATAAGCCGCGGCGCGGGTATTGGTAATTCGTCAGGGAGAAAGGGGACGTTAGCCGGGGGTTTAATAAGAGAAGATTCTTTCACGGGAAGTAATTCGGGGCGCCTAGGTGGGTGGGATGCGGAATCTGATTCGACAAGCGTCGCTGGTGGCGACGATTCTGCTGCTGCTGTCGGTGCGAGGAATCGCGTCGCGTGTTGGTGGCGATTGGTGGTCGTCGCCGCTGACGATTTGATGGCGACAAACGACGAATTGTTACAGCGGTGGTTCGCGAACACGGATAACACGCGGAAGTTCGCCGTCTGGGCGAAGAAAGGTGCGATGATAACGGTTTCGCGGCTCGTGTTTGTTTTCTCTCAACCCCATCATTTCGGTCAGACCAGAAAATTAGGTCAAATCAATCCATAGGACAACAAAGACAACCCCCTACTCCCCTTATTCCTTTTCCCCATGCTCCCCCTTTCACCCCCACACTCACCCTAACTCACCCCCTTCCCGCTTTTGCGTTTTTTTATCCCCGTTCCAGCTCACCCCGGTAGCAAGTTGAAGCTGCACGGGATGACGATTGGAGCAAAGGAGAGGGACGAAGTGAAGCGCGTAGCAGCGGATGCGCATCGTTCGTGGCAGCTACAGTTCGCGGATGGTAACCCTATTTGTCGCTGCTCCTCGCTACCACACAAAAAGCAGCAGCAGCAACAGCAGGAGCAGCAGAAGCTGACAGGCGGTACGGAGTCCAAGACTGCACGTTCGGCGAAGCCTCGGTCATTGAATCTAGGCTTTGTAAAGCCAAAACCCGCAGCGCAGTACATTCGCCGGCCGAGTTTTGATTTTGGTTCGGATATAGGGGTAACATCACGGGGAATGGGGGTAATAGGGGAAACAGCAAGAACAGGGGAGGAGCGGCAAGGGGGAGGGGAGATTAAAGTGGAAAAGAAGCGATTTCTTGGTGCTTTAAAAGGAGGGATTCGGCACGGTAAAGATAAGAACGGTCATGATCACGATGGGATGGAGGCAGTTTTAAGTTTGGAGAATGGACGGCTGGATTGCAACAGTGGAGCGTCCAATGATGTGCATGGTAACCAGCTCGGTCCCAGTGGTAACCAGCTCGGTCCCAGCGGCAACGGTAACCATAACGAAAACGGCAACAGTGGCGAAAGTATGACTAGCGATCCTGCAGCTGCTGCGAGCAGTGCGAAAGGGGGGAAGGTGAAGCACAGAAAGAAGCTGTTCAACCGATCAACGTCTGACAACGGCGCACTACATGACCTGAAACAGTCCGGACTTAGTCGATGGAAAGCCAGAGGAGTAGGAGGAGGAGGAAGGGGGGAAGGAGGTGGAGGAGGGGGGGGAGGGGGAGAAGGGGTAGGGGGAGCAGGAGGAGGGGGATTACGGCCTTTAGGTATTGATGTTGGTGGCGGTGCTGGTAGTGCTGTTGGTGTTCCTTATTCCCTCTCGACCTCTGTCCTTTCGGCAACTCCCGATGCCTCCCCCTCCCGAGACTCGCCTACTGTATCTGCTGCTGCTGCTGCTGGCCCTGACCTTCATTCCCCCACTACCACCAGATTTGCCGCCAGCAGCAGCACCAGCAGCAGAGGCGACCAATCAGCACACAGTGTGTTTGAACCTGCAAACCTATCACCTGAATTATCACCCGAACCACCACCCTCTCACCAGCAGCAGCACCACCAGCAGCAGAACCACCAGCAGCACCACCAGCAGCAGCAGCATCGGCATAAGCAGCAGCGGCAGAATCGCCTGGGAACCCCGGATCCTTCAATATTGGCATCATCATCAGTGGATTCTTCCGCCCATCGCTCCTTCCGCGGCCCTGCGCGCTCCCCCCTCCGCTTCCTCTTCTCCCCAGCGCATCTCTGCACCTTTGGCGGCAATCCCTTTCCTCCCTCCCGGATCCCGGGGGATTTTGGCAGCGACAGCGACGGGGAGGAGTGGTTATCAGGCACGGGCGGGACAAGGGTAGGTGTGACAGGAAGAAAGAGTGAAGGCGGGGGGAGAGGAGGAGGAAGAAAACGGTGGGAGGAGGAGGGGGATGAGGAGGGACTGGAGAGCAAGGGGTTGGAAGGGAAGTTACGGAGAGGAGGGGGATCGCGCTCTGCTTTTGACATTTCCGAGCCTCAATTGCAATCCACCACTGTGAATTCCGCGCTGCTTATCGGCCGCAGTAAGAGCTACACTGACGCAGTGCCTGTTGCAGCTTGTATCGAGTCGAGTGCTATAGAGGGTACAGCAGACGATGACAGCACACATGGGGCGAAGGGACGTGGAGTGGAAGGGGAAACGCAGTTGTCTTGGCTTCTTTCGTTAGAGGCACGTGAAGCAGGGGAAGCAGGGGAGAATGTTCGAGCGCTAGTCCCGTTATCCCCTCTGCTTCCAGACTCTGCTTTCACTAGCGCAACACACTCCACTTGTAACACTTTTGGCAGCAGTAACACGTATGGTAGCAGCAACAGCTCTGGCAGCGGTAGCAGGGTGGTAACTGGTAACACCGGACCCACTGGTAACCACGTTACCGATGAGGACAGCAGCACACTGACGCGCGGGAAAACTCTAGGCAGCAGCAGCAAGAAGCTATCTGGGCCGTTGAAACAGCACAGGCGAATGGCATCAGCAGCAGACGTGGACCTTCACACTCGCTCCCTCTCCCATGCTTCCATCCCTCCACCCTCCCCCTCCAACCTTTCCGCTACCCACCCTACTTCCACCCACCCTACTTCTACCCATCCCACTTCCACCTCCCATCGATCCCTCCTTCGATCAGCTGACGGAACCTTTGAGGCGTCTCAAAAGTCCTCCTCCCACCGGTCGTTCCTCCGATCGGCTGACGGCACTCAAAAAGCCAATCGTGCTGCTTCTGCTGTTGCTGCCGGTCTTGCTGCTGCTGCTGGTGCGGCTGCTGGTGTGGCTGCTGGTGTGGCTGGTGGTGTGGCTGGTGCTGCTGTTGGTGTGGCTGGTGGTGTGGTTGGTGCTGCTGCTGGTGTGGCTGGTGGTGTGGTTGGTGCTGCTGCTGGTGTGGCTGGCGGCGGTAGTGGTGGTGGGATGACAGGCGGCAAGTTGGGCATGACTCACTTGCTGCTCTCTCAGCCTATAAGGCACCGTCGCAACCGCAGCAGCAGCGTTCTCCCTGCTACCCCGCCTGGTGCTGCTGCTGCTGCGGCTGCAGCTGCGTTTGTTGCTTCCTCTGTTGCTGCCCCTGCTACCTCTGCTGCCCCAGCTGCTGCTGCTGCTTCTTCTTCTGCTGCCAACAGTCGCACTCTTGGTCGCTCGGCCTCGCAAGCTTCGTCCAGCAGCAGATTATCCAATGGTTCAGTGCGGTCGAGAGGTGCCGGATCTGCTAATAACGAGGATGGCTCTGTGGTGTGCGTTGAAACACCTCGAAATGGGGAGGAGGGGGATAAATGGCAGGACTGGAATGATTATGAGGATTTTCAAATGACACTTGCAGGAGGAGAGGAAGGTGAAGGGGATGAGAGTGGGAGAGGGGTGAGTGAGGGAGATTCAAGTGGGAGGTTTGACAAGAGCTCAATAGGTGACAGTAACGAGCTTCAGAACAACGAAGGTGTGACTGTAGCGAGTGGTAGGGTGCATCCCCGGATGATAAGGAAAGCAAAGAGTGTCGGGAAGGCGTTAGATGGGGTCGAGAACGGTGGAGTCGGAACCGGTGGAGTGGGGAGAGATGGAGTGGGTAAGGGTGGAGTGGCAGGGGAGAAGGCAGAAGGTGGTTTTAGTGATTGCCCATCTTCAGTTTCTATACGCTCTGATGCTGCTGCTAGTGCCACTGGCTCTGCTTCTGGCGCACGGGTTGTGAGGATTAAGAAAGGAGGCAGGAGCAAGAGCAGCTCAGAGGGGTGTAGAGTGGTGAAGCTGGGTGAGGAGGGGAGAGAGGTAGGAGCTGGGTCAAGCTGCGGTGATGCGAATCGGTTGGGTGCGGTTGAAATAGAAGGGGAAGTTCCCCTGGTGGTTTCGGGCAGAAGTAAAAGCGCGGTGTATGGAAGGAGCTTAGAGAAAGGTGAGGAGGGGTCGGGGAGTGGGAGGCGCCGGGCATCTGAAGTTCTCCAGGCTGCCCGGCGGGCAGCAAAACATGCGAATGCACTGAAGCAGTCCGAAAAAGCAGCGCAGGCAGAAGGAGGAGAAGCAGCAGGAGGAGGAGGAGGAGGAGGAGGAGGAGGAGCAGAAGGAGCAGGAGAAGAGGGATTAGTAGGAGAAACAAGGGTACATGAGCGAACAGGAGGAGAGGGAGTCACGGAAGCAGCAGCAGACGCAGGGGATAGGCCTTTTGCTGGTGTAAAACAGCCGACTATGCATTACTGGGTGCCTTTGAAGGGTGACGATGAGGAGGAGGAGGGGGGTGAGGAGGAGGGTGAGGAGGAGGAGGAGGGGGAGGAGGAGGAGGAGGATGAGGAGGAGGAGGAGGATGAGCAGGAGGACAGTGATGCGGCTGCCACGCCAACATTCGCAACAGCAAGAACACATGCAACGCAGCAGCAGCTTCAGCAGCAGCAGCAGCAGCAGCAGCAGCAGCAGCAGCAGCAGCAGCAGCAGCAGCAGCAGCAGCAGCAGCAGCAGCAGCAGCAGCAGCAGCAGCAGCAGCAGCAGCAGCAGCAGCAGCAGCAGCAGCAGCAGCAGCAGCAGCAGCAGCACAGGCCAGCAGTGGCAGCCCAGGGACGCCCCCGTGCAAGGTCGGAAGGAAGCTTGCATTCCAAAGGGGACGTTTCCGATGCTGAGACCACCCTTGCAGTGAAACCCCCCCAAAGGGTTGCTTCTGAGTGCTCTCAAAACGGTTTTGGCGCGAAAACCCCGAGGGGGAAGGGCAAGGGGGGGGGTCTGAAGTGTGGCGGGAAAGCTAGCTTGTCAGACGCCCCAGTCGATTCCAGACTGGATGAATCAAGAGTGGGGAAGGAATCAGCTGTGGGAACATCCACTGTTTGTACAGCTGCAGCAGCTAAGCCACAATCGATTCTGCAGCTGGATTTGAGCGCTCTTGACTCCTCTGCCCCTTCATCTGAACATCCCATGGTCTTCCCTCCTGCCTCGCGTTCCGCCTCCTCCTCCTCCTTCTCCCCTTCGCGCCCCTCAAACCCCTCGTCCCCCTCACCCCCCTCACCCCCCTCCCCATCCTCCCCCTCCTCACCCTCCTCTCTCCCTGTCCACAAGGCTCGCACCCTTCCCTCCTCTCAAGCTTTATCCGAGCTGAATCGGCGGGTAGAACGGGACTTGCACGGAGTTAAAACCGTCCCGGAACTAAGGGTGCTAGCACGGCAAACCTCAGAAGGAAGGATGCTAGAAGGTGTGGGGAAGGCAGTTGAGGTGGGGCTTGGTCGGAGAGCGAGTGTTGCTGCTACTGCTGCTACTGCTCGTCCTGCTTCTACGTCCTCGCGCCCTGTTGCTACAGAAGCAGCAGCAAGAGGAGCAGCAGCAGCAGCAGCAGTAGGAGGAGGAGGGGGAGCAGTAGCAGCAGCGGCCACTGCCGCTGCTGGTACCTGGGCCTCTCGTCGGTCCCCATCCCCCATATTAGCTGCTGCGATGCGAGCATCAGCAACCCTAGAGCTACAGAAGCAGCAGCACCAGACCCTTATGAACGCCAGGAACAGCAGATTCACCTCCTCCTCCTCCTCTTCCTTGCAGCCCTCCTCTGCCTTTGCCTCCTCTTCCTCCTTTGCCTTTCCCATAGCCACCACCAAGTTAACCGGTTTTTCTTCCAACTCCTCTTCCTTCAACTCCTCATCTTCCTTAAAGCCCTCCTCTTCTTTCCTTCCCTCCTCCTCCCACCTGACCGTTTCCCAGTCAGCCTACTGCTCTCCTGTCGTCCGCACACCCGCTTCCCTTACACCCACAATCTCCAGTATCGGCCGGCTGTCGAGCGATCTCGGCCCTTCATTCGACTCGTCGGATCTCGCTGCTGCTGTGGCTGCTGCTGCGGCTGGTGGTGGTGGGATGAGGGGGAGAAGCAGCAGGGGCGTGGGCATGGGTATGGGTCCATCCCCGTTTGTTGCCCGTGCTGCTGCGACCATGCAGAAGGGAGCTGTTTGTCAACGGCGGTATGGTGGCGGTGGCGCTGCTGCTGCCCCTGCTGCTGTTGGTGCTACAGGTGCTGGTTGTGCTGGTGTTGGTAGTGGTAACGGTGGTGTTGGTGTTGCCAATGCTGCGGCTGCTGCTGGTGGCTCTGCGGGGGACTGGGATGGACAAAAGGAGTGGGGTTATAGCACTGGAAGCACCAACACTGGTGCTGGTACTGCTAATTTCGACAGCAGCGGCCTTGGTTACACGGGTAGCAGCACCAGCAGCAATACCAATGCAAACACCAACCCCGCCGACACCATCACCAATGGCAACACTAGTAGCAACGCCAATACTGATACCAACGCAAACCACCACCCGCCCGCCGACGACTACGAGACAACGAACACCGGCCACACGGCAGCAGTGTTTCGGCGGAAAACCATGGCAAGGCGGCCTGCAGGCGCAGTTGCACTCTCACCCACTCCCGCCCTCCAATCGCGCCAGGCCTTCCAGGCCACTGACGTGACTTCTGGGTTGACTCGCAAGTCATCTCTTCAGACCAACACTCTTCAGACCACAACTCCCCACGCTGCCTCCACTCGCCACGGTACCACCAGTCTTCGCTCTCCTCGCTCCCCTGCTGCTCTTCCTTCTCCCCGCTCTCCTACTCCCACCGCTCCTCTGTCCCCCACTCAGGGTCAGCAGCAGCAGCCACACACTCCCCCTCGTTCCCCGCCCTCTAGCGCCGAGTGTGGCGCCACGAGTGTTGAAACATCTCAAAAGGCCCGCACCCAGGGTCAGCAGCAGTCCCACACTCCCACTCATGCCCCGGCCTCTAATTCCCAGGGAAGCACCGCCGTCACCGCCGTCACGGCCGGCAAAGCCGGCAAAGGAGCAGCCTCGTCGTCCTCCTCAAAGCCGGGGAAGAGCAACAAATCGAGTGTAAGCTCCACCACAAAAGATAGCAAAAAGGACGGCGGAGTGAAAAAAACTGCTGTGGCAAATGGTGCAAAGAAAAAGAGCAAGGAAGGCTCTCACACGAGGGATGGTAGCTGGGCCAGCAGTGGCACCGGCACCGGGCCTAACAGCCCTCTCGTACCCCCTTTGATCCCCATTGCCAAGCCTGTTACTCAGGCTCGTGAAGCTGTTGCTCAACCTGTTACGCATGAGCTTTCCAATTCAGGAGTGGCTGCGAGCAAGTCGTCGTTGCCTTCTTCGTCGCCTGTAGCAAGGAGCGGGCTTGGTGCGGCAAAGGCGTCCCGTATACAACCTAAAATCGTTTCGAGCGAGGCGAGACAGCCCGTCAGATGATTATGTCAAATTAGACTAGGCATGAATGTTGTGCTCGGTATCCTGCTATAAGTACTCCTCGAATATAGTTGTACGATTTTCAAGATTGGATGCTTGTACAGAATGTCTCTTGGTTTAGCGGGTACAGTTCCGATGGCCACGAGTCGCCAATGCGCCATTCGCCACCCTTCCAGGGCCTCTTTTCTAGGAGGCCCTCGTAGTCACGTTTTAGACATTCACTGTTAGTTCATTAATAACTTGCTTGTAGGCTCATTCTGTATGATCATCAAGCTACAACTATCGTGTATCAGATGTGAATGTTCGTGTACACGTACAAACCTTGACCAGACCAAAACTGCTGGAGGTGGAGTCCCTAACTCAACGGTTACAGTTCTCACCTGCGACGCGCCCAGTCTTCGTGTTCTGGCTGGCAACATTTGTGCTACGGAACTGCAGTAACCGTCGTTTTCGTCAAATATATGTGCGCTACTGTCAGATCCAACGATTTGACAGATTTGGAAACACATTTGAAGGTAATCGTGGGTAATTCCAACAGACTTTTGTCACTATTTCGTACTGTCAAGCTTGGCGGGACCATTTTGGTGGATGACGACGATTGTCTCAGGAAGGCAAATGTCGACCAGAAGGTACCTGTAGCTGATTGCCCAAAGTACACATGATGCCCAACCCGTGCACGCGAATTTGCCCTGCACCGGATGGAAACCCTGCACCCGAGGTTTTTTCCCCAGCCCGTTGCACGCACGTTACAAGCACGTCAAAGCGAACAGACCGAGGTCAAAGTGAAGAGACTGAAGTCAAAATGTCAACGGATAGGTTACAAACTTTTTATAAGCACCTGACGAATCCTTTTTTGCTAGCTGCGAATCGACGAAACTTATGCGAAATACACGTTACAGCTTATGAGCCCCCTTCACAAGGCAACCGGGAGTGGGCCAAACGGGCATCATGTGTAAGCACAAAGGTGCCCCTACCGTTGAACGCTCTGTATCTTTCTCCACCCTGCTCAGCCGTTTTAGTCTCGCATCATAATTCCCTTGCTGAGCACAAGCTTTGTGGACCACAATCGGACACACGTTGCGAGATGTTTGATTGTCGTTCGTTCTTGAAAAATAGATACGTGTGTGATTGTGTCCTACAGTGCTGCTGCTGTTCTTGGTTCACTTTCTTCATCTGCTTCTTGAGGATGGTTGGATTGGGTTGGATGGAACTCGATTTGGAAACTCGACCTCCAAGGCTGAATGTGCAACTCACAAGCGATATTCCAACCAACGAAATCCCCACCTGAATACATGGCAGGGAGGTTGCCGTCGTGTCAGGAGAGTCAGATGCTCAATTGAAACTACGTCTTCTTGATGAGGTAATAACCTACACAGACTCTTGTAGGCATTGACCCCATACAATTGCGTGAAAGTGGCGACGCTTACGGTAAACGTAGAATCTTGTAGGCATCGACATACCTACACTGGGGTTAGAGATAAGCTTGCTTCAAGCAGCGGGACTAAGACCTAACTACTGACTCGGAAAATTTGCGGAATAACCAAGCATCGGTTTCGTTGAACAGGCTGCATCTAGCATCTATCCACCAGGTGACCTCCGGCAGTCCACGCATTCATGGGGCGAATCAGATTTTACCACTGTTAGCCGCGGCCCGAGCAGGGATGGATTTCGTAGATGCGGGGACGTGCGTCCCTCACATAAATCCTTCGCTCCAGCATCGTACACCCCCCAGACTTGACTCTACTATGGCTTCTCACGCCAGCCTAAAGCTAACCCCCTCCTCGTTCTCGTCTTCCGTATGCGAGAGCTGCTCCAAGCCACGTGATATGTCCCATCCCTGGCACCACCCTCCGCTCTTCGACGAATCCGCACGATCAGATATCGGGATTTGTCGGTTTGTGTGCACGGCACCGCCGCAGCTACCAACGCCGCACGTCTCCGACTGTTCACGAGGTGCCGCGGCTTTGCACGGAGGGGAAGCCGCCAATGGTTCTATCAGTAGTGGTTCCGCCGGTCGCGCCGCACGAGCGGTACCACTCAAGAAGCGCGACGCCGCATTCCTCCAAGAGCTGTCGGTGCGCGAGGAAATGGCGGCGCAACGCGAACGTCGCACGCGCATTCGCGAACTTGTTGCGAGGGACCCCGAAGCACTCTCTCCGCTCACCGACCCCGTCCCCGCGGGATGCCCGGTGGCGCGCGGTTTTTTTCCACAAACGGCGGTTTTGGCGGGGTGCGCGCGGGACGACGTGTTGGGGGTCGAAGTGCGCACCAACGTTCCGCTTGAAGCTATCGATATCGGGCTCGAGTCGCACAATCGGCGAATAGGTGACGTGTATGACGTGGTGCCGTTATTCGCGATCCCGATGGGCGGAACAAACGGCCCGGGTTCAAATCTTGAAGACGACGAAACTTTAGCAGCGCCGCTGGGGATTAGGCGGAAAGTGTGGGCAGACGAGGACGACGAGAGCGAGGGGGAAGACGAACCGCTCAGCACCGTGCTTTTGAAGGGCAGTGGCGGGGGGACGAGGGGAGGGCGGAAGCAGATCGGCGAAGCGGAGTCGGAAGACGAAGGCGGAAGTGCGCGAAGAGATTCGCGCGCGCGGGCGCAGCAGTGGCGGGTGGCGGTGGTGGCGGCGGACGATGTCATGGCGGCGGACCCCGCGCTGCTGCGCGATTGGTTCAACGTCTGCGCCAACACAAGGGCGCTCTCCGCGTATCTGCAGAAGGGTACGCGCAGGTCGAGGGTATGCGCAAGGTACCCGCAGTTCCATGGTACGCGCAGGTCAAGTCTACGCGCAGGTCGGGAATGCGCAGGTCGAGGGTACGCGCAGGTTGCTCCGGCCTCATAGTTACGGGCAGGTCAAGGTTATGGTTATTGTATCTTGTGGTTATGAGGGGCCTCCGCGTATCTGCAAAATGGTTTCGCACGTCATAATAAGTTAGCACGTGCAGGCCACGCCATTGCGTCTTCGAGTCTATGCAGCATGGCGGTCCGCCATGTCCGTCGTTAATACCCTCATCATATTTCCACGAATATCCGTATATTTCTCATGACCACTTTTCACGAGTGGTTTTCGCTAGATCTTCCTCTGCATGTCTGTCGTTCACATCCTTCTTCCTAAATGATTCCCATTACCGTTTCCCGTTTACCTTTCTCATTAACGCTTCCACTTTCCCCATTTTCGGAAATGCGTCGCCTTTCCAACTCTGCCGTTTCCCGCTGCTCAGCTGGCCGCCGCGGTTCGCCGTTGCGGCTGCGTGGCATGACGATCTTGCCGCAGGAACGCGACGCGGCACGCAACTTAGTGTCGAGCGCGCACTTCTCGTGGATGCTGCAATACGCCATCGACTTCGCCATCTGCCGCTGCGCCGTCGCCGCGGACGCACCGCTGGATGACTGCCACGTGGCGGAAGCAGCGCGAATCTCCGATTCCGCGGAAGTGAGCAGCGGCACCGCGAGGAGCTCCGCGGTGGGGGACGAACGGGAGGGCGCGGCGGCGGACAAGGCGGGTTCCGCGGATCAGCTCGGCGCGATTCCGGCGTCTATTTCCGGCCGCTCCGCTGCGACGACCGGCACGAGCACGCGGAACTCCTTATCGTCTGCGCCAGAGGCTGGTGGACTGATAGCCGCGGATGATTCCCCGCAACGAAGCGCGACCCTATCCGACAACATTCCCCTGTGCGACTCGCAGTACGATTCGGATCGGTCGGGTCCCCTGGTCTCCGCGCGGGACGACGTTGGGTCGTCACGTGCGAAGTCGTACAGGCGCTCTGCGACGCTGGGTGCGACAGATCTTCACCGGATCATCTCCGCGACTGGCAGCAGACGGTTGCGCGGAAACACGGGCAGCGATAAAGAGAGGAGCGGGAGCGGTAAGGAAAGGGCTGATCGAGACAGTGCGATAGGAGAAACAGCGAGCAAGTGTAGCGAAAATCAGAGTCAGGGTTGGGGGAGCGGCGATATAGCGAGTGATAGTGGCGGGGGTTCTGATACAAAGAGCGGGAACCTCGGCAGTCAGGGTTGCAACAAACACAGCTGCAGCAGCGGAACCACCGTTAGTGGCACAAGCAGTACGCCAACCGGCAGTTCGGATGATAGCTCCACAAGCAGCGGTACGAACAGTTGCGGGTTTCGCGACGAGGGGACTGGCAAAGCTGGTTACAACAGTCGTTACAAAGACAAAAACAGCAAAAATGAAGTGTTTATTAATATTAAAAGTTCCGAAGGTGACTGGGAAGCAGTAAAGGAGGTGGCGAGGGCAGGGGGGCAGGCGAGTAGCCGGACAAGCGGGAAAGGGCGGGGAGAAGAAGTTTCAGAAAGTGGGCGGCTGACTAATTCAAAACAATCTGATCCGCAAAACTTGCAGGCGCCTCTGCCTCTGCCCCCGCGTGTGGCAGAAGTTGGAAGCAATTCTGCTACGCCAAGCCCAAGGCGCTCACGATCGCCACTGGGCGGCATTCTACGGCTCGTGCTGAACTCCTCATGCTTCTCTGCAGGGGTGGCAGAGCAGGATGCTGGGAAAGGGAACCGGAAACGCACTGCCAGCCCAGGGGGAGGCTCGGGTAGTGCCCTTTCAAGCTCTAAAACTTCCTCCTCTGAGTGCGTAGGTGCTACGTGCGTAGGAGGGTGGAACCGAGACTTTGAGTCGGGTGGTGGGACAAAAAGGACTGATACCGACGAGTCTGGTTTGACGTCTCGGGTTGCAGGAGGTACAGCAGCAGCACGGGTGGATGGAGGGTTGGGTGGAGCAGAAGCAGGCGAGGGTGTGTTTCAGAATGTGCAGCAGCCGCAGCAGCAGCAGCAGCAGCAAAAGAAGGGTGGTGATGGGAAGGTGAATGTGATTGCAGAGGGGGGAGTGGCACCTGAGGATATCTTCGGTTTCCTGCGTGATTCCAGACTGACAGCCACTGTGGCAAAAGAGGGGCCTTTTGGGGCTCCTCAAAAGCCATCAAGTGCCAAGACAGCAGCCCAAACACCGCAAACATTGCAACCATTGCAAGCACTGCAAGCAGCGCAAGCAGCTCAGGCTCCTCCGGCTTCTCAGTCACCTCTTGAGCCACAGGCACCGCAGAACCCTCCGGATTTGTTTGATTTCCTTCGTGATCCACGGCTCAAGGCCACAATGCCTAAAGGGGGCGATGCCTGGATTAACACTGCAGCAGCAGGAGCAGCAGGTGCAGCAGCACATGCACCTCTTTCCTCCAGGTCGTCCCTGCACGCCAACCTCCAACTAGATGTATCTGGGGAAGGTGCTACCTGTGTGGAACAGGGGTCAGCTGAGAGAGTCTCGCCTATGGAGAGGGATGGCAGAGGGAGCAGGCAGCAGCAGGAGAGCCAAATACTTTCCAACCCTGTTGGGAGGAAAGCATCTGCTTCTACTGTCTCTGCTGCATCCGCTCCCACCTCTCCTAGAGCAGCAGCCAAACCTGCCCTGCTGTTTCAAAGCCTCACTCCCCTTACCCACCTGTCGCCTTCTCTAGGGAAGGGCAGTCAGGAGGGTGGCGAGGGGGTGAGGGAAGGGGTGCTGGGGTTGGAGGGGGAAAAGAAGGTTCAGGAGCATGAGAGCGGGTTTTTTCAGGGAATGCAGCAGGTGCAGAGTGGAGAGCAGCAGCAGCAGAAAGGGAGGAAGAAGGGGATGGTTCGGTGTTTGTCGATGGGACTTCCCAAATTTGCGCCGTCTGTTCCACCCATCTCCCGCCGCAATACCTCCGAACGGCTCACCGATGCTGCAGCTGTTTCTGGTTCTGGTGCTAGCTATCTTGCAACCACCGCATCTGATGTCCCTGCTGCTGATGATGCTGGTGCGGATTTCACGGCCGCAGGTGACCCTGCTGCTGCTGCTGCTCCACCTCCTCCTCCTCCTGCTGCTGCTGCTCCACCTCCTCCTCCTCCTGCTGCTGCTGCTCCACCTCCTCCTTCTGCTGCTGCTGTTGGCACAGGGGCTCGTTCAGAGGCAGCTGTGGACATGAGCGAATCAACCCCATCCGTAGACCGCATGAGGCCATTAGCAGCCCACATGCGGGCGGCCAGCTTCAGTTCCCACAGCAGCCTGAGCATGAGAGAATCACCTGTCACACATACCCATGACCCCAGGAGGGCGCTAGGCAAGAGCTCGAGCTATGAGACAGGCTCCCACAGCAGCCTGAGCATGAGAGAAGCACCTGTCACCACCACTCTCGCTACCCGTTCCGGTTCGACAAACAGCCGTGACCCCAAGAGGGCACTAGGCAAGAGCTCAAGCTATGAGACAGGCTCGGCGGTTTCAAGCAGGGTTGTTAGAATGTCCCTTGAATCTCCTTCCACTCACTCTGCAGCTGGCGCTGGGCTTTTCAGAAAATTCACACACGACGGCCTGATGACCCCATCCAAAGATTCGTGCGTGGAAGAAGATGTTTCCCCTCCACCCCTGCAGCCCTCCCCGTTTCTCGCAGCGATCATATCGTCTTCCCATGGTGCCTCCACCTCTTCCCTTTCCCGTTCCCTGTCCTCTCTGAAGCCCCCTGCTCCGTCACTCGCCAGTGCTTCCCCTTCCCGGCAACCGGAGCAGTCTTCTCGCAAGCTGTCGCGCTCCCAGTCATCCAACTCCGTTGCCGCAACGGCTCGTGTTTCCCCGTCGCCTCGCCTGCTGCTGCGGTCACCATCTGCTCTCTCTGCGCGGCGGAAAGCCCCGGTACCAACACCGAGCCAATCGTCTAGCATTAGTCCCCCCGACGCCGAGCCACACAAGAAAGATGTGGTTGTGTCCCGGCACGAGGAGTGTGGTGCCATTTTGAATGATGGAGGCCGTGCAAATTCGCGTCGTGTAAGTGAGGTGGGGAGTGGGAGCAAGAGAGTGGGGGTGCGAGGGCTGTTTGATGTGGAAGAGGAGGGTGAGGAGGCGGACGAGGCACCGGTGTTTGGGTCGTCCGGTAAAAGTAGGTCTTTGCCGCATAGAAGGCGAGCTTCGCTACCCGTGATGCCATTACCTGCGCATGTTGAGGAGCAAGAAGCATGGTAGAAACATTCAGACATTGACATTGCATAATAAGATATATTAGAGCTGCTTATGTTCATATTGGCTAACTGAGAAGCCTTGGGCATGTTGAGTGTGCCTACAGAGTAAACTTTACAGGGCCAGTGCTCCCCTTGGAGCATCATGTATGGTGTGAAATTCTGGGGACTCCTTCGAGCGTTACGTTGAAAAGTTTCCCTGTAAACGACGAAATCTGAAAGTGGGCTGCTCTTCTGCAACCAGGCAGGTGGAGCCAGCGACGTTGTTTGAAACCTCTGGTTCAGCCAGCGCAGGCACGAATAACAGAATCGAGTCGGAGGAGGGGTGGGAAGGAAATAGCGAGCCCAATGACGGGAATGAAAAGCCTGTTCGATATTTTTCCAACAATTCAGGTCGCGAGATTCCCAAAGTACTGCCCGTAATGGGCAACCTCGAAAATATTTCGCCGTGGAAATTGAGGACGCGTCACCTCTCTCGATTTTGCACGATCGATCGTAAAAAACCGATCGCTCAGCGCACTTAAAACCTAGCTGTTACATCTAATTAGTTTTTAACCGTTTTCAACTTCGTAAACATTCGATCCTGCGCAGGATCGATCGTGCAAAATCGAGAGAGGTGACGCGTCCTGAGGTCAGTCGAAAAGTGCGGCAATGTTTCTGCTCCTGCTTTGTGCCGTTTGTTGATTCTCGCTGGTCCCACCCACGCACTCTTCGTTTGAATGTGGCCCAATGAGGCGGCTTGCGCTCTAGGACGGTTAAGTATATAGATGGATTGGTTTGGTAGGGCGAGAGCGAACTGGTGGCTCACCCAGACCTTGTTTTACCAGATTGAGTTTCTTCGGAAGATTCTATTCATTCGGAAGTATTAGTTCTTACTTCGTGTCAAGAAGCGGCTCCTGGCTTCTATTTATTCGCGCTTCGGGCCTCTATCCATTCGCGGCTCCCTGTAACAGAGGATTCCTCGACTTGATGCGCCTCTTGGGTGTATCAAAAGCGACGGAAGCATTGCAAAGTATGAACGATTGCAGCGCATGACAAAAACCGTAGCGGTCTGGACTGAATTGAGCAATCCCTTAACTAGTTTACTCGTTTCCTCGCGAATTATTAAGAAAACCTACCTTTCAGAATCAGCACCAGAAATTTTACCTTCTAAAAGCAACACGAGTGGAGGTACCGTCTAGTACCAGCCAGCGGCTTTATGTCCCGACTTCTCTCACCCCGCTTCGCTTCATCTCGATCGCCAGAGCCACTCATCGAAATCGACGAACCCGCAATGCGGTCAGGGTTCTCACCTTCACGACGCACTGGCAGATGTTAAAAATGCAACCCTTCGTAGGCAGGTACAGTGCCGACATTTTTAAAGTGTTAAAAGTTGAGGTCATTTCAGATATGACACGAGTTGCACAAGCTTGTTTGAGGTTCAGGCTCTTTTAGGATGTCGGCATTTGAGAAATGCCAAGACAACTGAGACTGGTTTTTTTTTTTTAGCTCACCTTCTAGGAGGTCATACCAACTATAAGGTCTCAGGAGGTACAACCACATTCGACGTGTCCGCTTTCTGCACGTGGTCCCACCATGAGTACGTGTTGGAACCGCGATTTAAGCATGCGAACGCGCCCTTTCCCGGCGCTTCTCATAGTATCGTTTAACGTGGTTCTCGTCGCCGCTATATTGGCCAGCTCCGCCGCGCGCTCCTGCGCGCAAGTGCAAACGCCGTCGGCGGAAGAGTCCGGTCGCGGCTTGCTTGCCGTCCCCGTTACAAGCTCACCGCGGTGGCCGCGTAGAACGCTACTTGCTGACTCTAGCGGGAACAGTAGCGCGAGCAATGGCGGGAGCAGCAGCAGCAGCAGCGGAAATAGCAGCGGGAGCAGCAGCAGCGGGAGCAGCAGCAGCGGAAGCAGCAGCAGCGACACGGTTGTGGTTGTAGCGCTGGTGGTGGCTCTCGCGGTGTCCGTGCTTGTATCGATGGGTGCTACAGTGGTCGCGTGCATGCTATGGAAGCGACTGCCGCCCAGACGGCCAGGAGAATCTTCAGGTGTGCTGGGGAAATCCATCGCCGGTGTTACAAGGAATCAAGTAGCGTGTATGCAATTATTGAGGCAATGTGTCGGATAGGTTGTTCTCAGCTGCTTGGGAAGACGGCTGCTATATGTCTTCTACTCACCCACCCACCCCCCCCCCCCTTCCGCCCCCACCCTCCTCTCACACCCCCCGCCCGCCCTTCCTCTCCCCACTTAAGACCCCCCTCCCCCGCTGTCCCCTCCGCTCCCCTCTCCCATCCTCGTTACTCACCTCGTCCCCCCCCCCCCCCTCCGTTCCCTTCACGTCCCCATTTCTCCCGCCCTTCACCCCCCTTTTCCCCTTCTCCCCCATTTCCCCCATCCCCAGGTACCTCAGGTGCTGCCGTAACTTCCTCTGTGGCTCCGGAGGAGGAACTGAGGGCGCAGGGGGAGGGCGGAGGGGAGGGGAGGTGCAGAAGGCGCAGCAGACTTGAACTTCCTCCGCCCCACTCCCCCCCTCCCCCGACTGTTCATCCCCCAGGTGCCTCAGGTGCGGCCGTAACTTCCTCTGTGGCTCTGGAGGAGGAGCTGAGGGCGCAGGGGGAGGGCGGAGAGGCAATGGCGCAGGGGGAGGGCGGAGAGGCTATGGCGCAGGGGGAGGGCGGAGAGGCTATGGCGCAGACTTGAGCTTTTCCCCTTTTCCCCCCTCATCCCCCACCCCTCCCTCCCTCCCTCGAACCCCCATCCCCAGGTACCTCAGGTGCGGCCGTAACTTCCTCTGTGGCTCCGGAGGAGGAACTGAGGGCGCAGGGGGCGGGCGGAGGGGGAGGGGGAAGCTCTAGCAAAGGCGGGGAGGACAGGGGGAAGGGAAAGGGGAAGGAGGCGGCAACGAGCGAGGCGGGTGGAAGAAGAGGGAGAGGGGGGCGGGTAGGGAGTGGAGAGGTAAGGGAGGGGGATGGGGTGGAGGAAGAAGAGGAGAGAAGGGGGGAAGAGGGGGGAGATGAGGAGGAGGAGGAGGATAGGCGGCAGCAGCTGCGGCGGTTAAAAAAGGAGGAGCAGCAGAGGCAGCAGCAACAGCAGCAGGAGGCGGTGCGTGCAAAGGCCGAACCGCAGCAGCAACAGCAGGTCCGGCCCGAGCCTGACGATCCAGGCTCGGGCGGAGGCACGGGGACGTTCGACATCCAAAAGGTGGTCAGCTTTCCCCTGAAAGTCCTTGTAGACGCCACCAACACTTTCGCCTCGGGCAACCATCTCGGGCAGGGTACCTACGGAATGGTGTACAAGGCGAAATTACCCTCCGGGGACGTGGTAGCGGTGAAAAGAGCCAAGGCGGACCGGAAGCAGGATGCAGGGAAATTCCGAAAGGAGATTGAGCTGTTGTCTCGGGTCAGCCATAAGAACCTGGTGCGACTAGTGGGGTACTGCAGGGAGGGAGGCGAGCAGCTGCTTGTCTATGAGTATGTGGCGGGAGGGAATCTGTCGCAGAACCTTAACCCGACATGGAGAGAACGTGAGTATGGCTCCTGGGTCCTGGGGAAATCGTACCGTTTGTATGGCTGGTTTTAAGCCAGGTTGATGCCAGGTAGATGCGTGTGTAGGTGGCTGGTGCGGTGGTGCGGGGAGGGAGGGAGCAGCTGCGAGTGTGTGAGTACGTGGCGGGAGGGGACCTGTTCCAGAACCTCAGCCCCACCTGGAGAGAGCGTGAATATGAATTAGCTTCTAAACTGCTCAGAGGGTTTGGCTTTGGGTGCACAGATGTCTGTGGGGGGTGGGTGGATGCAGGGGTGTTTGGTGCGTTACTGCACGGAAGGAGGGGAGCAGCTGCGAGTGTGTGAGTATGTGGCAGGAGGGGACCTGTCCCAGAACCTCAACCCCACCTGGAGAGAGCGTGAATATGATTTGGCTTCAGAGTGATTGGAGGAGGAGTTTGAATCCCAGGTTGCTGGGGTGTCCTCGTATGGAAGGCAGGGACGGTGAGCCCCTTTCCCTCCCCCCTCAATCCTCATAACCCCACTCCCTCCCTCTCCCCAACCCTCTCTCCTCCATTCTCTCTCTTTCCCCCCACCCCACAGGCCACAGCCGGCCCCCGCTGAACTGGACAGAGCGCCTGCTCATTTCAGCGGGCACGGCGCGGGGACTAGCATACCTGCACGAGGAGATCAACGTGCCCTTCATCCCTTACCCCATTTCTCCCCGTTTTTTCCCTCCACTTGCCCCTCTCTTCTCCCTTCTCGCAAACCCACACAGGCCACAGCCGTCCGCCACTCAACTGGACAGAAAGACTCCTCATAGCAGCAGGCACGGCGAGAGGCCTAGCATACCTGCACGAGGAGATCAACGTGCCCTTCATCCACCGGGACGTGAAGCCCAGCAACATCATGATCGACCGCCACGTGGTGGCTAAGATCGCTGATTTCGGCACGACCAAGCCCATGACTCCGGAAGAGCTGAGGAAGATGTCAGTCACCATCCAAGGCACCGCTGTGAGTGCTGTTTCTTGGGCTGGATAGTGCCCACCTCTTTCTACCTCTCTCTCACCTTTCCGCCACCCTTCATCCACCGGGACGTGAAGCCCAGCAACATCATGATCGACCGGCACGTGGTGGCCAAGGTTGCTGACTTTGGCACGTCCAAGCCCATGACGCCTGAGGAGCTGCGGAAGATGTCAGTCACCATCCAAGGCACCTCTGTGAGTGCTCGTTGCTGCAGTGCGTCACGTGTTGTGAGTGTTTATGAAGTAGTGGAATGGTGTGTGTACTGAAGTAGCCCCCTCCTCCCCTCTTCCCTCCCTACTTCCCCCCTTTCCCCCTACTTTCCCCACCCCCAGGGCTACTGCGACCCGGACTATCTGCGTAGGGGGCACTCCCTACCCTGGCCCTTCATCCCATTCCATACTGCCCCCCATACACCCCCCTCCCGCGCCAACCCCTTCCCCCTCAGGGCTACTGTGACCCGGGCTATCTGCGCAGGGGGCACTTCCTACCCTGTCCCTTCATCCCACTCGCCCTGCCTTTGTTTGCCCTCCCTTGTGCTTTTTCGCCGCCCCTCAGGGCTACTGCAACCCGGACTCTCTGCGCACGGGGCACTCCTCCAAGCGCATCGACATGTTACCGTACCAGTGTGCGGGGCAAGCAAACCCACACTCCTAACCCTGCTGCCTATACTCCCACCACCTCCTCCTCTTCACCCATCTCCCCCAGGGCTACTGCGACCCGGACTATCTGCGCACGGGGCACTCCTCGAAGCGCATCGACGTGTACTCGCTCGGCATCGTGCTACTTGAACTGCTCACCGGCAAGGGGCCGCACAAAGTCAACCGCCCCTACCGATTCGATGTGAGCTGAGGCGGGCTGGGCCGGCGGAATCAGGTGAGGGAGCTTGGGTGGGTGGGGGTAAGGGAGCCCACATCACACCTCACCACTTGGCACGTGGGGGTGTACCCTGCAGACGAGCTGCACCACACCCAACCGCATACCGCCTCTCTCCCTCTCCCTAAACCCCCCCTGCCAGCCATAGTATATCCCGACATGGGGCTGTACCATGTCTTCGACCTTGCTCTGCGCTGCACCTGCCCTGCACTGCACCGAAGTTCACCGCTTCAAACCCCTCCAATTCCACTTGTGTCACTCGCCCCTATCCTCCCCCAGGTGAAGGATCGGTTTGACAGGGGTGGCTTACCATCCATCGTGGACCCAACCATGGGGCTGTACCCTGCAGACGAGCTGCACCATGTGTTTGACCTCGCCCTGCACTGCACCGCACTCAACCACCTCAAACATCTCCATATCACCTATGTCTTCCCTTCCGCAGGTGAAGGACAGGTTTGACAGAGGGGGTCTGCTGTCCATCGTAGACCCAACCATGGGGCTGTTCCCTGCAGACGAGCTGAACCATGTCTTCCACCTTGGCCTCTGCGCTGCTTTCACCGCATTCAACCACTTCAGATGCCCCCCATTCCACCTCCCTCCCCTTAACCTCCCCAGGTGAAGGATCGGTTTGACAGAGGGGGTTTACCATCCATAGTGGACCCAACCATGGGCCTTTACCCTGCAGACGAGCTGCACCACGTGTTCGACCTCGCCCTTCGCTGCACCGACATCCAGAACCCTGCCGCCCGCCCCTCTATGTCCCGAGTTGTGGCTGAGCTAGAGGCTGTTCTTGAGCCGGAGGCGATTTCGCGCTTCATTTCCTCCGGACCTCCGTCCCACGGCTCGGCGGACTTCCGTACCGCGCCGTCAGGCTCGGGAGCTGGTTCGGGTGGGGCGGGGCTGACGCGGTTTGCGGGAACTGGGAAGCAGGTGGGGCAGGGTGGTGGAGAAGGGGAGGCAGGTTCGGTGGCGGCAGGCTCGGGGGTAGCAGGTATGGCAGTGGGAGGTACGGCAGGTGCAGCATTGGCTGCAGCAATCAGTTCTGCCTCTCCCTCTCGTGCTGATGATGCTGAACCTCCTAACTCTCCCAACCGCTCTCAGCCGCAACCTACCCCTCATTCTGATGCGCCTCTCCCTCCTCCCTCCTCGAAAAGAACGCCGGGACCCCCAGCATACAAGGGCAGAGCAGCAGGGGCAGCAGGAGCAGCAGCAGGAGCTGCTGAAGCTACTGGTGGGGATATTCGGGGTGTGAGAGATAGAGACCATGATGGTGCCTATGCTCCAACAGGCCAAATTGATCCAAGAAGCACTGGCAGAGCTTATGTTGTGAGTCCTGATGTAGGCATGCAGATGAAACCTGCACCAGTTGCCGCTTTCCGAGGGGTATCGGCTGCAGCGGGGATAGGAGCAACCGGAGCGGGTGTGGCTGGTGGAAACGCAGGTGGAATTGGTGGTGGCAGTGGTGTTGTTGCTCCATCTGGTCAAGACTACAGATCGGGAGAGAGATTTGTGGAGGGAGGAGGTGGAGATGGAGGTGAGAGGGATGGAGAGGGGTTTGAGGAGGGTTTGGATGGGTCGTTTGATTCTAGCGGGTTTGATCGCAGCGGGGTGTTCAGTTATGGAGCCATGCCGCCGGCTTAGACTGGGTTATTGATGATTGGTATAGAAAGAAGTGTGGATTTAAGGTATTTCATTGTTTTGTGTAAGTTATGGCTGTACTAAAAGGCAAAGAGTTGCACTACTAGTACTGCCATTGACACTTATCAACAAAGGATGTGGGTAGGGCTAGTATTGTTCTTTACTCACAAGACTGAAATATATATAAATAATACCTGTATTTTGACTTCGGCGAGTTCTAATACCAAGACTCACCATGGACCTGACACTGACTCCAGAACATAGATTGTGTTCTTAGCGAGCATATCACGAAGGTTTGACTGGTGGACAGCCCATGTCCAGGTGTTGCATCGTGGGTACTGTTGATCAGAAACCACTGTAGACGAGGGCCAACTCACCTGTGACTATTCAGATGTGTCGAACTACGGGCAGAATATGCAAACAATCCGGGAAATTGTAATGTGAGATTTGAGCTGTAAACGATTTTTTTTAGAGGTGAATTACTTGTATTACAGTAGGCAAATCGTCTCTGCGGATAGTAGGCGTAAGTTGTTCGGTTACCCAGCTGCTAAAAGTGAAAACTCTTCTGTTCCACACACAATTTGAACATGGTCACCTGGTACGGGTAGGGTGCAGCAATCACGTGGCGAGTGTATCTGCGTCTCCATTCAGCCGAATCGCCGGTACAACTGAATGTTTGAAGCATATCTGCTTCACCCTGCGCTTCGTGATCAGAGGCAGTTTTCGCTCCTGAAGTGTTGGGAGGGAGACACAAACCAACCCCAGTCTGTCCTGCACATAAAGTCTACGCATGGTACCAATAAACCAAGTCAGCAACCCAGCATCGAAAGACACAGAATCACCCATTCCACAAACCACAGCTCAGAATTTCTTCATCCCTAATTCCCTAGTATTTCCAGCGAGTCAGAATGGCTCGAGCTGCGCTTTTCGCGCTCTCCCTGGCGCTGCTGCTCGTCGCGGCGCGCGCCGGCAGCCCCATCACAAGCTCGACGGCGAACGAGAAGCCCGACCAGAGCAGCAAGAAGGACGACGGGCTCATGACCGAAATCCCCGCGGCCATCGCGAAGCAGGCGGCGGCGGGCAACGCGGAGGGAGTGACATACGTTGACACGGCACAGGACACGTTCTTCATGGCTGATGTGAAGAAGGCCGGGTGGAACGCGCAGAAATGCCCGCCGGGTTTGAACAAGGAGCTGGCGGGCGCGTGCACGCCCAAGAATTGCTCCAAGGGCGGCATTGCGGCCAAGTGGAAGACGGCGTACCTGCAGAAGAACAAGCTCGGGTACGAGCTGTACGTGCCGGGTAACCCGCTCACGCTGCTCAAGGCCAACCCCGCGTCGTGCTGCAACACGTGCGCCGCGACGCCGGCTTGCACGTACTGGCAGTACATTCCCGATATTACCATTGACGGGAAGAAGGGCAAGGGCGCGTGCTACCTGATCCACGATCAGATCGACTTCACGTGCGGAGAGATGACCGCGCAGTACAGCACGGAGACGAAGCCCGTGCCGCTTCAGGTGCGCATCGGCGGCGAGTGCAACCCGAGCGCCAAGATTCTCAACGACCCGCATCTGGTGGGCGCACACGGCACGCACTTCGACTTCAACGGCCGCCCCGACAAGGCGTTCTGCCTGCTGACGGACCGCGACCTGCACGTGAACATGCTGCTGCGCGGGTACTACGACGAGCGCACCGACAACGCGGCGCTCGTCGTCGACGGCAAGGCCGTGCACACGTGGATTAAGGAGCTCGGCATTGTGTGGACTGCTAAGGGAGTTGATCACAAGATTCGCATCGCGGCGCGCGGCGGCAAGCAGCAGGAGCGCGGCGACGGGTTCGTGAAGAGCATCGAGATTGACGGTGAGGCGATCCCGCGCATGCAGGTGGGTGACAGCGTGACGAGCGACGGCGGGCTGACGATCCAGTTCCGCGCGCTGGAGAAGGAGGGGCCGTTCGATGTGGATTACTACCTGCTGACGATCGACGGCCTGATTTCGCTCGACCTCCGCCTGCGCGTGGCGCACCCGAAGCTGCAGACGCCGAGCGACGCCGAGGCGCACATCAACGTCGGGATTGCGGAGCTGGAGCACACCGACGCGATCCACGGCGTGCTTGGGCAGACGTACCGCGACGACCACGCGCAGCGCGCCGCAGACTTCCAGAAGCTGATCGCGAGCCTGCACCGTCCGATCTCCGCCGACGGTGCCGAGGGGCAAGGGTTCCTGGATGGCACTCCCCGGTCGTACGAGGCGAGCGACGTGCTCGCTGTGGACTGCGCTTACACCGCGTATGGCCGCGCCAGACAAGTGATGCCCGTGCAAGAGTTCCCGTAAAGCGCTGACTCCGTTTTGGCTATTCCACATGTAACGTATTGTGGGCTGGGATTGATTAATGATACCATTTCCTTGCAGCAAGCAGGTACAAGTCTTGTTGCCTTGATGTATATTACACATAATTATTAATTATTTATTTCTGAACTTCCCATTCATTTTGTTTCCGGCTATCAGATCAAAGATCCCTTGTCCTACTCCCCTGCTATCAGCCGTTCACTGACAGTAGAAATATTCATTGAGGGGCTCTAGTCTCCGCAGCTCTGGCGATTGCATCCATGCGCCCTCCTTTCTCTCCATGCGTCATGACTTCGCTAGTATCCGACACACATAAGGGCGTGTCACCATATTTTTTCGTCATTGACACAATCATTGACTTCAGACGAAATTTGGTTTGGCAAGAATTTCCGTGGTTCCTCGTTTTTCGCCCGTAACCATACGACGTCGCATGCGTTCCGTAACGGCGTGGAACTTTTCTCGCTTCCAACTGTACTGAGAGGGTATTAGGCATTGTCTGTTTACCGAACGGGCGACTAATCAGAAGTTGTGACAGAAATTACACAGCGCCGAGCCGCCTCGCCAAACCACATCCTCGATTTGGAATTCTTCTTCGAGGCAGTGTTGTTTAGTTGTTCACACATCGACCCAAACCACAGCTTCCCCCTCCTCTCCGCACCGCAACCACTTACGAGTCCACACCAGGCCTGTCGATTGACGGGCATATGCCCTTAATGCCCTGAAATTCCGGACTACTTTGGCTCCAGCTCGACTGCATTAAGTGTTAGGTTGCCCTGCACCCGTGCCACTAAGTGCTTCGTTCGACCCTTCCCCGGATGCGTTAAGTGCTCCAACCAGACCTTCCCCACCCACAAAGTTTAGATTTCCGGTTCTAGGACCCCCCCCCCCCCAAGAAATTCAGCCTGACTCCCCCACCCCCCCCCCCCCCCTCCTTTCTCCTTGGGTTGCACGAGAGCGCGCCAAGGGGATTTTTCCCTTAGCGTTTTCTAGCCAATCCCGTGTTTGTGATATCTAAGTCAGCTTAGGAGCAGCCGAACTTTCCCTTAGCTAAGATAGTGTAAGGGCAAGCCCGGATATCAAGTTTTCACTTTGGCCTGCGCCCGTGACCGTTAAGGGCGCCAAAACACTCAGCTACGGCCAATACAGGGTCAGATAGTGAGGAGCTGGGGACTCCAAGTATGGGCCCCAGGAACTTCGACAGGCCTGGTCCACACAAAAGACAACTTTTGCGTGCACTCAAAAGACAACTCCTTTGCGTGCACTCAAAAGCCAACTCTTTTGGGTCGACTCAAAAGGCAACCGCTGTCCAGGTGTTGCATCTTGGGCAGGGAGAGCACCGATGTGACTATTCAGATGTGTCGAACCCCGGGCATCAAACACAAACAAATGCGGGTCGTGTATGTAATTCTCTATCTATAATTTCGCGATTTAGCGGGCAAAACCTTACTTCATGATTTCCGTCTTGGAGCTGCTGGGATGAAACACTTCGGTCATGTACATGCAATCAAAACATGGTTACCTGGCACAGTTCTAAGTTGTTGTCTTCCACGTGCCAAATGTATCTGCGTCTCCATTCAGCGGACTCGCAGGTAAAATACCAGATGCCTGACGCATTCAGCTTCTATCCTGCGCTTCGTGATTTGAGCCTCGCCGAACAGCTTTAGTGAAGGCGCGCAGCGAGAAGTCGAAGACAGGGACGACGCACCTACTCCGATCCAATCTGTCCTGCACATGAAATAGGCCAATCATTGCAGTGATAGACCAAATCAGCAACACAGCACCACGGGACGGGACACGGATCAAGTAATTACATGCATTGAGTAAGCAATACTTTCACCATTTCGCACACCATAATATAGAGAGTATCGTACCCCTTATTCAACTTTCAGGAGCGTCAGAATGGCTCGAGCTGCTCTTTTCGCGCTCTCTCTGGCGCTGCTACTCGTGGCGGCGCGCGCCGGCAGCCCCATCACAAGCTCGACGGCGAACGAGAAGCCCGACCAGAGCAGCAAGAAGGACGACGGGCTCATGACCGAAATCCCCGCGGCCATTGCGAAGCAGGCGGCGGCGGGCAACGCGGAGGGAGTGACATACGTTGACACGGCGCAGGACACGTTCTTCATGGCTGATGTGAAGAAGGCCGGGTGGAACGCGCAGAAATGCCCGCCGGGTTTGAACAAGGAGCTGGCGGGCGCGTGCACGCCCAGGAATTGCTCCAAGGGCGGCATTGCGGCCAAGTGGAAGACGGCGTACCTGCAGAAGAACAAGCTCGGGTACGAGCTGTACGTACCGGGTAACCCGCTCACGCTGCTCAAGGCCAACCCCGCGTCGTGCTGCAACACGTGCGCGGCGACGCCGGCGTGCACGTACTGGCAGTACATTCCCGATATTACCATCGACGGGAAGAAGGGCAAGGGCGCGTGCTACCTGATCCACGATCAGATCGACTTCACGTGCGGAGAGATGACCGCGCAGTACAGCACGGAGACGAAGCCCGTGCCGCTTCAGGTGCGCATCGGCGGCGAGTGCAACCCGAGCGCCAAGATTCTCAACGACCCGCATCTGGTGGGCGCACACGGCACGCACTTCGACTTCAACGGCCGCCCCGACAAGGCGTTCTGCCTGCTGACGGACCGCGACCTGCACGTGAACATGCTGCTGCGCGGGTACTACGACGAGCGCACCGACAACGCGGCGCTCGTCGTCGACGGCAAGGCCGTGCACACGTGGATTAAGGAGCTCGGCATTGTGTGGACTGCTAAGGGAGTTGATCACAAGATTCGCATCGCGGCGCGCGGCGGCAAGCAGCAGGAGCGCGGCGACGGGTTCGTGAAGAGCATCGAGATTGACGGTGAGGCGATCCCGCGCATGCAGGTGGGTGACAGCGTGACGAGCGACGGCGGGCTGACGATCCAGTTCCGCGCGCTGGAGAAGGAGGGGCCGTTCGATGTGGATTACTACCTGCTGACGATCGACGGCCTGATTTCGCTCGACCTCCGCCTGCGCGTGGCGCACCCGAAGCTGCAGACGCCGAGCGACGCCGAGGCGCACATCAACGTCGGGATTGCGGAGCTGGAGCACACCGACGCGATCCACGGCGTGCTTGGGCAGACGTACCGCGACGACCACGCGCAGCGCGCCGCAGACTTCCAGAAGCTGATCGCGAGCCTGCACCGTCCGATCTCCGCCGACGGTGCCGAGGGGCAAGGGTTCCTGGATGGCACTCCCCGGTCGTACGAGGCGAGCGACGTGCTCGCTGTGGACTGCGCTTACACCGCGTATGGCCGCGCCAGACAAGTGATGCCCGTGCAAGAGTTCCCGTAAAGCGCTGACTCCGTTTTGGCTATTCCACATGTAACGTATTGTGGGCTGGGATTGATTAATGATACCATTTCCTTGCAGCAAGCAGGTACAAGTCTTGTTGCCTTGATGTATATTACACATAATTATTAATTATTTATTTCTGAACTTCCCATTCATTTTGTTTCCGGCTATCAGATCAAAGATCCCTTGTCCTACTCCCCTGCTATCAGCCGTTCACTGACAGTAGAAATATTCATTGAGGGGCTCTAGTCTCCGCAGCTCTGGCGATTGCATCCATGCGCCCTCCTTTCTCTCCATGCGTCATGACTTCGCTAGTATCCGACACACATAAGGGCGTGTCACCATATTTTTTCGTCATTGACACAATCATTGACTTCAGACGAAATTTGGTTTGGCAAGAATTTCCGTGGTTCCTCGTTTTTCGCCCGTAACCATACGACGTCGCATGCGTTCCGTAACGGCGTGGAACTTTTCTCGCTTCCAACTGTACTGAGAGGGTATTAGGCATTGTCTGTTTACCGAACGGGCGACTAATCAGAAGTTGTGACAGAAATTACACAGCGCCGAGCCGCCTCGCCAAACCACATCCTCGATTTGGAATTCTTCTTCGAGGCAGTGTTGTTTAGTTGTTCACACATCGACCCAAACCACAGCTTCCCCCTCCTCTCCGCACCGCAACCACTTACGAGTCCACACCAGGCCTGTCGATTGACGGGCATATGCCCTTAATGCCCTGAAATTCCGGACTACTTTGGCTCCAGCTCGACTGCATTAAGTGTTAGGTTGCCCTGCACCCGTGCCACTAAGTGCTTCGTTCGACCCTTCCCCGGATGCGTTAAGTGCTCCAACCAGACCTTCCCCACCCACAAAGTTTAGATTTCCGGTTCTAGGACCCCCCCCCCCCCAAGAAATTCAGCCTGACTCCCCCACCCCCCCCCCCCCCTCCTTTCTCCTTGGGTTGCACGAGAGCGCGCCAAGGGGATTTTTCCCTTAGCGTTTTCTAGCCAATCCCGTGTTTGTGATATCTAAGTCAGCTTAGGAGCAGCCGAACTTTCCCTTAGCTAAGATAGTGTAAGGGCAAGCCCGGATATCAAGTTTTCACTTTGGCCTGCGCCCGTGACCGTTAAGGGCGCCAAAACACTCAGCTACGGCCAATACAGGGTCAGATAGTGAGGAGCTGGGGACTCCAAGTATGGGCCCCAGGAACTTCGACAGGCCTGGTCCACACAAAAGACAACTTTTGCGTGCACTCAAAAGACAACTCCTTTGCGTGCACTCAAAAGCCAACTCTTCTGGGTCGACTCAAAAGGCAACCGCTGTCCAGGTGTTGCATCTTGGGCAGGGAGAGCACCGATGTGACTATTCAGATGTGTCGAACCCCGGGCATCAAACACAAACAAATGCGGGTCGTGTATGTAATTCTCTATCTATAATTTCGCGATTTAGCGGGCAAAACCTTACTTCATGATTTCCGTCTTGGAGCTGCTGGGATGAAACACTTCGGTCATGTACATGCAATCAAAACATGGTTACCTGGCACAGTTCTAAGTTGTTGTCTTCCACGTGCCAAATGTATCTGCGTCTCCATTCAGCGGACTCGCAGGTAAAATACCAGATGCCTGACGCATTCAGCTTCTATCCTGCGCTTCGTGATTTGAGCCTCGCCGAACAGCTTTAGTGAAGGCGCGCAGCGAGAAGTCGAAGACAGGGACGACGCACCTACTCCGATCCAATCTGTCCTGCACATGAAATAGGCCAATCATTGCAGTGATAGACCAAATCAGCAACACAGCACCACGGGACGGGACACGGATCAAGTAATTACATGCATTGAGTAAGCAATACTTTCACCATTTCGCACACCATAATATAGAGAGTATCGTACCCCTTATTCAACTTTCAGGAGCGTCAGAATGGCTCGAGCTGCTCTTTTCGCGCTCTCTCTGGCGCTGCTACTCGTGGCGGCGCGCGCCGGCAGTCCCATCACAAGCTCGACGGCGAACGAGAAGCCCGACCAGAGCAGCAAGAAGGACGACGGGCTCATGACCGAAATCCCCGCGGCCATTGCGAAGCAGGCGGCGGCGGGCAACGCGGAGGGAGTGACATACGTTGACACGGCGCAGGACACGTTCTTCATGGCTGATGTGAAGAAGGCCGGGTGGAACGCGCAGAAATGCCCGCCGGGTTTGAACAAGGAGCTGGCGGGCGCGTGCACGCCCAGGAATTGCTCCAAGGGCGGCATTGCGGCCAAGTGGAAGACGGCGTACCTGCAGAAGAACAAGCTCGGGTACGAGCTGTACGTACCGGGTAACCCGCTCACGCTGCTCAAGGCCAACCCCGCGTCGTGCTGCAACACGTGCGCGGCGACGCCGGCGTGCACGTACTGGCAGTACATTCCCGATATTACCATCGACGGGAAGAAGGGCAAGGGCGCGTGCTACCTGATCCACGATCAGATCGACTTCACGTGCGGAGAGATGACCGCGCAGTACAGCACGGAGACGAAGCCCGTGCCGCTTCAGGTGCGCATCGGCGGCGAGTGCAACCCGAGCGCCAAGATTCTCAACGACCCGCATCTGGTGGGCGCACACGGCACGCACTTCGACTTCAACGGCCGCCCCGACAAGGCGTTCTGCCTGCTGACGGACCGCGACCTGCACGTGAACATGCTGCTGCGCGGGTACTACGACGAGCGCACCGACAACGCGGCGCTCGTCGTCGACGGCAAGGCCGTGCACACGTGGATTAAGGAGCTCGGCATTGTGTGGACTGCTAAGGGAGTTGATCACAAGATTCGCATCGCGGCGCGCGGCGGCAAGCAGCAGGAGCGCGGCGACGGGTTCGTGAAGAGCATCGAGATTGACGGTGAGGCGATCCCGCGCATGCAGGTGGGTGACAGCGTGACGAGCGACGGCGGGCTGACGATCCAGTTCCGCGCGCTGGAGAAGGAGGGGCCGTTCGATGTGGATTACTACCTGCTGACGATCGACGGCCTGATTTCGCTCGACCTCCGCCTGCGCGTGGCGCACCCGAAGCTGCAGACGCCGAGCGACGCCGAGGCGCACATCAACGTCGGGATTGCGGAGCTGGAGCACACCGACGCGATCCACGGCGTGCTTGGGCAGACGTACCGCGACGACCACGCGCAGCGCGCCGCAGACTTCCAGAAGCTGATCGCGAGCCTGCACCGTCCGATCTCCGCCGACGGTGCCGAGGGGCAAGGGTTCCTGGATGGCACTCCCCGGTCGTACGAGGCGAGCGACGTGCTCGCTGTGGACTGCGCTTACACCGCGTATGGCCGCGCCAGACAAGTGATGCCCGTGCAAGAGTTCCCGTAAAGCGCTGACTCCGTTTTGGCTATTCCACATGTAACGTATTGTGGGCTGGGATTGATTAATGATACCATTTCCTTGCAGCAAGCAGGTACAAGTCTTGTTGCCTTGATGTATATTACACATAATTATTAATTATTTATTTCTGAACTTCCCATTCATTTTGTTTCCGGCTATCAGATCAAAGATCCCTTGTCCTACTCCCCTGCTATCAGCCGTTCACTGACAGTAGAAATATTCATTGAGGGGCTCTAGTCTCCGCAGCTCTGGCGATTGCATCCATGCGCCCTCCTTTCTCTCCATGCGTCATGACTTCGCTAGTATCCGACACACATAAGGGCGTGTCACCATATTTTTTTCGTCATTGACACAATCATTGACTTCAGACGAAATTTGGTTTGGCAAGAATTTCCGTGGTTCCTCGTTTTTCGCCCGTAACCATACGACGTCGCATGCGTTCCGTAACGGCGTGGAACTTTTCTCGCTTCCAACTGTACTGAGAGGGTATTAGGCATTGTCTGTTTACCGAACGGGCGACTAATCAGAAGTTGTGACAGAAATTACACAGCGCCGAGCCGCCTCGCCAAACCACATCCTCGATTTGGAATTCTTCTTCGAGGCAGTGTTGTTTAGTTGTTCACACATCGACCCAAACCACAGCTTCCCCCTCCTCTCCGCACCGCAACCACTTACGAGTCCACACCAGGCCTGTCGATTGACGGGCATATGCCCTTAATGCCCTGAAATTCCGGACTACTTTGGCTCCAGCTCGACTGCATTAAGTGTTAGGTTGCCCTGCACCCGTGCCACTAAGTGCTTCGTTCGACCCTTCCCCGGATGCGTTAAGTGCTCCAACCAGACCTTCCCCACCCACAAAGTTTAGATTTCCGGTTCTAGGACCCCCCCCCCCCCAAGAAATTCAGCCTGACTCCCCCACCCCCCCCCCCCCCCCTCCTTTCTCCTTGGGTTGCACGAGAGCGCGCCAAGGGGATTTTTCCCTTAGCGTTTTCTAGCCAATCCCGTGTTTGTGATATCTAAGTCAGCTTAGGAGCAGCCGAACTTTCCCTTAGCTAAGATAGTGTAAGGGCAAGCCCGGATATCAAGTTTTCACTTTGGCCTGCGCCCGTGACCGTTAAGGGCGCCAAAACACTCAGCTACGGCCAATACAGGGTCAGATAGTGAGGAGCTGGGGACTCCAAGTATGGGCCCCAGGAACTTCGACAGGCCTGGTCCACACAAAAGACAACTTTTGCGTGCACTCAAAAGACAACTCCTTTGCGTGCACTCAAAAGCCAACTCTTTTGGGTCGACTCAAAAGGCAACCGCTGTCCAGGTGTTGCATCTTGGGCAGGGAGAGCACCGATGTGACTATTCAGATGTGTCGAACCCCGGGCATCAAACACAAACAAATGCGGGTCGTGTATGTAATTCTCTATCTATAATTTCGCGATTTAGCGGGCAAAACCTTACTTCATGATTTCCGTCTTGGAGCTGCTGGGATGAAACACTTCGGTCATGTACATGCAATCAAAACATGGTTACCTGGCACAGTTCTAAGTTGTTGTCTTCCACGTGCCAAATGTATCTGCGTCTCCATTCAGCGGACTCGCAGGTAAAATACCAGATGCCTGACGCATTCAGCTTCTATCCTGCGCTTCGTGATTTGAGCCTCGCCGAACAGCTTTAGTGAAGGCGCGCAGCGAGAAGTCGAAGACAGGGACGACGCACCTACTCCGATCCAATCTGTCCTGCACATGAAATAGGCCAATCATTGCAGTGATAGACCAAATCAGCAACACAGCACCACGGGACGGGACACGGATCAAGTAATTACATGCATTGAGTAAGCAATACTTTCACCATTTCGCACACCATAATATAGAGAGTATCGTACCCCTTATTCAACTTTCAGGAGCGTCAGAATGGCTCGAGCTGCTCTTTTCGCGCTCTCTCTGGCGCTGCTACTCGTGGCGGCGCGCGCCGGCAGCCCCATCATAAGCTCGACGGCGAACGAAAAGCCCGACCAGAGCAGCAAGAAGGACGACGGGCTCATGACCGAAATCCCCGCGGCCATCGCGAAGCAGGCGGCGGCGGGCAACGCGGAGGGAGTGACATACGTTGACACGGCGCAGGACACGTTCTTCATGGCTGATGTGAAGAAGGCCGGGTGGAACGCGCAGAAATGCCCGCCGGGTTTGAACAAGGAGCTGGCGGGCGCGTGCACGCCCAAGAATTGCTCCAAGGGCGGCATTGCGGCCAAGTGGAAGACGGCGTACCTGCAGAAGAACAAGCTCGGGTACGAGCTGTACGTACCGGGTAACCCGCTCACGCTGCTCAAGGCCAACCCCGCGTCGTGCTGCAACACGTGCGCGGCGACGCCGGCGTGCACGTACTGGCAGTACATTCCCGATATTACCATCGACGGGAAGAAGGGCAAGGGCGCGTGCTACCTGATCCACGATCAGATCGACTTCACGTGCGGAGAGATGACCGCGCAGTACAGCACGGAGACGAAGCCCGTGCCGCTTCAGGTGCGCATCGGCGGCGAGTGCAACCCGAGCGCCAAGATTCTCAACGACCCGCATCTGGTGGGCGCACACGGCACGCACTTCGACTTCAACGGCCGCCCCGATAAGGCGTTCTGCCTGCTGACGGACCGCGACCTGCACGTGAACATGCTGCTGCGCGGGTACTACGACGAGCGCACCGACAACGCGGCGCTCGTCGTCGACGGCAAGGCCGTGCACACGTGGATCAAGGAGCTCGGCATCGTCTGGACTGCTAAGGGCGTCGACCACAAGATTCGCATCGCGGCGCGCGGCGGCAAGCAGCAGGAGCGCGGCGAGGGCTTCGTGAAGAGCATCGAGATTGACGGCGAGGCGATCCCGCGCATGCAGGTGGGCGACAGCGTGACGAGCGACGGCGGGCTGACGATCCAGTTCCGCGCGCTGGAGAAGGAGGGGCCGTTCGATGTGGATTACTACCTGCTGACTATCGACGGCCTGATTTCGCTCGACCTCCGCCTGCGCGTGGCGCACCCGAAGTTGCAGACGCCGAGCGACGCCGAGGCGCACATTAACGTTGGCATTGCGGAGCTGGAGCACACCGACGCGATCCACGGCGTGCTCGGTCAGACGTACCGCGACGACCACGCGCAGCGCGCCGCGGACTTCCAGAAGCTGATCGCGAGCTTGCACCGTCCGATCTCCGCCGACAGCGCGGAGGGGCAAGGGTTCCTGGATGGCACTCCCCGGTCGTACGAGGCGAGCGACGTGCTTGCTGTGGACTGCGCTTACACCGCGTATGGGCGCGCCAGGCAGGTGATGCCCGTGCAGGAGTTCCCGTAAAGCGCTAATCGCAGGTGTATCGTAAGGTGGGCTGGTTTGTAGTTACACCTCAATATGCTCGCTATCGGGCTTCAATGTACACTATCAACATTGGATTCAATTTATATTCTATACATCTTATTATTGGATTGGTTGCTTGCAAGGCAAGACTTACAACATCATACCTATCTGCTCCTGTTCTGATGTCAGCATATCACTGACTAGTATCAACCTAAACCTAGGGGGTTAAAGCTACCCATACCTGTTATCCCCACCTTGCTGTTTGCCCTCCATGCTTCACGGGTTTAGTAAGATGTCTCAGGCTTTCTTGTTAGAAGCAGTGTTGTTTGGAGGAGAGTATTTCAACACTGCCACGTCATCAACCATCACCGACCCGATCCACAACTTCCCCTTCTTCTCCACAACCTCGCTCGTTGCCACCACGTTCCGCCCCAGCTTATCCTCAAGCACGTCTGTGATCACCCCGTTATTGTCAACCTCCACTATAATCCCGTGCGACAGCCCCACCGCTGCCACGTAGGCAGCCTGCAGCCCCACCGGGTCGTTGAGCAGCCTGTATCGCGCATAGGGGCTCCTTGCTAGGACCTCTGTGGGAGGAACAATAGAGAAGAAACATTTGGGTAAGATGGGGGGTGAAAATCAAGAAACAGCCCCACTAGGCTGCATGCAACCCCCACTGGGTCATGAGAAGCTTGTAGCGCGCATAGGGTCTCCTTGCCAGGACCTCTGTGGGAGGAACGAGTGGGATGCGCACAGAAAGGAGAAAGATCTAGTGTACGTAGGTGTTATCCTCCAGGTGTTATCCTCAAGGTGTTATCCTCCAGGTGTTATCCCCCAGATACTTCCTGCCACGTACCCGGCATGGTAACTCATCGGAACTTCTTGGCACACGCATGGGTGGGTGGTAATCCAATGGAAGTGACTTTTGAGTCAACTCAAAAGTCACTTCTTGGCAAACGCATGGGTGGTGATCCAATGGGGGTGCATTGCAGGTGCATGACACAAGGAGGCTAGCTGCTACGTACCGGACATGGGAGTTCGTCTCGAGTTGATTGCGATCCAGAATCGTCCCCTGGGGTTGAGGCTCACGTTGTCACGATACCCGGGCAGGTTTACAAACATTTCAGCCTTGCCCGTCTTTGGCCCTCGGATAAAGTACCGATGACACCTGCAATGAACAGGCTCAGCATTGGAATGTGAGAGAGAAGGTCAAACAATGGGAGAGTAATGGAACGTGAAGTGGCACAGCGTGCAACTATGAACCTTTTGGCATGCTCCTTTCCCTGAAAAAATAAGAGAAGAGCCGTGAAGCATCAAGGCCAGGGTACCACCAGTCACAAAACACTAGCAGAGCACAGTCCCTCACCGCATGTGGCTGGTTTCACACAACACCACGAACGTGCAGTCGTGGGAGAGTGCAACACAACTTTTGAGGCGCCTCAAAAGCAGTCACAGTCACAGTCACAGTCACACCCACTCACCTCACGAAGCCAGTTTCACAAGCACAGTCCCTCACCGCATGTAGCTGGTTTCACAGAAGACCACAAAGGTGCGGTCACGGGAGATCGCAACGCCATTGGCGAACGCCACCCCCTTCACCAGCACCTTGGTCTGCCCCGTTGCAATGTCGTACTGCATAAACCTCCCGTCCGGCTGCCCTTCCAGTGTTGCCAGGAAGAAATCCCTGCAGGGAGTAGGGGTACGGGGAGGAGGTTAATAGACGAGAGGGGCACAGGTGTTTGTCCGCCACCACTCACCCGTGTTTCTCAAAGCTACCTCGAATTCAGTTCGGGACTCACTTTCTTTGCCACCGGGTGCTCCCATCAATGAAATACACGACGCCGTTCTTCCCATCCGCGTCAATATCAAGGTCGTTGGTCATCAGCATGCGCTTCCCCGCCACCACATTCCAAGCCAAGCCAGTGGAACGAAACGTGCAGGACAACACTCACTTCCTTTGCCACCGGGTGCTCCCATCGGTGAAGTAAACCACACCATTCTTCCCATCCGCGTCAATATCAAGGTCGTTGGTCATCAGCATGCGCTTCCCCGCCACCACGTCCACCAGCCTCTCCGCCTTGCCCCCGCCCGGCCCTACTCTGTGCAGCCCAAAGTACGCGTCTGCGAAGTAAAGGTCGCCAGTGACTGGGTGGAAGCGCAGACCCAAGGGGCGCCCGCAGATGGGCTCCATGCTGCTGTTGGTGGTCCTGTTGCCCTGACACCGCGCCTTGGACCTGGGAGTGAGGGGGTGGGGTACGCGGTGCGTGAGAGGGATTGTACCTTTTAGACGCGGCCGCAGATGGGTTCCATGCTGCTGTTGCTGGTACTGTTGTTGGCCTGACACCGCTCCTTGGACCTGGGGGGGGAGAAGGAGTGGTGGGGGGAGGAGTGGTAAGGCTATGGGTCATGCAGAAGTGAGTGTGCCGTCGGCCTTTTGAGTCGACTCAAAAGTCACCTCGAATGGTGGGGAGAGGAGTGGTAAGGCTATGGGTCATGCAGAAGTGAGTGTGCCGTCGGCCTGCCAAAGCCAGCTTCTCCGCCCCTCCCCCCGCCCGGCCCTACTCTATGCAGACCAGAATAGGCGTCTGCGAAATAGAGGTCGCCCGTGACTGGGTGGAAGCGCAGACCCAAGGGCCGCCCGCAGATGGGCTCCATGCTGCTGTTGCTGCTGCTGCTGCTACTGCTGTTGGCCTGACATCGTTCCTTGGACCTCCAAAGGAGGTGTAGAGAGAGGGGACACGTGGTGAGTGAGAGAGGATTTGCCTGTTAGACGTCTCGAAGGGCGCCCACAGATGACTTTTGAGGAGCCTCAAAGGGCGGGTGGTGAGTGAGAGAGGATTTGCCTGTTAGACGTCTCGAAGGGCGCCCACAGATGACTTTTGAGGAGCCTCAAAGGGCGGGTGGTGAGTGAGAGAGGATTTGCCTGTTAGACGTCTCGAAGGGCGCCCACAGATGGGGTCCATGCTGCAGCAGCTGCTGCTGCTGCTGCTGTCGCCCTGACACCGATCCTTGGACCTGGGGGGAAAGGGGTTGGTGCGCGGTGAGAGGGTCCTACGAATGACGGGGTGTCAGGGAGGTGCGACGACGTGGGTAAGTTCCTCTCAAGAGTCTTTGAGTGTTTTGAGACGTCTCAAAACACGTGATACTAAAAGTGTTTTGAGATGTCTCAAAACACGAATGAAAGGGGGTGTCAGGGAGGTGTGACCACGTGAAGAAGAGGTGTCAGTTCCGTTCCAAGAGTCTCCCATCACACATGTGTTGTCCTGGTTTGGACCGCCTCACAACCCGGCCGTCACTCACTGACGCGTACACAACACATCGACACTTATCACTAGCAAGACGCCCTTCCAAGATTTTGCTGGGCTCACCACTTGGGGGAAGCCCACGCGAATGTCTCCCATCGCATGTTGTCTTTGGACCGCCTCACAACCCGGCCGTCACTCACTGACGCGTACGGGCCGCGCCCAGTTCCGTCCCATGCCAGACTCTCCGGTCCCGTTGCTTGTCCTGTGTACCTGCGGAGCGCAACGGAATAATCAGCACGCCCGGGTGACTTGATGGAACCATGATTCCAAATGAAGCTCTGTCCCACGCAAGCGTGATAAGGCCCGTAAGCGATTCTTGACGCGCCAAAAACTCGCCTCCAAAACACGCCCGGGTGACTTTATTGCATGATTTCAAATGCAGCTCGGTGCAAGCGTAAGCAAGCCCGTCAGCCTGCCTTGGGTAACGGCGAATAAACGAAATGTTGGCACGGGTACAGCAGTAAGGTTGTGAGACCTCTGAAAGTACGGGTTCCAACCAAACGTCTGTATTGGTCGTAACTGCCAGGAAAACGGGAGTTGTTCCCAGGTGACTTTTGAGTCGACTCAAAAGTCGCCTCGACAACTAAATGTTGCTGCCTGATATGTTCAACACAAAAGCTTCGACGGTCGAAATCTCTTTAAAGTAGCTGCTTCGTTACATGCCTGCGCACCTTCGTTCCGCGACAGCGAGACGGTTCTCGCTGTCAAACTTTAGGGTTAGCGGAGCTAACGGGATGGATGCCGGCTTGAACTTCGAAGGGTCAACTGTGGGAAGCTCTACAGTTGTAGTCGCCACGACGCCATGAGGGATGGGCTGGAGAATAACTAGTAAACAGAGAGAGAGGAGAACGATATTGGAAGAGCCTCGCCACATTCTGTTTTGGAATCGATCAGCTGCTTGAATCGGAGTGTCCTTCGTGCAGAAGCTCTCGATAAGGCGACAACCAGCTTAGCGATGCCTTGCGCACAGCTCGTTGAAGGATCTAATGCTGCTTTTGGTGACCTGGAAAAGGCAGAAGCGTAGATAGAATGGAGGTAGATGGCCGATGCTCCATCGCAGCTGATAGCAAATCCGTTCGGGAAATCAAGGTGCTCAGAAGTTCATCCAACGGTGACGCGCGTCACGGGATGGACACTGTCGGTTTCGATTTGTCGGCAAGGCCTTGGAGTTTGGGGGGAATCTGACTGGCTGGGTCCACCAATTTGTTTCGAACCGCATTCCCAAAATGCGAGGCAGCAATCTTCGCGCGCGCTCCCATGAAGTCGGCTGGTTTGAAGCGCCGCGGGAATTGTGGTGGCGGTGAGGATTGACAGCAACGGCATCGCTGCAGTCATATTCTCAACAGATCACAAGCGCGTGTACACATGTTGCGTCAGTCGTACCTGATCAGTGTTGAAATTTACTTTACACAATGAGTTGTCAACGTTAATCCACAACAGCTTCATTTCCGCTCAACAGATTGACAAAACAAGCAAGCCTATGTAAGTTAATCGTATTTGCAATAATGATATTGCTGGTCCTAGACTGTGCAGCGCCATCAAGCTTATCTTATTCCTAACAGAGAACCTTTATGGACACTTGAGGGTGGCAATATAGTCCTCAATAACTGAGCCTATCCACAGTTTCCCATCATGCTCCACGATCTCACTCGCATCCTTCACTACCTTCCCGTTCTTGTCCTCAAGCAAGTTAGTGATTTTGCCATCAGCATCTACCTCTACCACAATGCCACTGGCCCTCTGGTCCTGTGTGGCCTTCACAATCTTGTACCCAAGCTTGTTCTCCACAAATGTCTCCCGGATGAATGGGGTTTGGGATGCAACAGCTGTGGAAGTGGAGGGATGACGGGAAGGGAGAAACCGGATTGCATGATTGGGTCGAGCTTCATGCATACTTGTTGCATGAGGACACACAGACGAGCAGGTACAAACTGAGCCACACTGGTGACAATGAAGAGCAATAGGATGAGATGAGACTGAAGACTGGGGGGTGGGTGCTGAGGGGTGAAATCAGGTTTCACAATTGTCAACTCCAGGACGTACTTGCAGTGGGAGACCTCCTCGAGTTGAGTGCGATCCAGAACCTTCCTCTGGGGTTGAGACTGAGGTTGTCAGGGTACCCGGGTAAATTCACAAACACCTCCTTTTTCCCTGCCTTTGGGCCTCGGATCCAGTACCGGTGGCACCTGAAAGAACGAAGAGGATGAAATAAGGAGGTGTACGTGAACTGGCATGTACACTCTCTATAAAAACAATCAAGAATCGCACACATCAACAGCCAGCAGCGCACCTGAGATTGGTTGTTTCGCAGTACACCACAAACGTCTTATCCTGCGAAATCGCCACGCCGTTAGCAAAAGCCACTTTTTCGTCAATCACCGTCGTCACGCCGCTCGCGATGTCGTACTTCATGAACCGTCCGTCCTTCCGGCCTTCCAGCGTGAGCGGCAGAAAATCTCGCCGGTACCAGCGTGAGCTGCCGTCCGTGAAATACACGACATTCGCGTCGGCGTCAATATCTAGGTCATTCGTCATCATGAATTTTCTCCCGTCGAGTGCAGAGACGAGCTTCGTAGCCTGCCCTCCCGCGGAGCTGACTTTATGCAGGCCGAAATACCCATCCGCGAAATAGAGGTCCCCGGTAGTGGGGTGAAACGCCAGGCCGAGCGGCCGCCCGCAGGTGGTTTCCAGATCAGGGTTGGTTTTCTTTGAGTTACATTTTGCCGCAGTTCGCAGCGGCGACGCGTACGTGAACTCCTCCCAGGCGCTGTCGTCGTCCGTGCGCCGCATGATTCGCCCGTCGCTGAAGCTGACGTACGGGCCCTTGCCATTGGGGTCCCAGGCAATACTCTCCGGGCCTGCCATCTCTCCCTCGTACCTGGAGAAAGTGGGGGACGAAAATGGTTGCGTTTCAGTCGACTTATACAGTCACCTCGTGGCATTGTCACATGGCTCAGATTCTGAGGCGTCTCGAAGGTCCCACGCAGTTCCGCCTGGGCATGCGAGCGCGGGGCTCGAATGTGGAGAGTGAGGGGGACCGGGGACCAAAAGGTGGTAAATGGAGGTCATCCACCTCGTAAGGGTGAAGGAAAAGGTACACGGGACGATGAAAGTGGTATGATTCTAGATCACAAGTGCCGCAGAATCTTTACGTGTTCGCGGATTCTGACACGATTAAGAAATTTGGGTTGGTGGGAAAGGGTGGTCGGTTGAATAGATGGGAGGTGGTGGTGGCGGCGCGCAGGGGTTTATGCAGGTTGATCATACAGTTTCTTGTGACCCTTGCAGTGATGATAAACCCATACGAGAAGCCGGAGGTGCAACTCAGCGCGTAATAACCTCAAGCCACAACAAGAGGAGCGCAAAGGTTAGGGGGTTTGTGCATTCTTCTTGCTGCGCTTTCCACAAGGGAAGTTAAGTTTTGGATCATACAAACAGACTGTAGCTTACCTCTTGGTGGCTCGAGCGAGTCGGTTCTTTTTGTCCGTCCTTGGGAAGAGTTTTCCAGGAGGAAGGTTCACCCGCGCGGCCTTGAACTTTTTGGACCACCGCTTTGTCAGCCCCGCCTCGGCATTCCCAGCCACTAGCGCAACGATCAAGCATGCTAGGAGCAGCGGCCCGCGAATTCGGTTCGCCATGAGGTGTTCAGTAGAAAGGTGGTGCGTCTACTTGATTTCTTAAGCGCCTTATAACGATCGAGAGTCAGGTAGAAAGGGAGTATGTCTGCTTTGAGGATACCAAACGATGTGGAGACTGGAAGCTCCGGATAAGTTCCTGACGTTATCACAGGAACTGTGATGCGATGAAACGTACTTATTTCTGTCGTTTACAATGTCTCAATTCTCGATGACAGGCCACGATGCTTCACTTGTTATTTGCACAATGACAGTCCAGTTGGCAGTGCGGCAAATGGACAAGATTAGATGCGCTTCCGTTTGCGGAGCCGATGGTATTGTGAGGCAACAACGAAATACTCGCCTGAATTTGATGGTTGCCAATCCCAACGTTTCCACCAAAGTTCCCGTTCCAAATCTTCGATGGTTGTGAAAGCTGGTCTGTTCCGCCTCACCTCCGACATCTATCGAATTTGGGAAAGCTGCAAGTGAATTTTGGCGGGGAGGATGGGGAATTGAAACGGTGCGCACTTTCGGGTAGGGGGATTGGGAGGACGCTGGGGGTGATTGGTATTTTTCGTGACATCGAGTCGCGAGCGGTCCGAGTTTCGTAATTTACGAACTGGTCGGCCGCCAGAGAGATGTCGGTGCGGGACTCGAACGGAATACGCTACACAGAGTGAGTCGCTACCTCGTAAGACAAACCTTTTTCCTGCGAGACTGAAGTATAGAGTAAAAGACACCTGATTGCCCTTGCTGAGAAGTTACCTTGAATTATAATCGACTGTTCCAACAAAGTCGTTGACAACAGATCCTAGCCATAACTTGCCTTCTCTTTCTACCACCTCACTGAGCTGCTTGATCTTCTTGCCTTTCTTGTCCTCGAGAATATCAGTTATTCTCCCATTTGTATCCACCTCTACCAATATTCCACTTGCTAGGCGTTCTGAAGTTCCGACAGCAAAGTTGTACCCTGCCTGTTGTTTCAACACTGCACCTCGAATAATAGGAGTCCGCATAAGCAATGCTGCCAGAGCCAAACCACATGGGGCGGAGAAAGGGAGTGGAAAGGAATGAAGGGGTTGGGTGTGCCAAGGGACAACAAACCTAGGGGTGCGGCACTTACAGGGGGGGCATTTCAACGTTCACACCCAAAGACAGGTTGTCCACGGTGTTATTAGTCCCCAGTAGGTTGTAATGCGGTGCAGAGTGATGACAAGCTGAACTTTGAACAGAACGAGAGACCACGCGCTGGACATAGCACACCCTTAACGAGTATCTGGTCTTGTGAAATCAAGGGGCTACCAGTGTCAAACACCTGTTAACCATCTTTACACATGGGTGTGGTAACACCTACCTCACCTCCTTGCAACATCACCGCAAGGCCATAATCAGCCCCCATGCACACATGGCTGTGCTTTCACACAAGAAGAGCCAATCCATTGCCGATCAGTCTCCAAACCACGTGCCACCCAGAAAGTCCAGACGGCAATGTAACAAGTATGACGAACGAGAGTGACTAGTGCAAAACAACTTAGTCCCTAAGGGCTTACCTGTTACAAGCGAGTTGCGCGAGTTGAGTGCGATCCAGAACCTCCCCCTGGGGTTGAGGCTGAGATTGTCAGGGTAGCCAGGGAGTTTTACAAATAGCTCCTTCTTTCCAGTCTTCGGGCCTCGGATCCAATACCGGTGACACCTGATATGGACGGGAGAGCGAAGAGGAAGCAAGAGGGAGAGAGGAAGGGGAAAACGGAAGTGGAGTGGAGAGAGGAGACGGGAGGAGAGGGAAGAGCAGAAAGAAGCACGGATTTGATATGAGGACAGAGCATGCAGAAAAGGCGAAAAGAGGAAAACAAGGAGATGCAATGCAAGCAGGAGCAGGCCCAGTTAGAATCAGTTCAAGTCAGAACCCGATAACTACTTTTGAGGAGCCTCAAAAGCTGATGATCGCACAAGCAGACAACAACAGGCCCACCCACCATTGCAGCTCACCTGAGGTAGGTCGTTTCACAGAAGACGACAAACTTCTTGTCCTGCGAAATTGCGACACCGTTTGCGAACGCGACCTTGTCCACAAGAACAGTGGTCTTGCCTGTGCCAATGTCGTACTTCATGAACCGCCCGTCCTTGCGCCCCTCTAGCAGCAGAGGGAGGAAGTCCCTGCGAGCAGATGGGTGTACATACGTGCACACATGTGTTTGTACGTGACGACTTAGTCTACACCAACAGTGGTACCCGTCCCCATGTCACACTTCATAAACCGCCCGTCGTTGCGCCCCTCCAGCAACAGTGGGAGGAGGTCCGAGCAGATTCACAAGACGCATACACTAAGCGGATATGTGTATACAACCTTCACGGGTCCCTCCCGTGCGAGCCCACCTGTTCCCCACCTCACCTGCGGGCCCATCTTGAACTGGAGTCGGTGAAATAGACCACATTGGCATCAGCATCAATGTCAAGGTCGTTGCACATCATCATGCGCGCCCCATCCACCACATCTACCAGCTTCGTTGCCTGCCCGCCGCTGCTGCTCACCTGGCAAGAAAGACAATGATCACGAGATCATGATTCCTGGTGAGAATGACAATGATCACGAGATCATGATTCCTGGTGAGAATGACAATGATCACGAGATCATGATTCCTGGTGAGAATGACAATGATCACGAGATCATGATTCCTGGTGAGAATGACAATGATCACGAGATCATGATTCCTGGTGAGAATGACAATGATCACGAGATCATGATTCCTGGTGAGAATGACAATGATCACGAGATCATGATTCCTGGTGAGAATGACAATGATCACGAGATCATGATTCCTGGTGAGAATGACAATGATCACGAGATCATGATTCCTGGTGAGAATGACAATGATCACGAGATCATGATTCCTGGTGAGAATGACAATGATCACGAGATCATGATTCCTGGTGAGAATGACAATGATCACGAGATCATGATTCCTGGTGAGAATGACAATGATCACGAGATCATGATTCCTGGTGAGAATGACAATGATCACGAGATCATGATTCCTGGTCAGAATGACAATGATCACGAGATCATGATTCCTGGTGAGAATGACAATGATCACGAGATCATGATTCCTGGTGAGAATGACAATGATCACGAGATCATGATTCCTGGTGAGAATGACAATGATCACGAGATCATGATTCCTGGTGAGAATGACAATGATCACGAGATCATGATTCCTGGTGAGAATGACAATGATCACGAGATCATGATTCCTGGTGAGAATGACAATGATCACGAGGTCATGATTCCTGGTGAGAATGACAATGATCACGAGATCATGATTCCTGGTGAGAATGACAATGATCACGAGATCATGATTCCTGGTGAGAATGACAATGATCACGAGATCATGATTCCTGGTGAGAATGACAATGATCACGAGATCATGATTCCTGGTGAGAATGACAATGATCACGAGATCATGATTCCTGGTGAGAATGACAATGATCACAAGATCATGATTCCTGGTGAGAATGACAATGATCACGAGATCATGATTCCTGGTGAGAATGACAATGATCACGAGATCATGATTCCTGGTGAGAATGACAATGATCACGAGATCATGATTCCTGGTGAGAATGACAATGATCACGAGATCATGATTCCTGGTGAGAATGACAATGATCACGAGATCATGATTCCTGGTGAGAATGACAATGATCACGAGATCATGATTCCTGGTGAGAATGACAATGATCACGAGATCATGATTCCTGGTGAGAATGACAATGATCACGAGATCATGATTCCTGGTGAGAATGACAATGATCACGAGATCATGATCTTGTGAGAATGCAGTTCTAGGCGAGGAACGGAAGAACAGGCAAAGAGGAGAAATGAAACAGATGGGAAAAAGGCATGCACAAACAGAGTGATGCAGATCAATTAGGCACATGGATTATGGATACATGCAGATCAATTAGGCACATGGATTATGGATACATGCAGATCAATTAGGCACATGGATTATGGATACATGCAGATCAATTAGGCACATGGATTATGGATACATGCAGATCAATTAGGCACATGGATTATGGATACATGCAGATCTCCTAGGCACATGGATTATGGATACATGCAGATCAATTGGGCACATGGATTATGGATACATGCAGATCAATTAGGCACATGGATTATGGATACATGCAGATCTCCTAGGCACATGGATTATGGATGCATACACATAATCATGCGCCATCCATACCATCCATGCGTTCCATACCATCCATGCGTTCCATACCATCCATGCGTTCCATGCCATCCATGCCATCCATGCCATATCGCCCTCCTACTCTACTCATACACCAGTGTACCATCCCCAATTGACACGTGCAAAATCACTGAGGCTCATGAGACTTCTTATATCGAGGACAGAGTGTTTCTCACCTTGAAGAGCCCGTAATAGGCGTCAGCAAAGTAAAGGTCCCCCGTGGTGGGGTGAAATGCCATTCCCACTGGCCGGCCACATTTGTCCTCTAGTGTGAGTTTCGCGGTGCGCGAATCGCACATTGCAGAGGTCCTTGCAAAAGATTGTGACAGTAACGAGGGTGGGAAAAATGGACGGGCAAGGGAAAAAAACTCACACTCAAGTATGACTCACACTCACACCCCATTTGAAAATCGTTTTCCCCACAAAATTTCAGGTTGAACCGAGGAAAATAGTCGCTGTGGGGCGAGGCATATGCGAGCTCCTCCCAGTCGCTGTCGTCCGCCTTCCTCCTGAGAATGCGCCCGTCGCTCACACTCACGTACGGCCCTCGCCCCTCCACCCTCCCCCTCTCCCCACTCGCTTCTTGAGGCTCATCACAAACCTCAAACCAAGAAAGCTTCCCAGTACCTGTGCAGCAGCAAGGGTACCTGTGCGGCAGCAAGGGTACCTGTGCAGCAGCAAGGGTACCTGTGCGGCAGCAAGGGTACCTGTGCGGCAGCAAGGGTACCTGTGCAGCAGCAAGGGTACCTGTGCAGCAGCAAGGGTACCTGTGCAGCAGCAAGGGTACCTGTGCAGCAGCAAGGGTACCTGTGCAGCAGCAAGGGTACCTGTGCAGCAGCAAGGGTACCTGTGCAGCAGCAAGGGTACCAGTGCAGCAGCAAGGGTACCTGTGCAGCAGCAAGGGTACCTGTGCAGCAGCAAGGGTACCTGTGCAGCAGCAAGGGTACCTGTGCAGCAGCAAGGGTACCTGTGCAGCAGCAAGGGTACCTGTGCAGCAGCAAGGGTACCTGTGCAGCAGCAAGGGTACCTGTGCAGCAGCAAGGGTACCAGTGCAGCAGCAAGTGTGCAGTAGCTGTGCGGCAACAAAAACACACAACAGGTGGAACGAATGATACCTCCCAGTACCTGTGGGGCGAAGCATAAGTGAACTCCTCCCAGTCGCTGTCGTCCGCCTTCCTCCTGAGAATGCGCCCGTCGCTCACACTCACGTACGGCCCTCGCCCGCTCGGGTCCCATGCTATGCTCTCAGGCCCTGTGGCCTGACCCACGTACCTGGTCATTTGAAAAACGGGGGGACGCAGGGGAGGAAGGGGAGGAGGTTGCGGTAAGCAGGGTGGTAGGCGTTTTTATCCGCCCATCACTCACGTACGGCCTTCGCCCACTGGGGTCACGCGCTATGCCCTGTGGCCTTAATCACGTACCTGGGGTCACGCGCTATGCCCTGTGGCCTTAATCACGTACCTGGGGTCACGCGCTATGCCCTGTGGCCTTAATCACGTACCTGGGGTCACGCGCTATGCCCTGTGGCCTTAATCACGTACCTGGGGTCACGCGCTATGCCCTGTGGCCTTAATCACGTACCTGGGGTCACGCGCTATGCCCTGTGGCCTTAATCACGTACCTGGGGTCACGCGCTATGCCCTGTGGCCTTAATCACGTACCTGGGGTCACGCGCTATGCCCTGTGGCCTTAATCACGTACCTGGGGTCACGCGCTATGCCCTGTGGCCTTAATCACGTACCTGGGGTCACGCGCTATGCCCTGTGGCCTTAATCACGTACCTGGGGTCACGCGCTATGCCCTGTGGCCTTAATCACGTACCTGGGGTCACGCGCTATGCCCTGTGGCCTTAATCACGTACCTGGGGTCACGCGCTATGCCCTGTGGCCTTAATCACGTACCTGGGGTCACGCGCTATGCCCTGTGGCCTTAATCACGTACCTGGGGTCACGCGCTATGCCCTGTGGCCTTAATCACGTACCTGGGGTCACGCTCTATGCCCTGTGGCCTTAATCACGTACCTGGGGTCACGCGCTATGCCCTGTGGCCTTAATCACGTACCTGGTCATATGAAAAAGGAGGTTTTACTTATGGGAGGCGGGGGGAGGGAGAGGGGGAGGGAGATACGCGGCTTAGATCATTCGACTAACCTGGGACAATTTAAGATACTGGTAAGGAAAAACTAAGGCCAGACAAGTTCAGCTGAGGCCTTCTGAGAGCATTTACCGACGGGTGGTCTTGGCGAGTCGATTCTTCTTGTCTCCCACCCCGCCAGTCAGCTTTGGCAGCGGCACGCGCACGCGAACCGGCCGAAACTTCTTGGCCCACGAGGTCCTACGCGCTGAAACGGCGCGTAAAGGACCGTCGGGAAAGAGCGATGCAAGAAATATAATAGAGAAGACGAGAACGAGCCAGGAAACTTGATGGTAGCGACCGGATGGACGCTGATGCTGAAGGTGTCGTTTCGCTGACTGTTTCAGTGGTTCCGCTGAATGTCCTCGTGGCATCTCTGAACGAAACTGTCGCTTCGTCAATTGCTGCTGTCGCGGCCGTCCTGGAAACTGTCGAATGGCTGGAAGAGTGCGACACGATGTCATGGCGAAGTCCAAAAGACCTTAGGGCGGGTCTTATTCTTGTTTGCGTCTTATTCTCTCATTCCTCCTCAGGCCGCACGGTTGAAACGGAAATCGAGAGATACCGACAATAAGTACGGAAAGCTTTGACGCGGGTTGAATATGATTTTGCGGTGATAGCAGCAGAGACGGATCTACTTCGGCGCAGCGCGGAAACTTCCATGGAGTGTAGTGCACTGTACGGGAATTGCTACAGAGGTGTCAGAACGCAGAGTACGCGATAAGAGTCAAGATTTGAACACATGATTTTGCAGACGCACAGATTACACAGGTTTGAAACGCATAAAGCTGACACGTAGCGAAAACCCAAAGTACTTCTTGATGAAATGACGTATCCAGTGAGAAACCCACTAATGATTAGAAGTTCCCCAAGAGTACTGAGGCTAATGCTAATTAGTCGAAACAGAATCAAACGGGGCAAGTATTACTGGAGTGCACGGCTGACAGGAAATATGTTTGTTTCATTTAATCAAAACAATGATGGTATAATACACAGATACAAATCCAGTGGTCTCTACTAGAAAGTTATCCAGCCCACTATACGATAAACCTGCAATCAGCTCTTTACGGGAACTCCTGCACGGGCATCACCTGCCTGGCGCGGCCATACGCGGTGTAAGCGCAGTCCACAGCAAGCACGTCGCTCGCCTCGTACGACCGCGGAGTGCCATCCAGGAACCCTTGCCCTTCCGCGCTGTCGGCGGAGATCGGACGGTGCAGGCTCGCGATCAGCTTCTGGAAGTCCGCAGCGCGCTGCGCGTGGTCGTCGCGGTACGTCTGCCCGAGCACGCCGTGGATCGCGTCGGTGTGCTCCAGCTCCGCAATCCCCACGTTGATGTGCGCCTCGGCGTCGCTCGGCGTCTGCAGCTTCGGGTGCGCCACGCGCAGGCGGAGGTCGAGCGAAATCAGGCCGTCGATAGTCAGCAGGTAGTAATCCACATCGAACGGCCCCTCCTTCTCCAGCGCGCGGAACTGGATCGTCAGCCCGCCGTCGCTCGTCACGCTGTCGCCCACCTGCATGCGCGGGATCGCCTCGCCGTCAATCTCGATGCTCTTCACGAACCCCTCGCCGCGCTCCTGCTGCTTGCCGCCGCGCGCCGCGATGCGGACCTTGTGGTCGACGCCCTTGGCGGTCCACACAATCCCGAGCTCCTTAATCCACGTGTGCACGGCCTTACCGTCGACGACCAGCGCCGCGTTGTCGGTGCGCTCGTCGTAGTACCCGCGCAGCAGCATGTTCACGTGCAGGTCGCGGTCCGTCAGCAGGCAGAACGCCTTGTCGGGGCGCCCGTTGAAGTCGAAGTGCGTGCCGTGCGCGCCAACCAGATGCGGGTCGTTGAGAATCTTGGCGCTCGGGTTGCACTCGCCGCCGATGCGCACCTGAAGCGGCACGGGCTTCGTCTCCGTGCTGTACTGCGCGGTCATCTCTCCGCACGTGAAGTCGATCTGATCGTGGATCAGGTAGCACGCGCCCTTGCCCTTCTTCCCGTCGATGGTAATATCGGGAATGTACTGCCAGTACGTGCACGCCGGCGTCGCGGCGCACGTGTTGCAGCACGACGCGGGGTTGGCCTTGAGCAGCGTGAGAGGGTTACCTGGCACGTACAGCTCGTACCCGAGCTTGTTCTTCTGCAGGTACGCCGTCTTCCACTTGGCCGCAATGCCGCCCTTGGAGCAATTCTTGGGCGTGCACGCGCCCGCCAGCTCCTTGTTCAAACCCGGCGGGCATTTCTGCGCGTTCCACCCGGCCTTCTTCACATCAGCCATGAAGAACGTGTCCTGCGCCGTGTCAACGTATGTCACTCCCTCCGCGTTGCCCGCCGCCGCCTGCTTCGCGATGGCCGCGGGGATTTCGGTCATGAGCCCGTCGTCCTTCTTGCTGCTCTGGTCGGGCTTCTCGTTCGCCGTCGAGCTTGTGATGGGGCTACCGGCGCGCCCCACCACGAGCAGCAGCGCGAGGGTGAGCGCGAAAACCGCAGCTCGAGCCATTCTGACGCGCTGTGATGTCACTTCAATTAGAAAAGGAATGATTTAATCTACGATGGTTCGCGAGATTGGTGAAGGATGTACTTCCTTCTGGTGATTGCCTGCGGAGACGAGGGGAGGGGATGTTATATGCTAAGGACTTGCACAACAACGTGATCTGCTGTGTCTGGTGCGGATTCTGTCATCCCTTCCCACGTCTGTTGGCATTTGTTCGACAGTGCAGGGGTTTCGAGCCGCAGGTTTACACCTGCAAAAAGCGAGTGCATGTCATTACACCTGCGGGTTTTCCGAGGCGCAGGGCTGCTATGCATGTGGAAGGCACACATGTCAGGTAGGCCTTCGGTCAGCTATGACTGAACATTTTTGGTTTACCAGATGATGTTTTCTTCCGCATGCATTTCTATCATGTGGAACCTCCCTTGCTGAGAGGTCAGGAATGTTGTTGTGATTTGTAATGTCTAAAGTCGCTTATTGAATCTGCCCGCTCAGTTGTTCGCGATTTGCTTCTTGGACGGCGCGACTACAGAAACCCATTGAGATGCTCAACTGTTTCTGCAGTGATCAGGTCTCCACGTCACGCGCATTTTCGATCCATTCAGCCCGATTCCCATACTGTATTTATAGTTGTTACGAGTGCAATTGAGTGAATCGAGCGAGAATTGCACTATCGAAGCAAAAGTACAATGAGAGAAGGCATGAGCGAAGAATATATAGCGAAACTATAGTGGTAACGGTTATGCGTGGAAAATGGGGTGCGCGACGGGCCTGGCGCCGAGGTTGGGGATTGTCGAGGCGGAGGTCCGGAGCGCGGGTTACCAACCGAACCGTGAGGTTGGGTCGCGTCGTGAACAGTGGCGGGAATAGTGTCGAGGCGAGTGTCGCGAGTGGTAACGGATTACTGTTGGGTGCTGTTGGCGGGAATAGTAGTGTACGCGCTGAGCAGGGACGCGAAGTAAGGAAAAGGATTTTTCCTTACACTACCCCCCTCCCCAAGGAGGCCCCTCTTACGAGAGCGCGTGTACATCTCGGAAGTTTCGGCTTCGCAGGTACTCAGTGAGGATAGGGTGATTCTCAATCCTATCCAGGGGGACCCAGTTGTCTTCGGTGGGCGTGCGGTCCTTCCATCGTATCAGGAATTCAATGCGGCGAGCTCCCCGTGGGTCACGTACTCGATGGCTCAGTATCTTCTCAGGCGTGATGATTGGTTCAGTTGGTGGTCTAGTCATGCTGGTGGGGCGGTTGCGAGGCAGTTGACTGGTGGATGGCACGTATGGGCGAAGCAGGCTGACGTGGAATGACGGGCTGACGTACCAGTCAGCAGGGAGGAGGAGATGGGCGGTGACGGGTGTGATCATGTGGCTGATGCGAAACGGCCCGCAATATCGGGGGCGGAGTTTTGGGGTGATGGGTAGGCGCAGGTTTTGGGTGTCGAGCAAAACGAGGTCGCCTGGCTGGTAAGTGACAGGTCGGCGGTGGCGGTCGGCGTTGCGTTTAGCGATGACGTTAGCTTTTTTAATTGCGTCTGCTGCCCTGGTCCGTGCTGCATGCAAAATTTCGGCGAACTGTTGCGCGCGTGGAACCGGGTTGTCGGGATTCGGGGTCATGGGTACTGTTGGGTCTTGTCCGCAGTTCAGGTAAAACGGTGACTGTTGGGTCGTGGCGGATGGTGAGTTGTTGTATGCGAATTCGATGAGTGGCAGTTGCTGTTCCCACGTGTTCGGGTCATCGCACGTGGCCCGGATGAGCTGTTCCATGGTCAGATTTGTCCGTTCTGTCTGTCCGTCGGTTTCGGGGTGGTATGATGAACTGAACTGTAGTAGCGTGCCGAACAGCTGCCACAGGTTCCGCCAGAAGTTGCTGGTGAATTTCGTGTCTCGGTCGCTGATGATCGATGCTGGTATCCCGTGCAGTCGAACGACGGTAGAGGTGAAGAGGCGGGCTATTTCTTCGGCTGTAATCGATTTTTTGCAGGCTGCGAAGTGTGCCATTTTCGTCAGTCGATCGACGACGACCAGGATCGCGTCATTCCCACTTGCTCCGGCCGGTAACCCCGTGACGAAGTCCATCGTCACCTGCTGCCAAGCACGCTCTGGGGGTGGGATCGGTTGCAACTGTCCTGCCGGCCGCTTCCGTGATGACTTCATGATCTGGCAAGTGGGACACGATGCCACGTGTCGCTGCACGTCGGTCAACATTTCGGGCCAGTAATAATACCGCTGCAGCTGCTGCCGTGTTTTCTCTACCCCGAAATGTCCCGAGGTAACTCCGTCGTGTGCCTCCTGTAATAGTAACTCCCGTAGCAGGGTGTACCCTGATACCCAGATGCGGTCGGTCCCGGTTTTTACGTAATAGACTCCTTTGGCTGCTGCAAACTGCTGCGAATTTCCTCCTGTGAAGAATGGGTCCGTTTGATATCCGTGGGTAAATAGTCCTGTCAGTAGCGGGCTGGTCTGGGCGAGTAGTATCGCGTGGATCTGGGCAGTGGGGCGGGTCAGTGCATCGGCGATGTTCGAGGCTCCCTTTTTATAGGTGACCGTGTAGTGCAAGTTGGACTCGAGGAAATCGAGCCAGCGAATCTGTCGTGGGTTGAGGTGGGGCTGTGCGCGGAGGTACTGTAGTGATCGGTGGTCTGTCCGTACTGTCACGTCTGCGCCGGTCAAGTAGCAGCGCCACACTTTGAACGCATGCACGATCGCGAGCATTTCGCGGTCGTGTATCGGGTAATTTCGCTCGGGCGGGTGCAGTTTTCGTGACTCGTATGCGATGGGCTGTAGGCCGTTGCCGAAATCCTGTAGCAGTACGGCTCCAATGGCGATGTCGCTTGCGTCTGTAACAACCTCGAAGGGGCGGTGTGGGTCGGCGATGCGCAGGACGGGCGGTGAACAGAGAACATTTTTCAGGGCAGAGAAGGCAGCATGCTCTTTCTCCCCCCACGTAAAAGCGACCCCCTTTCGCAGTAAATCCGTCAGCGGGGCAGTCAACTGTGCCATGTCGGGGACGAACCGACGAACATAATTAACGAACCCTAAAAAACTCTGCAGTTCCGTGATGTTCGTCGGGGGGTGCCACGCTTTGACCGTGTCCAGCTTCTTTGGGTCGATTTCAACCCCAGCTCCGAAATGACGTGCCCAAAAAATTCTAACCTATCCTGGAAGAACTCGCACTTGGAACCCTTGGTCAGTAGGCGATGCTCGTCTAAAACCTTAAAAACCGCTTCCAGATCTGCTAAGTGCTGCTGCTTATCCCTGTTGTAGACGAGTATGTCGTCGAGGTAAACTATCACGCATTTATCTAAGAGTGGCCTAAACACTTCGTTCATGGTCATCTGAAATGTCGCTGGTGCGTTGGTCAGCCCGAATGGCATCACGGTGTACTCGAATGATCCGTACCTAGTCCTAAATGCTGTCTTGGCGCAGTCCGATGGTTCGACCCGAATCTGATGGTAACCCCCCCGTAAGTCTATTTTCAAAAACACCCGTGCTGTTCGCAGTTGGTCGATCAGTTCGTTGGCGCGGGGAATGGGGTATCGCGATTTGACTGTTACCCTCTGTTCAGTGCTCGGTAATCGATGCACATGCGAAACCCTCCTTTTTTTTTCGGTGTGAACAGTATTGGTGCGGCGAACGGTGATGAGCTCAGTCGGATGAATTTTTTCTCTAACAGGTAGTCTAACTGCTTCCTCAGCTCATCGAGCTCGGGCTGTGTCAGTCTGAACTGTCGCTGTACGGTTGGCTGTGCCCCGGGTTCTAACTCTATGCGGTGGTCGTGTGCTCGCTGAGGTGGCAGCCCCTCCGGTAAGTCGTCCGGGAAAATCCCCGGGTACCGTTTCAACAGTTCCTGTAGGTCGGGCGGTACTGCTGCCAACAGTTTCTGAAAATCGCTAAGCTGCTCTGCTGCTCCTACCAATGCTATATCTACTGCGTACACGTCAGCTCTAGCAGCGACAGCCCGTTTTATCGTGATGGCGTTGACGTGGACCGTTGAAGACTCGGGCGACTGCCAACGAGGTAGCGCGACCCAGTTACCGCTACTTCGCACAGTGCAGCTACCCGTCGTCCAATCGATTCGCGGGTTGTAGCGTAGGAGCCAATCACGTCCCAGTAAAATGTCGTGCCCATCCAATGTCGTCGCGAGCATTTCCTGTGTAAAGCCGAAGTTTTCACCGTAGCGAACTTTTACTCTTTCCACTTTCTCCCGTATGGCCAGCGGCGTGCCGTCTATTGAGCGTGCGTCGATCTCTGGTAAGCACCGACTAAGTGTCAGTTGCAGTTTTCGTGCGGTTGCGGTATTAACTAAGCTATGGCTTGCTCCTCCGTCGATAAAAATCTTCACTGCTGCTCCCTGTATTTTCCCGTGGATCAGTACTGGGCAATCCGTCGCTGTACCCTCCTTATTCATCCGAGCCCGATCGATGGCGTGAATCGGTACTGTGACTCGGTGAGGGTCGGTGTGGTTGGGCGAGCAGGCAGTCTCGTCAGTAGTTGGCCCGACTCCTACTGACTGCTGGCGTTTCCCTGCCTCTGAGACTCCCTCCCCTGCTCTGCTCCGCGGCGCCTCAGCTCCTCTGGGCATTCGCTCTTGCGATGGCCCGGCCTGTTGCAAGCAAAGCAGCGCCCCTTAAACGGCGCGGCAGCTGCATTCGTCGCAACAGCGTGTACAGTGGCGTGCTCGATCGGCCCCCGAGGACGATGTCCGTATTAGGACCCCGGTCTCGGTCGGCGTAGGATGTCGATTTTCTCGGCGAGCGCGAGAATCTCGTTGAAGTTCGAGAGCCCGCGTAGCATGATCTCGTGCGAGATGTCCGGCTTCAGCCCTCCGACGTAACGGTCCACCCGCTCCGCTTCGTGCATATAGCCGACTTGCTCGCAAAGTGCGAGAAAACCGCTCGTGTAATCTTGAACCGACCCGAGCTGCCGCCAAGTGCGCAATCTCTGACGCGCCGAAATAGAAGCCGCGATCGGCTCGAAGCGCGCCTGAAGCCCTGCGCACCACGCATCCCACGT